AATGAATTGAATAAAGATGATTGTCATAATCATCATCATCATCTAAATAGAATAATGTAATGTTATGTGATATTGATGAATATCATCGAAAATAACAAGAAAAAAAATGCAAAGATATTTACGATAAAGTAAAACAAAATCAAAATGCAAACAGTATTAACATTGTCATCATATCATTAAGGCCAATTATTGTGTGCTGTTGTTCAACAAAATAATTTTTATTGTTAGCAACCACCACAAAAAGATTGTGTTGCTAGTTTTTTTTCCGAAGTAAATGTTTTTTTTGTCTATCGTTGAAATCACAAGTTGAACACGAGCTATAATTATGGTCACAACACATCATCATCTGTGATCGTCCACCGTTATCTTCTTCATCAACATCAATTTGTTTTGTTTTTTTCAACACAAATAAAAGAGTGAAAGGATCTCCGGAACATTATTATGTTCATAGTAGTAGCATGTTTGTTCATTCATTCATGCTTTGTTTTTTGTTATGAAACTTTGAATATCTCTCTCACTCTCTCTTTTTGGATGATCCATACTATCTCAATTTAACTTCAATCAAATTCTCCAAGCTTGAACAACAAAACAAAAACAAAAACAAAAAACTTGTGATCCAAAAAGGTGCATAAATCTTCATCATCATCATCATCATCATCATCATCAGAGGTAATGTTGACAATTTTTTTTTTCGTCATCTCACCCATTAGATTAAACATTCTATATGGGAAATTTTACAACAACAACAACAACAACGTAAAAATGTAATGCTCATTATATAAGATTTTCGTTGGAACGGATAACGAAGATAAAGCTACCGTTAAAATATGTACGGATATTATTAGAGATGGATTTGATGATGATAAGATGTCAAAAAGAAGAAGTGAACAAACTTGTTATCCATGAACACATTTTGTTAGCCATTCGTAGTTGTCCAAATGGAATGAATGTTCTTTATAAAATGAAAAAAAAAAGGAAATGATGACGATGATGAAGATGTTGATAATTGTAAATTTTTAAACTTTTTTTTTCTTTATTCGAATTCAATTTGTGCATTTTCAAACTTTTCATTTTAAAATGAGTTTATTCACATTTTATTTTGATTTTTTTTTGTTGGATTTCCTTTTAATTTTTTTTTCTTTTTTTTCTGTTGCTTTTGTTTTTATTCTTTTCAACTCTTTACTTATCGTTATGATGAATGTTAATATCCGATGATGATGATGATGATGATGATGAAGATAAGTTTCAAAATTCATTAATTTATTCATTCTTTTTTTATTATCATTGCGGACTAATTTGCATCATCATCACCGTTTCTTCTTGCAATCCCCATGATCATTATGATATTTCATTTTATTAATCATACACGTTATGATGGTACAGACAAAGTGTGTAAAAAAAAGTGTTGGATTTCAATAATCAAAAAAGGGATGATGACATACAGGTCAAGAAAAAATGTTGTTTTCATAAGAATTTCGTAAGAAAACGATGACGATGTGTGGATTAGTATAATCAGAATTTGAATTTAGCTTCTATTTTTAAGATTTTTTTTTTTTGTTTTAACGATAAAAAATGTTGTTTGTAGACTATATAAAAAAAAGCTGATCACATAGACACACACACACACACACGTGATATAATGATGGTTAAAGATGCAAATTTAAATCTATTCCGAATATAGAAACAACAACAAATCTATCGATTTGATCGATTGAACGGTATGTACATCAATGTCCGACGTAAATGATGTGATTATGTCAATCATCGTTCAATAATAATAACAAGGTGATCGTTTTGTTTCATGAATGAATTGAGAGAAAAAAAAATTTGCACTGGTTTGTTATTAAGAAAGAAATTATTATCATCCTAAATCATTCTTGTTACGGAAATGTTCAGAACTGTAACAATAAGAAAAAAAATCTAGATTTTCATTGATGTGATGTATATAAAATGGTTTATGGTGTTGATGTGTTCATCATTTATCACACAACAACAACAACAACAACCATAACCATCATCACCGTATTTGATGGTGATGACACCTGTTTCTGTTTTTAAAACATCTGTCCATTATTTCCATCAATACATTGTTTTTTATCTATCAAATCAATCGGTAAATAATGTCTGTCTATTTGCTAACCAATTCGAACAACAGTTTTGTTTCGGGCAGTTGAACAACAACAACAACAACAAAAACGACGAATTAAATTCATAAATTGGAATTCAAACTCCCCCTCCAAGTTTCATCATCAAAATAGTTTTAAATTCAGCTTGCTATTAAAATTATTTTTAAACAAAAATAAGAAAAAAAATTAATTCATTCATCCATCCATTAAACATTTCTTCTTTTTTTTAGATGAAATTGAATTAGGTTTATGGCCAATTCATTCATTCAAAAGGGGTTGATCCTTTCACCTCACTCGTTATGTTTTTTTTTTTGATTGAATAAATGAATGAATGAATTTGGTTTTTCAATTTTTGACATTTCCGACTTTTTTTCAAAAAAAAAATCTCTGAACAGTTAGTACCAAATGATTGTTACAATTGCAATTTATTTATGTTTTTAAAAACCATAAATTTACGTTAATACATTGGTGGTTAGATATTTTAGTTTTGTTTCGTAGCCATTTTGAATGGAAAACGAACAAAATCCATCATCAACGAATTTAATCTTCTTCAATCTTTCGGGGGTTTTTTTTATTATTATTTTAAATCAACAATAAACCAAAAAAAAAAGATATATCTGTATATATATAGTCACTAAAATGAATGTTGAAATTGAAATTTTTTTTTGTTCATTTTATTTGCCCAATTTGTCGGCATAATTGTTGTTGCTATTTGCAAAAAAAAAGAAAAGGCTTAAATCTCAACGATTTGAAGATCTATTTGCCAAGTTTTGTTAAACATTCATACATAAAAAGCCATTACAATGAATGATAATGACGGCGAAATGTATTCTAAAAAAAAAAAATCTTTCACCGAAAAAAAAGGTCGATCAAACAAAACAAAACAAAGGTGAACAAGTATTGAATTTGATGATGAGAAAATTTTCCAAGAAAAAAAAACTAAGCAAATAAATTTTATATAATTAAAAATCAACGCCAACGGATAATCATCATTGCAAAAAAAAACTAACTCGAATGATGGAACAAATCCATAATGATCAGTTCGCCAAACCCATTTACTTGAATCAAAAAAAAAAAAAAATAAAATTTTATTCATTGTTAATTTCAAGTATTGTATCCGAAAAAAAAAAATTTTTTTATTGACAAATTAACAAATTGGCCATAAAGGTTTTTTCAACATCAATCTGTGTGCGATAAAAATAATCTCTACATTTACAGAAAAAAAACATATTACGACGTATAATCAATGAAAATTGAATGAATACAATAAAGATCAGGTGAACATTGAATAATGGATAAAATAAAATCCAAACAACAACAACAACCACCTACGAACAACAATCGAAAATTATGTAAGCTATGTAATCAGTGTGTGTGTGTGTGTTGTGTTGTACGCGAAATACGATATTACCATTTTTACACTTAAAATAGAATGTAAACACACAAAAAAAAATTCCAACCAGGTGAAAATTTCAGAACCATCACCCTCCTCCTCCCTCTCAAGCATTTGAATTTTTTTTTTAAATTACACATATCACCTGTGTTCGTGTGTGTGTGGTCAATTTATATTTGAATGATGATTATATATTTTAGATGATCAATTTCAATTGAAAATTTTTTCCGCTCATCAATCAATCATAACGAGGTTGAATTTGATCTAATTTGAATTGATTAGAATTACATTTCGAAAACAACAGCAAAAGTCAAATGTTTTGACATTTCGATTGATTGATGGATTGATTCACTCATCCAAAATCAATAAATAATCGTAGTCATTATTGCGAAACAAAAAAAACTTCAGCTTCGTAATCTAATTGATCGGCAGCAGCAGTAGAGAGAAAAAAACATTCGAAACGGACCGAAATGAATTAGATTTCAAAAAAAAAAAAAAAATTATTGAAATTACCAGAAAAATGAAAACCACAAAATGTTCATCATGATATCCAAATTATAAAGTTTTTTTTTATTCAACAAATTATTATTATGATCACCATCGTCATCCATGAAGATGATTATTTCAAATGATGATGAACAAATGAAATTTTCGATACCATACAATTAGCATTCTCGTTCGTGTATTATTCAAATGAAGATGAAGAAGGAGAAAAAAATATAATCACGAATTACGTGTTCCATATAATAATGGTGGGATTCGAGAAAATGAAAAATTCATTCTATTCATACAAAACTAATTTTAGCCATTTTACCCACAATAGAAAAATCAGCTGTTGTTGTTGTTGCTGTATCGTTTGTTTGAATGTTTGTTAAATTATCACTTCCCTAATTTTTAATTATTCACATCGTTTCACTTTTTTTTCTTTGGTTTTGGAAATGAAAATGTAAAATTTAAATTAGGTTCATGGTTTCAATTCATAAGGCAGTGTGATCATCATTGATGATGATGATGATCTGAATCATGTCATCGAATGTTGGATAAGATCATCAATGATGATCATTATGATCATTTGTTCTATAGGGAATAATGATGATACAATGATATTGGCCAGAAATATATAACATCATCATCATTGAAATGAAGAAATGAGAAATGATTGTCTACGCACAGGATGATTAGTCAAACAATCTCGAATGAATGAATGATGAAAAAAAAGTCTAAATAGAAAAAAAATGAATAAAGCAAAGAGACTGAATATCAAAGACACACAAGAAAAAATTACACATAGGCAACACACACAAGAAATTAATTGCTGTATAAGTTTACAACACAAAAAATTATTTTTACCACATTCAATTCATTCAAAGTCAAACGCTAAATTTAGGTATAAATAGCCAGTTAAATACCATCGAATATCGATATAGTCATCGTTATCGTTATTTTTTATTAATTATTTATTACAATCATGATCAACATTGGTCACAATTCATTATTATAGTAAACAATATCATTTCATAAATAGACAAAAAGATCATCAACATCGAAATTGAAAATCATATACCAATGATTCACTGAATACAACGGATCAATTCAAAGTTATTTGAACAATGGCAATCCAAAAAAAAAAAAAAAAAATTTCTTCTGTTGCTCTCTTTTTAACTTGTTTATTCAAATTTCAATCTAAAAATTCATTATTATATCGATGTCGAATTTTCTCTCTGAAATTTTCAACCCTTTTTTTGTGTGTTGAACCAAATTAATAATGTGCCCATAAAATCATTGAACATGAACAAACAAAGGACATGACTATTATTATTGACCGAGTACAATGTTTGTCCCGTTTCATATGATTGATCTAAATAATTTTCCTGATCATCATCACCAATGATTAGAGAAAGAGAGAGAGAGAAGCCTAATCATTAACATCATTGGATCGGTAATTTTTCTCTTTATCATTTATTTGAATTTAGAAATAAAAAAAAAATGTTTCCTGATTTGATAGATACAAAACAAAAAACGGATATTCATTCAATGGGCAAGATATCTGTGTACGATAACTATTGCAATATAGGATGCTAACTTATTAATGATGATCATCATCATCATCATCATCAATATTATTTTATACATCCTCATATTTGTTGGAAAAAAAATAATCAGCTGCAATAATTTAGATTAAAACAATATGTGGCCATCATTATTTCTATGGTACATGCCACCGCCACGGAACATAACTAACATTATATATTATATTATGAATGATAATGATGACGAATATGGTCGAAATAAATTCGAATGTATAAAAAATCAATAGTAATAGTAATAACAAAGACGATGAAGAAATACAAAATTTTGAAGTCGAAAATAACATCAATAAAATATAGAAAACATTTATATATTTTGAATCGTTAAACGAATAACCGTGTATAGTCCGTACTATCTGTTTATTGGACTCTCTCCTAATATCCATCCAGGTTTGTTTTATTGTGATAATCTCTTCATCATTACATCTTACCTTTGTATGTCTTGTATATTCATACAGCTATCATCAACCGAACAAACGAACGATGATGATGATACATTTCGGATGTTCGGGAAAACAGAAATGAAATAGTTTCGTTCAACTATGTTTCTAAGAGTGAGAGTATTTTGCCGTATCAAATATCTTGGGATCACTCTAAAATGATAGTGAAAGAGAATTTCGTTTTTTTTGGCGCTTACCGTTCAAAATCATTCTCTATTCATACTTTTAATCGTAATGACCAAACATCAACCACCACCAAAAAGATGTGGTCGTGGTAGATTTTATGAAATGAATTGTAGATAGAACATCATCATCATCATCATCATCTTGTTGATGATGTGTGGTATATAAATGGAAAACATCTTCAATCCATTTAGGATTCGTATTCGTAGAAACTTTGTTCATCTTCAAATGGTTTTTTATTTTTATTTTATTTGGTGAATGGTTTAATTGTTTTTTTTTCACTGAAATTAATCAAAATCCTCTTCTCATCGTGTGTGTATGTGTATGTGTGTCTCAGTGCCCGTTGTGTTTCTGTGTCTGTAATTTTTTCCATTTTATTCATCCAACAAACTACAAACATCATCATCATCGAACAACAACAACAACATTGACAATATGAAAATTTTGGTATTTGAAATCATCTTGTTATTTCAATCAATATTTCAACAAGATTATTTGGTTTTTTTGTGGCTAATTATCATCGTTTTTTTTTCTATTGGTTCTATAGGTTCAACTAAGGCATTATTGTTTGGCCATATGTTTATTGCAGGCCATCTGTTTTGTATCATCTAATTATATTCCACAAAGTTTATTGAGCAGTTATGGGGGTGGTGGTGGTGGTGTTGGCGTTGGTGGTGGTGGTGGCGGCAGTGGTAATGTCGGTCCAGTAACAACTGCCATTGAATCCACACGTACTGTTGAAGTAAAACCAGTACAATTAATGGGTGAACCACATGAACCACAAGTGGTTGAAGTGCCATCGGAAGATATGCCTGTTACCGTTCATTTTAAATCACAATCAAGCCGTGTGTTAGTTCAACAAACACATACACCAGGTAATTGAAAACAAAAAATTTAAATTATGTAATTGAAATGACTAATTGGTTTTTTTCTGTTCGTTTTTTTTCATTATTTATAGCTGAAATAGCCGAACCGGAACATACAACATCGGAAGACCAGCCTCAACGTGTTATTCATGAAGTTGTGAAGCCCGTTATACAGGTAATCAATTAATTAAATGGATATACGATTTGAAAAATTTTGAAATTTGTGTAAAATAGCCCGGTTTACACTAACTTGAAGTATTTGCATTGTACAAACATCGATTTCAAAAAGTGGTTATTATTAAACTTTTATTTTATTTCTGTTTGTTTGTTTGTGTTAATATAACAGGAGATTCGTGAAATAATTCAACCATATCGTCGTTTAATTCAACAAGTACAACCAGTGATTGAACAAACACATACAGTCATTGCGAAAGGTGAACCAAGACCGCCAGTTGAACCACTTACAGTTGAAGGTGCTTCACCAGGTACTATTTCTGGTGGTGGAAACATTGGAAGCGGTGGTCGTCAAGGTTCCTCAGGTAAATTTGGTTCCGGTAGTGGTAAATATGGTGGCGGTGGTTATGCTGCAGCTGCTTCATCCGTTTCATTGAAATCTCAATCACCAACTGCTACCGTTGATGATCGAAAATCATCATCATCATCGTCAAATATTAATCGCAATCCACAACAACCACAAGCAGCATATTCATTGACACCGATCAATAAACAACATTCGAATCAGATTCAAACACCAAACAGTAAATATGGACAACCAATGATTAATCGACAACAAACTAATGGTCGAGATAATACTTATGCATCACGAAAAGGTGAATTCCGTGAACCATCTTATATGGAACGATTCGATACACCGAAAGTTTCATTGCGACCAGCTCCTGCGACAATGGTAAATTCATTGCGACAACAAGCTACAACAACAAAAGTCAGTCTACGAACATCAGCATCGGAAATCATACCTACAGCTGCTGTAGCACCACTATCCTCTGTATTATCATCGCCATCATCCACATCAACACAACTACGACCAATTTCTGAATCATATCAACAATATTTACCATCATCATCATATCAATCTCAATCTTTATATTTTCCGCCAATAGAAAAACGTTATGATGAATCATTTAATCCGATGAATGATTCTAATCAAGCATCGGCATCACAACAATATTATCAATATCTAAAACCAATTGCATCTCATTATCAACAACAAAAATCACATTTCGATAATTCAATGCCATATGATAATGATGCAGCAATGTCATCGATGGTTACATTCGTTGCACAACCAGTCAGATTTCGGGCAGCACGAGCCTAAAAATGATAATTTTATTGAAATAATGGATCATACCATGTAAATGACCAAAATATAGTAATGTCATCATCAACCATACACACACACACACACGCATAGAATGTCCATGATTTTTTTTTCTTCTCGCTTTCTATCTCTTGTTCAATCATTTTTTCTTTTCTTTTTCATCATCATCATTTTAATTATTATTATTGTATTGTTCATTTGCTATTTTTTTTCATTGTCTCAATAAATTAGATTGAAAAAAAAAAAATCTAGAATATTCTGAATCTGTCTTAAATGTTCATTGGTGATTTATATTTCGAAAAGAAAAATAATTTTGTTTTCACTCAAAATCGCGCTTAGAAAAAATTTCAATTTTTTGAAATTTACACAAAACGAATGTAGATGGCGCCCAGATTAAGTGGCCAGGAAAAATGATGTAAATAAAAAACATCACCACTTGATATATTCAGCCAAATTGCCTTTTTTTTCATTCAGCTGTCCATTCAATCAAAGTGGATAGATGGAGCCTGTGTATGAATTTGGGTTTAAATTTAAATTTTTTTTTTAATTTAATCATCACGATTTTTTATTTCATCCAAGAAAAATATGATGATGATTTATTTCGACAAAATTAAGTAATCTACAATGACATTGACAATGTCCAAATGTCAAAAGACAGCTGTCAAAAAAAATTTTTTTTTTTGTTCTGGTGATGATTATTGTATATCGGGGATTAGAAAATGAAAAATTATTCGAATGCTTATGGCAATGATTTAGTAGTGGATATCATGTTCATTCATAAGATCACCTAATGATTCCAAATGATATATATCGTGTGTGTTTTGCCAATTCTATCTATATATCTGGCACATTTGGCTATCGGTCATGGGTGAATCTTTTTTCGGTAATTTTTTTTTTTTGGTTGGTTGGTTGGTTGGAGGAGGGTCAGATATAACAGCATACATGCACACACACAAACAAACATCACACACAGAAACATGGTAGGGTCGTCGACTTTGGTCGGATATTACTGGTCCCGGTCATCCTGTGTATCTATACCACTACCATTTTTTTTTTTTCTTTTCTATTTTTTTCATTATATTTTTTTTTTAGTTTTGTTGTTTTTTTTTTGGGATTCACGATCTGTCATTCTACATTAATGTTACCATACGATACGATACACACACACACACACACACACACATATCACATATCTCTATCATCATCATCATAATGATCAAAATCATTGTGTGTGTGTATGACAACTTGAATGAAAATTGAATTGAAGTAAGCAAAAATTTCAAGTATACAAACAAGAGACAACAAACCATGGTCATATGGTGTGTATGTTGTGGATATATACCTTATATATAAAATGAAAATTGTTCTTTAACTTGCTTGAATCTGGTAATCATCGAAATTCATTCATTCAATTTTTTTTGTTGTTGTTGTGAAGAGCAGAAGTTCATATTTATATAATGGTGATGATGATGATGAAAACAGCAGTGAGAACGGTGGTTTGTTGATTTGGTTTCATTTTTTTGTTGTTGTTGTCCAAGTCTGTGTCTGTGTATTTAGATCCATCATCTTTTTTTTCTGGTCACTAACAAACCAACCAACCAACCAAATCCATCATCAGGTCAAAAAAAGAGACCAAAAAAAAAAAAAATTTCTTCGTTTCCATTATTATTTTGGTTGCTCTTTGTTTTGTTCCAAAAACTCAAAAAAAAACTGACTGAAAAACGTCATAATTCGAATACCGAATGATTACCGAATTGGATGATCATCATCTTCATCAACATCAACATCAACATCATTGTGGAGAAAAAAAAATCTCTTTTTTGTTTGTGTGTGTGTGTGTGTGATATGTGAAATTTCGATTTCAACATAAAGATACACCCACACACAAACAATGCAAATGCAAAGCTCTTTTTTTTCTTCTCTTCGATGAAAAAAAAAATAATATATATCCATTATATATGTGTTTGGCCATTTAGTTTTACGCAAAAAAAAAAAAAAAATTTTTTTGACGAATACACAGCAATACAGACAAAAATAAAATAAACAGACCAATGAGAATTGGATGATCATTTTTTTTTTTTGTTTTGTTTGAATATATTGTAACAATAATAACCAACAAACGAATGATACAATTGGACAGATTTCTTCTTCATTTTTATTTATTTTTTTCTATTCGATGGTGACAATCTGCAATTCGTCATGTGTTGTACATATTATAATATATAAAAACACATTGATTGTTGATCATTCAAATCATTTTTAAACAAAAACAAATGCTGAATAGTTGATTATTGTGCTGCTTCTACTATCTGTCTGTTTGTTTGTTTGTTTGTTTGTTTGTCGATGACGATGACGACAACGACGACGACGACGACCACCACCACGTCCGGCAACGAATTCTAAACACAATTTTCAACCAATCAAACAAACTGAACTCAAATTATATAAATCTTTTTTATAATCACACACATTTGTTGACAAAAAATTTTTTTGTTTTAATTGCTTGTCGTCGTCATTGTATTTGGTGACAATTTTGTTGTTGTTGTTGTTTGTTGTTGTTGGTGTTTGAAACTCCGTAAATCATTTGGTTTTTTTTCTGGTAACGACTAGATTCTTTTTTGAATTTCTAAAAAAAAAAAATTTAAAATTACATCTCTCGAATATTAAAAAAAGGTCAGTACTCCAATCTAATTTATATCAATGTCACGGGTCCTATGACATAGGATCATAATTATTATTTATATTTATATTTATATCAATTGTTTGACATTTGTTTTCCATAGAAAAAAAAGTATCATATTTATTCTTGATACATACACACACACACACTCGCATGCAGATGATGACCTCGATGATTATTATGTTATATTGTGCTATTGTGGCCAATATAAATGTTGACCCCAGATATGCACATGGTTTGTCATGTCATTATGAATTGTTTTATTTTGTCATTATTATTGTTGCGAAAAGATGAATCGCTAGGTGGCGATCTTGACTACCAAAAGAAAAATTGTGATTGACTGTGATGACCATGAATGTAATTTTGTCTTCTTCTTTCTTTTTCTTATTGTATTGAATTTTGATCATTTTATTATGTTTTATGATTTACATCGATGAACACATCGTTTATTAAAATATATGAATAAAGTTTTCTTGTATTTAGCGACGACTAACGACAACGAAACGACGACGAACGACAACGACGACGAACGGTAGCGACGACGAACGGTAGCGACGACGAACGATAACGACGACGATCGATAACGACGATCTATAACGACGAACGACGACGAATAACGACAATGGTGATCACGAAAGCGGGTACTGCTTATGGCAGCGACATCAATCCCGAGCAGCTGAGAGAGGAAGTGAAAAACCTCATCAAACGTATCAAGTTGAACGATATAGCGTTATTTAATCAGGCCGAAAAGATATCTTACAAGACGGTAAAAGCGTTATATGACGACTACTATAAGTGTAGTAGGTGGATCATTATTTATATTTCATATTTATATTTGGAATGGAACAAACGAGCGTTTGAAATTTCGCATTAACGATAAACTGAATAAATTACGATTCGATTGTGTCAGCCATGATCAACAATTAATGATACGACAACATGATATTCTATTCCACGATGAACCAAAAATGGTCGACATATTGATTGGCTTGGACAACATTAACAAAATTCAACTTGAAGATGAGAAACGGTTGTCGAACGATGTAGTGGCTAAAAGAACGACATTGGGATGGATCGTATTTGGATTATCAAAATCATCGAACGTACTGCTAACATTGTATCAAAATATCGGTCACGAAACAGCTCCCGAATACGACGTTGACGAAGAATCTAAGTTAGCGATGGAAAAATTTGTGACAAATTATTGCCAAAGTGATAATGTGAAATACGACGAATCAAATAAACGATATTCGATAAAATTACCATTTATCGCGAATATTGAAGTCGATTCTAATTTTATCGAAGCAAAGAAAATGATTGCTGGCATGGTGAAACGAATGAACGGAGATCGACGGCGACAATATCAATCGCTAATGGATGAAATGGTAAAGAACGACGTAATCGAACAAACTGCAATAGCAACAGAAATTGGATATCACATGCCGCATTTTGTAATTGCTCGTGATGATAAAAATACAATTGTTTGACATTTGTTTTCCATAGAAAAAAAAGTATCATATTTATTCTTGATACATACACACACACACACTCGCATGCAGATGATGACCTCGATGATTATTATGTTATATTGTGCTATTGTGGCCAATATAAATGTTGACCCCAGATATGCACATGGTTGTCATGTCATTATATTATATTATTTTATTTTGTTGATTGTTGATCAAATGCAGACATTTTTAAATTCGTGTCTGTGTGTGTGTGTGTGACAATTTGTTTTTATTTTGTCATATATTATAATATCAAAGACTAGAAACCTTGAAAGACATCATCATCATCATCATCATAAAGTTTGACCAAAATAATGTTTTCAGTATATGTGAATAGCCGTAATACCGAATCAAATTGTTTAGATTGACATGCATATTTCATATATGTCAACATTTCTTATGAAAATCTTGTTTCTTCAATGCGGTATAATTTTAAAATTTCCTTTTTTTAATATAAATCAGCCATCAGTGTACACAATATAACATCATAGAGTGCAATCAACTTTTATTGTTGTTGTTGTTGTTCCCGTATGCTCAGTATATTCTTGTGTTTTATGTTGTACATCTGGATGATTTGATGATATCGATCCAGACATCTTGCTGCTTCTGCTGCAGTATATATATTCTATGGCTATTTTCTTCAATAAACTATTTTGCACAGACTCAAAATGATTTTATCGCGCCCAATTTTTTTTTCTTTTATTAACTATAGTTAAAAGGACCATATATATAGGATATATAGAATGGATGTTATAGTTTTAGCCTTTTTGAGCCACAGCTGCATTTTTATGTTCCAAAAAATTGTTTATTCTGGAATATCCAATTCTCCAATATGGTCCTGTATAAAACGATTGATTAATTGGACGATACCATCGAATTCTATTTTTTTTCTGTGATATACAGATATTACAAATTCAGACGATAAAGTGAAAAAAGAGAGATCCAGGCAATAAACGAATTGCATTGAATGAATGATGAGTCACGAACACTAACAACGATGTTCATCATCATCATCATCTTGGAATGAATTAATTTATACTCGATGCAATAGCACATGATGACAATGATGATTGCAATTCTGTATGAGCAACAACAACAACAACAAAAATTTGTAATAAATTAAACTAGATATATATTCAGTAGGGCATAGTAGTAGTAGCCTACTGACCATATATGGTTTTTTATTTTTTGAATGAATGAAAAATTATTATATCAACAGATCAACAAAGCTTTTTTGTTTGTTTATTCTGTACGCGTGTGCAAGTGTAATTTGAATGAAAATTCATTACGAAAAGAAAAAATAATTTTTTGGCTCAAATTATGACAACCATCATCATTATCATTCATAAGTTTTTTGTTTAATTTTTTTTTCTACAAAATAATCTTATTCCATTTGATACAATGAGCAGACAGATGATTTTAATTTTTGAATGAAAATGAAGATGACACAATGTCACTAAATATTGATGACAATTCGCTGTTGTTGTTGTTGTTGTCACAATTATCAATTGGTGAAATATTTTGTATTCATAAGATGAATAAAACTGAAATGGATTTTTTTTTGATTCTATTCATCTGATTCTCATCATCATCATTATTATGATGATAATGACATTTTGACATTGTCATCATTGTGTGCCATAGGCTAATCTTTATATCTCTTTATTATATGTGCATGCTTGATAATTATAATAATAATATGCCACAGGCGTTGATCATTCTTGAACTGTGTGTGTGTGTGTGTGTTTTCTTCGTTTTTTTTTTGATTGATTGATCAATCTGTGCCATCATCCAAAAGATTTGAATCAAATTCAAAAGAATGAAAGCAATAAAATAACATAATCAAAATCATTCAAATTCATTCAATGCTATTTGGTACCAACCATATGCATATGGTGTTTCGTGATATTTTTTTCATAATAATAATTGTCATTTTTTTTTTTTGATAATATACATTTGTCATGGATGACGCCCCAAAATGAGATTATTTTTCATTTTCTTATTGCCAAAATAATGATTTATCTGATTTAGTCATCATCATCATCATCATTCACAAGTTGTCTGAGATATGAAATTAGCCAGAAATAATAAAAAAAAATGTATAAAACGAAAATCCATGGCGTGTGACCAGTGGAAAAAAATGATGATGATGATGATTATTATGATTTTCTTTTTTTTTTGCACTTGATATTCATTCATTCACAATATATATTCCCATTGTTTTTTTTGTGTCTTCCATAGTTATGGGAAAATTTCATCATTTGGCCAATTCAAAATGAATAGAATGATGACAAAATACATTCTCACTCACATCCACGACACTGATAAATTCCTCGTCAGTCAACCATCCATTCATCTTAGTTTTCAGATCAAAAAAAAACTATGGTCAAGTAAATTGACCATCGAACAAAAAACTGGCCAATTAAAGATCTGATTAAAACAAAATAACAACAACAAAAACAACAACATTGTCAAATATATGAAAAAAAAAATTTTTTTTCGTTATTATTCGGTCAATATATCCTGTTTATCGACAATAAAATCGAAAAAAATTAATGTAACCATAGAACATAGTTATTATTTCATATATATTGAATCGATAGAAAAAAAACGTTATTCGATATCGATATCATTATCATTAGCCATCACAATCATTTTTGACAATCGGAAATATGGAAAAAAATTTTTTCTTTATCATTCGTTCATATTGAATAATTTAAATTTCCTGTTTTCAACACAGACCCTTTTTTTCATATGCATGACCAGAATGAATTTTTTTTTCTATTTTGCCTCTTTGTTCATTTATTACACAACAATCTCTTTTCACTATTTCTTTATCAATAGCGTAGACAAAACAGCATTATTTTTTCTCTATAATGTACTTCCTGTCATTTTTTTTTCTTTTTCTTCTTCTTTTGGACACTTTATTTTGTTTCAAATGAATGATCACGTATAATAATAATAATAATAATGATGAATAGCTGACCGAAGCATTTAATTGGTTAAGTTTACAAATAACAACAACAACAACAAAAATTTTATAAATTATCACAAATTGGAAATGAAATGAAATTCGTATGCCACACACACACACACATATGATTATACGCACGCAAACAATTATGCTATTGGCTATTTATGGATTTATACCAATTTTATCGATTCGAGTAGATCAAATCATAATATATTCCATTCATTGGATTTCGATTCATGACGCTTCTGTATATCATTATAATGATGATGATGATGATTAGGCAACAATATATTTAGCATGTTGAAATTGTTATTAATATCCGATAGAATCTTCGGTCAAAAAAAATCGAATGATATTATCTTCTGTCCAAAATGTTCTATGTGTTGTTGTTACATCTGCAGACATGAATCCTTCCATAAAATCTCAATTATCATTATTTATAAATAATCGGCATTCAATCAATCAGTATCGATAAGCTGTAGTTTTTTCCCCCCCATAGTAGAAAGATGATTAAAGTGCGAAGTGATTGTTGTTGTTGTTGTTGTTATTATTATTATTACCGATTTAGGTAATGATTATTACCATTTTGATTAGTATAATGTTGACCTATATATATTTTTGGGCTTTGTTTTTTTTATTTATTCATTTTCGTTCTTGTATTATCATCATCATTTATTGTGATGTTGGTGGACCATTGAAATCTCTTATATCAATCATGAACAATTCTCGCCCGATGATGATGATGAACATGGTTGATCATCATCATCATAATGATTGGAGATAATCGTGACCAAACACCTGTTGAAGACAAAGAAGAAAAAAAACCGAAAACGGTTCATTTTTTTCTGTGTTTTAGCCAATTGATAATTATGATGATGATTTCTCTCTTTTTGTGTTCATTTATTCACGGGTAAAAATGCCATGTCCACGATGATGATGATTCGGTTAATTTAATCTTCTTTTTTTTGATTATCGTATAATAGCAAGCCATTGTCTAATTTATATTTGACACATACGAATAATAAAAACCAAAACATTTCCTTTTTGTGGTCATTGTATTTTTTTTTATTTTTTGACCAAATGAAAATGACCAAAAAACAAAATTGACATAATATGATAATAATACACTTGGTTGAATAATGATGAAAATAGTATATTTGCCATAATTCGAATTGTTATTCAAAAAAAAAAAAAAAAAAAATGCCATTCATAATGGACGATATCATTCGTTTTGATGGGCTATAATTTACCACTTAAAAAAACCTTTTTTTCTTTTGTTTCAAATTTTCTTAAACTTTTATATTTGTTTGAAAATATAAAAATTTTTAAATTGTTTACCATGCTCATCCATGTCAATCGTTTCTTTCTTTTGTTGTTGTTGTTGTTGTCGTTGTTGCTGTAGTTGTCAAAAAATGATTGCTGCCCATTCGAAATATCGATTGTTTTCCAAAAAAAAACATTGTTTTGTGTTTTGATATTTACAAAGCAGATTTTTTTTTCTTGAAAATTTTTTTCATCTTGCAAAAAAAAACACTATATATTTAATTACGATTTTACCATTTTTATAAATCAGCAAAGAAAACTTGTTTTATTATTGTTATCACCAAATTTATATCTTTGAAATCGATTTTCATTGCTATCATCAGGTGGAAAAAAATCTTATTTATATATATACGCTATAAAATTACGATTTCTAAAGGGAACTAAAAAAAAACATTATCGAATCTTTCCAACCTGTTTTTTTTCAAGCGAATATGAAGTTGAATATATGAATTTCACGATTTCATTTCACTTCCTTTTATTTCCAATTGTGAACAAAGAGAAAAAAAAATTTGTTTTGCCTTTTTCGTTGATTTTTTTTTCTGCTGTTGTTATATTATCAGGACGATAAAATAGTATTGTGCCAACTCTTTCTTTCTTTCTTCCTTTTTTTCAATTATTTTTTTCTTGAAAGCTTTCGATTAGAAAAAAATAATGATGATTATGATAATCGCCATCATCATCATCATATATGGTGATGATATGATGTGATGTAATGTAACCAAGCAAAATATTTCTATTAACATATTTTTTTTCATTCTCTATATTATTCAGACAAACGATAAAAAAAATGTGGTCAGGAACAGTTGGTCTTGTCAATGGACAATATAAATATTTGACTGCCGAAACATTTGGACATAAAATCAACGCCAATGGTGTAGCATTAAAAAAGAAACAATTATGGACAATCGAACCATTTCCATTCGGCACATCAACTGGTTTGTCATCATCATCAACTTCATCGAATGGTAATGGTAATGGTAATCATGGTGGATCAATCAATGTTCGGTCACCCGGTATGAGCCCACAGAGCAGTATTGAAGAAATGGATGAATTAGAAAATGTGGCCATCAAATCACATTTAAACTGTTATCTGGCTGTTGATAGTTATGGTAATGTTACCTGTGACAGTCAAATACTTCATGATGGATGTCGTTTCACTATTACTATATGTGCTATGACACAAGAAGGTCATGATGAAGGTTGGTTGATTTTGATAATACCATTTTCTCGATTATTTTAATTAATTTCAAACAATCTTTTTTTTCTGCTATGTATTTTCTTAATTTATCATTGATAATCAGATCAAATATCTTGGGCATTCCGTAATATATCTCGAGGCTATTTTCTTGGTGTTTCAAATGATAGCGGTTCAATAATCTGTAATGCTAAAATGCCACAATCAAAAGCAGAACTTTGGCATGTTCATCTGGTACCTGCTCGTGGTGCTACAATGTTTGGCTTTAAATCTGTTGGCCGTAAACGTTATGCACAAATCATCTCATCTGGTAAGTCTTGGTGAAAACCTGATATTCGCCCTTTTTTTATTTTAAAAAACATTCAAAAAAAAATTTTCCTTATCATTTCATTGAAATCTTTTTTTTTAAAAAGGCAATCAAAAACAAATACAAATTGATTCGACCAATGTTTGGGGACCAGAAACTTTGTTTCAATTTAAATATTTTGAAAATGGAAACTATGTATTGATTCCAGCATCAACATGTATTGGTTCGATAAAATATATTTCTTCCGATGGTATCTGTGTAGATGCTTCAAATGAAAAGTCATCGATCACCAATAATAATAATAATAACAACAAGTTGAATGGTTTTGCCAACGGCAATGGATTAACAAATGGATCATCATCAATTGTAATGCCACCAAAAGATTGCCTATTTACTATCGAATATCATGGAGGATTTGTTGCTTTTCGAGATAAATCGGGCCGTTATTTAGCTGCCACTGGACGACAGGCTGTATTACGTACACGTTCAACAGCCGTAGGCAAAGATGAATTATTTGTATTCGAACCGGCACCATTACAAGTAGCTTTTCGAGCAACATTCAACAACAAATGGATCAGTATCAAACAAGGTAATATATCAATTGTTTATTAAGTGTATTTCATTCCATTTCATTCCACAATTTATAATTCATCTTACAATCATCATCATTTATTTGTTTAGATTTCACAGAAAACAAACAAATAAAAAATCAAAATGGTTTTTTTTCTCCTAAAAACAACCACAATCAATCTCGATTGATTCCCATCATCGTAATTTTATAGTCATTTTTTGTTTTTGACGATCATTTTTGCTCGGTTCTTTATTTTAATTTTTGTTGTCGTCGTCGTCGTTGTTGTTGTTGTTGTTGTTTCGGCTCGTTTTTTTTTGATCATGATCAATGACCCTAATGCTGAAAAAAATTTTCTTGAATTTCAATTTTTTTTAAAGCTATTATTCTTTTTTTTTATCGTACAAATAATAATAATGACAGAAACATTGATCTGAATGATATTTTTTTCTAAATGTGATTGACATTTGTATAAAAGAATAAGAAAAAAAATTTTGAGCTTGAGTAATCAAGCGGGAAGCACGAATCGAAAAAACAATGGACAATTTATTCCGATTAGATGCTTCAAATAAGAAATTATAGAGACACACACAAAGCGGCATAAATGTGTTTGCTACTATGCTGGCAACATGACAGTTATCAGCATTATTGGTTTTCATTGTTTCAATGATAGATTGGTCATTGGACACATTGATCTTTGGCAAAAAAAAAAAAAAAAAATGAAAGATGAATCGATCAATTTTGATTAAAATTACAATGATGGTGGTAGCACCAAATTACTATGATAATGATACTTATTTTTAATGTTGTTTTATTATCATTATTTATTACAAATGAATTCTTTTCTTTTCCAATCAACAGGTGTCGATTTATCTGCCAATCAAAGTGAAGTAACCCAACATGAAACATTTCAAATTGAATATAATGATAAATATGATTGTTGGTATTTGAGTACTAAAGATGGAAAATATTGGTCACCTGGTGTTGCATCGGCTGTTCATGTATCACAGCCAAACATGTCGGTAAAAGGTCGTTTTCGTTTATCTTGGAATCAAGATGAAGGAACATGTTCATTATCATTAATCGATGACGATAATGATCAATTAAAACCATTATGTGCACGAAAATCTGGTCAATTATATACTGGCGGTGGTGAATCAATTAAATTCCATATTAAATTCATGAATCGAACTAATGTTTGTCTTCGTGCATCGAATTCTAGTGGATTTGTCGGTACCAAAGGACAAGGTCAGTATCATCGAATTAGTTTAATATGATCTAACAAGTTGTTTGACTGTTTATTTTTTAAATAGGATCCTATAAATTAGAATCAAACAAAACGATGCCGGATATGTTTGTCATTGAATATGCTAATGCCGATAATCCAACAATTTCACGTGATGATGTCGATGCTATTGATTCAAGTTTTAATTGTTGTTATTTGAAATTAGCTACCAGTGGAAAATATTTGAATGTTGTCGATGGACAAACATTGGCGGCTGATGCACCATCAATGGCTTGTGCACAACAATTTCATATTGAACTACGTACTGGTACATATATTGCAATTCGTGCTTATGATTCAAATGCTTATCTAAATCTAACGGCAAATGGCGGTATTGTGTTTGTTAATTGTCCACCTGAAAAAGCTACACTCTGGGAATTTTGAGCTTTTCACAATCGATCTTATTATTGAATATGTTTATATGATTAAACAATCATCATTGATTATGTCTTTCTATGGCCAGAAAAATCAGTCATTACATTTACATGTTTGCAGACAAAAAAAAAATCAATCAATGTTATGGCTATTCATCATCATTATTATTACATGCATGGCATACATAAATATTTGAACCATTTATAATTTGGTTATCGATTATCGATTTTCATTACAAGAAAAAAAACAAAACAAACATTCGAATTTCAATTAACAACGAGCTATATATTATCAATTTGTAATGAGCAATTTTTTTAAACGTATACATTTCGAAAACAATTTTGACAACAACAATTATCGTCTGACGATTTATTATTACCAATGATTTTTCATTCTTTTTTTTTTTTTTTGCTTAATCAATTTTATTTTCTTTCATTTTTTTTATGGATTGATTGATTTTTGTATTGATAGATTTTTATATAAATGCAATTATATGACTGAAAACTTAATTTAATTTTGTGTGTGTGTGGAATTTAAAATGGATCGAACCATCGATCATTCTGATTCAGTTAAAAGTTATTAGTTCTTAATTTAGCCATTGCGTTCATATTTGGTAGAAAAAAATATGGAAAAATCCAATTCGAAAAAACTTGATGAACAAAAATTGATGGAAAATCAAAATCTTTCAACGAGATACAGAAAAAATCCAATTCAAACAAGAAAAACAATTCAATTACTTTATCGAAGCAAAACGTATCAGTTATGATGAAGAAATCTTTGGCGAAAACTGGTTCCAAGAAAAACATGTCTTCAAAAAAGTCAAAATCTCTTACGAAAAGTAAAAAGCCAAAATCTTTGGTCAAATCAAAATCATTGCAAAAATCTTTTTCAAAGACTAAAAAAAGTAGTGGCAAAAAATCGTCAAAAGAAAAAATTATAATGAAATCTAAATCAGGATCTAAAAAGCGTGATTTATCATTGACAACAAAGACATCTTCATATCGAAAAATTAAATCTACAAGCAAAAAACCGATTCATGAATCAAAATCATTTACTAAATCAAAGTTGGACAGCAGTTTAATCGGTGTCAAAAAACAAGAAAATGTTGAACCATTGTCCAAATCGTTTGTACAAACTGAAATGTCAAAAAAAAGTTCAATGGAAAAATCTGGATTGCCCATACCATCGAATCCGTTAATTGAATCAAAAATTCAGCCATCATCTAAGGTAAACATTTCAGAATCGAATGTAAATGAAAATGAAAAACGAATTGAATCGCGATTGATTCAGGTAAACGTTCCAGAAAAAGTTCAGAAACAATTGGATGAAATTATAAAAAATCTTCAAAAAAATGACCAGGATGATGAATGGGAATATTTTTACGATCGAATTGAATGGCCAGAATTCGATAATGATGATTACGAATATGAATGGATCGATGAGAAAGATATCCATAAATATCAACCTGAACAGATTATTAGAGTTGATTATGATCCCGATTCAAAATGTTCTATTGATTTTAAATCTAAATTTTGATAATAACAACTTTCAATGATTTTTTTTGCATTACATTTTTCTTTGTTTTTTTCTTTGTGTTTGTTTTTTTCTTTGTCTTCAAATTTTACATATCCAGATTTGTGGTCCAGGTTTGGACAAAGAAAACGAAAAAAAATTAGCTACTACGAATATGAACAATGAAAAAGCGTCGGAAATAATCACTAAAGTCCAAGAGGATTTAAAAGATTTGAAAAAAGTGGATGATTTTCTTAGTCCAGAAGAGAAAAGTAAAAGTGCATATAAAACGGCCAAAAGACATCATCAGCCTATTAAAGTGGATGATGATAAGACATTGCAAAAACAGCAGGAGCCAAACGAAAACGAAAGCCCAAAAACTATGATTACAAATAAATTTCCAAAATCGAAAAAAATTGGACAGCCAAAACCTTATAATGAGCAAATAAAAACTGCGACTGGAAAAGAAACAGGAACAAAACAAGACGATCAAATCAAAATATCCAAAGAAACGTCAAAAAAGATGCAAGAGATGTCAAAAAAACAATCACCAAAATCGGATAAAACTAAAACCATGGAGCTCAAGAAAAATAATCCTGATGCAAAATTACTTATGGTAACAAAAGAACCATGTAAAGAATAAATAGATTGTTACATATTAATAAAATTATGAAATTATGAATAATAAAAGCAATGATGAATTTTTGAATTTAATCACGTGACACACGTGAGAACATTGTTTATGAACAGAATAACAATGTTTTTATCATCGTGTGATGGATTGAATTTTATTTTGGATATTTTTCAGTTATTCGCTGGCTTTCATGAGATTATTATTTTTGAATCTGGATTGAAAATTCTGGATATTTAAAATGGGCTCTTTATGTTGTTGTGGTCCTCGATCTTCTAGTTCCCAATCATTGGATGAGAATAGCCATTTGAGCGTAAGTATATCCTATATATTTATCATATGATGATTTCTGATGATGAATAAAATTTTTAACGATTTTCTTGCCATTAAAATAGGTTGGAAACATTAACGAAGAAGAACGACGTCGTCGTGCGGCTGAAGCTGCCGAAAAACGCCTACAACAACAACAAATGCGTGGTGTTCAATCCGGTACAGCCGATTCGGTACCGTTAAGAGTGGCGCATAGCGAAATACCCGGAAATATGAATTCAAATTTACGATGGCAAATGTCATAATCTTTTAATCATAATATAATGTGATCACTGAATATTGAACTAACAATTGCATTTTGACCGTATTCCTACCATGTGTATATCATATTCTTCTATCTGCAATAATATTTGTTAATTTTTTTAAACGTATACAAAAAAATGTTTTTTATTTATTTTATCATTAAATACATTGATTGAATGGAATGAATCAGAACAAGTAAATGAATTCAAAGTGCTTGATATAATATCATTTCTGAATCACGATCTTCATCTGGTCGATATAAACTTCGATAGATGAAATACAAAAACACTGTAATGGATATGAAAGGTAGAATATAGGCAAAAATTGTGGCCAGAATCCAATCGAATGATTTCGTTTGATCAGAGCCAACTTGAGTCCAATTCATCATTGTCTGATGTGTAGAATTGATGAATGTTTCGAATTTTCGTTCGATTAAATGATGGAAACAAACACTTTGTTTTCGATGATTTTGATCGCTATGGCCATCATCTTGATAATCAAATAATGATTGGTTGATTTGATCTTCAGTAAGACATTCACATTGACCATTAGTTTCATTACATTGACTATATGGATCTTGTTCAACACATGGATCAATAAAATGACCATTTAATTTGATAATTTCGAAATTACAATCAATACATTGGCCATCAATTGTATAGAATGGTTTATTCGATGATGTTTGTAATCGATTACAAAGACATTGAGATTTATCCAAACAAAACAATGGTAATGACAAGAGAAGATCATCATCATCATCATCATCAACAACAACAACATTATTGACATTTAATTCGGTTTCATTTGAATGATTCGATAAACTTTGACAATCTGAATTAGTAATGCATACATTGTTGAATGATAATGATGTATCATGTTGTAATTTTGCAATTGGTACATATAATAATAACAATAAAAGGAAACGAATTTCCCAGAACCAAAATGATGCCAATTTCGACATAATTTTTTCTGTTACAATTGACAATTATTAAATTATATTAGTATATATCAATTCTCTGTGTGTGTATGTATGTGTTTGATTCAATTCAATTTTTGTTATGTTTATGGAATCATCTTCATTGTAATCCTGAAGATTATTATGCTTAGAAATGATTTTGGTTTGTTTGACAACATCATCATCTTCATCTTCATCATCATCGTCGTCGTCGTAAACATCAATATGTCATGAAATTCATTCGTGCTTAAGCATATTATTCGAGAATCCTGTGTACGGTTTTCTAAATCTTGTTAGTTTCCATCCAATGGAATGATCTCAGCAATTTTTTTTGTGTGTTTTGTTGTTGTTGTTGTTTGTTTGTTTTTATCTTGTCAATGATGATCATTTATGAAAGGAAATAACAAATGGATCAAAGAATAACAAAAACAGGCAAAACGGCTGCCGCCATCTAATATCGACCAACATAATTAAGACATTATTTTGGAATTTTAATTTTTGAATTTTTGTTTTTTCTTGAAAAAACAAATCAATACTAATTGATTTAATGAATGGAAATTAATCAGTCGTCAATGATTATCATGATGATGACAATGCAGACATGACATGGTTAAAAAGTCATTTTTTTTGAAAAATTGTTTATGATCGATCTCGATTAGTTTGATTTCAACAAAACAAAACAAAACTGATGAATCAAATGAGGATGATCATGACAGAATAGAAACAAAAAAAGTACAGATCATTCGATAGTTTGATTTATTTTATAAAAATAGAAAGAATTTTGATTTTTTTTTTTTTGCTCTAAATCACGCATTTGGATTGTTCTCATTGACATGAATGATTAATTATAATCTCAATAATAATGATCTGTGTAATGATTCTGATTATTGATTAATATCAATCAATCTGTTATTAAGAGATTGATGACAAAAATAGTACAATTCATTGACAATAACACACACACACACACACATAGATTTTTTTTTCATTCCATAAATAGTTTTATATGAATTTCCATTTCTCTCTCTCGTCTCTCTCTCTCTCTCTCTGTGGATCAAATTTATATGATATATAAATCTAGAAAAAAAAATGTAAAAATCCGGATGCAGATCACAATCTGTTTGTAAGAGTGAAACAAACAAACAAACAAACAAGCGAAAAAATTTCCATTTTATCGTGTTTCATATTGTGTATGTGATATTATATTTTATTTGTGTCGATCAAAATCATTGATAAAAATTTGCAAATAAATCTTGGCCGGAAATCTATATCTATCCAAATGCATCATCATTTCATTTATTCTGGTTTTATGTTCATCATTTTTTTTTTTTTTTGAAATAATTGTATTTTGTGTCATTCTGTGTGCATGAATATCCAATTTCACGAAAACATAATATTCGATAACAAGCATTTCTATCACAAATATCACTATCAAGATGATATATATTCAAATTATATTCAACATTCATTGATGATTGAAATTGAAAATAAATACAAACAAAGCCACCATTATCAACATGATGAAGATTAATATTTCATAATGGATCATATTTGATTGTGATTTTTTTTTCTATTTCCGAAAATTTTTTTTTTTTTTTGTATTTTATTGCTTTGGCTGTTGTAGGGCGTATATGTACTCATCATCATCTTGTTGTTGTTGTTGTTGTTGTTTGTTTGGTTGGTTGGTTGGTGGTACGATATTCATTCATCTCAAATGTCGATCAAAAAATTTTTTTTTTTGTTGTCAAAATTGGATCAAAATAACAGCTAAATTATTGGCTATAGCGTGATGGACAGATGAATGAATGGATGAACAAAGTGGAGAAAAATAACCATCGCCCACAATGAAAATATCATAAATGTCATTCATAAATAAATTACAATCATGATCATGAATAACAAACATGAATTTTGTTCGGGTTTGGATCGGAAATCTGGATCAGAATCTATTGTCACGCAATTAGATTCTGGTGAAAAGTTTACTCCCCTTGTTTTTTTGGATATTTTTTTTTTGCCATTTTGTCGTTATTTTACTAATCAATCGATTATTGACCAAATCTGGCATACTCAAACAAAACGAAAAATGAGACGGAAAAAAATTCCAACATTCATTGCTGACATTTACTCATATTGTTGTGTGATTGTCATCATTTTATTTGTATGTGTGTGTGTGTGTGTGTGTGTGTGTGTGTTTACTTATTGGTTTCAGATCTGTAAGTAGTATATACCCATAGGTTGAACAATCAGAATCGGAAAATTTTCCAATCTTTGCGATCCAAACCACACGAAATCATTATTCGCGAATCCATTCATTCATTTTGAATGCTGAGTAACCAGAAAAAAATTCCAACCAAATAGCTAGTTATTAGGTCTAGTTTAATAAGTACTTGCCAAACCAAATATGAATCGACCATCCCATAAATCAATCGACCAATCAATTAATCAATCAAAATGAAAAAAAATTTGTTTTTTTTTGTTCATCGATTCAACAGTAATTTTGTATATACACTACACTATTATTTCATAACTCTTCATGGTCAAACTATGACTTATTGTTTTTAAAAGTAATCGTTTCTCTCTTTCTTTCTTTCTTTCTCTCTGTGTGTGTGAGTGTTCATTTTCTTTTCTCTTTTTTTTCGGGTCGATTCATTCGACTAAACTGTTTGATTATTTCTCATGATCATTACACGGTAGAGATTGATCGATATACTAAATAAAATTAAAAAGTTTGTTTCTTCTTGTGTTTATTTCTCGATTGTCATTTGTTGTTGTCATCGATAGAATGATGATGATGATCATTGATCTTCTTCAATATTTTTTCTCGAAATTGTTGAATAATTATATAAAATGTATACAAAACGAACAAACAATGTTCATCATCATCATCATCATTTGTTTTTCAATTGATTATCGTCATTGAATTTGATTTAAAATGATCAATTATATTCACAACAATAAATGAAATCGGATCATTTCATTTTACGTTCATTTTGATCATCATCATCATCATCTTTATTATTATGGATAACATGTGAAATAACAACTATCTGGCATTTAAAATATTTGATCCAATTACATTTTTTTTTGTCAAAGTTTTTTCTTTCATAGATTACCAGACAGCTATCATATATCGTATTGTTCTGGATGTTTCTATGGATTGGACGATAGAATACTTCATTGGTTGATTGGTTAGTTATAGTTGTCACCAATGGAAACAACAATGTCGTTGGTGTAAATCGAGAAAAAAAAATTAAACCGACAACCGAATCAAATAATGGTGGAAAGTATAGAGAAAAAAAACCGTTGTCATCGTTGTTCTTCAGAGGTGTGGGTGGAGGTGATATTATAGATGGTGAGAAAAAAAAATCAGCCATGTATTTTGAACAGATTTGAATCATTGGCCACCATTCATAAAAGAGAGTGAATGAAAGAGAGATCGATGTTATATTAATTGCTTCATCATCGAAGCCAAACAGTGGCTAAACGTTCGACATGAAATATATTGATTATCGATCAATTAATTCAGTAAATGAAAATGATTTTTCGATTTAGCAACAACAACAACAGCATCAATTCAATTGAAGACAATGATCATCATCTTTCATCAAGCACATAATTCGGTGATTCTCATTTAATAATGGAATAATAAAACATTTTTCTTATTGATTCAAACTTACCTGAGAATGTTTAATCAAAACAACAAAAAAAAAAAAACTCAAAATGATTTTCATCATTTGATTCCCGTATTTTAAAAGGTTTGATGTTTGTTTGTACTGATTTACAAACTTGTATTTCATTTTTCTTTGAACTTTCATATCAAACAGATCACTAGCTACATGATTTTTGCTCAAATCAACTATCAGCTACAAATGTATTTGATCGATGATGGCAGTAATAGTAATCGAAAAGGGTGTCCTGATCTTTTTTTTCTTTATCTTCTTCCGATCAATTTTGATGATGATAATGATGACGAAACGTGTTACTCACTCTCTTTTAGTTCACTATTATCATTTATTATTATCGATATCATCAACGTCATTGTTGGCCGATTAATTGATTGATTGATTGCTCAATTATCGCCACAATAAATAAAAAAAAGCAAGTAAAATAATGGATAATGTCGGCATATCGATATTGTTGTTGCTGTTGTTGTTGTCGATATCATCGATTGTGATTGTAGATTGAATACAAGCCAAATCGATTGTTTTAGAATGAAAATTTTTTTTAGTACAAAATGCCAAATAAGTCATATATAATAATGACGATGATGATGATGATGAATCAACTGTATTTTGAACCAGATTGGGTCCCAATGTAAATATTCAACAATAACCGAGAACAATTTTGATACCATTCAAACTACAAATTTTAATTACGATCAGATTTTCTAACAAAATAATTTTGGCCAGAACCGTATTTGGTAATTTTTTTCCATTATCTAATTTTCTAATAGTTAATAATAAACCTAAATAATAATATATCAAATCATAATCAGTAATATTTTTTTTTCACTAACTACACAGACATTACAAATTTCCCATGATATACTAAATTGAACATTTGATTATAATTTGTAAATTTGTCATCATCATCATCATCATCATCATTGTACGATTCCGATTCGGGTAAGTACATTCAAATTTGTCATTTTTTTCAATTTCACCTGATTTGGTCATTGGAACAACATTAATTTTTCATCATTTTCGAATAATTGAATTGATGCCATCGAGGCTATCTTAAAAAATTGACAACATGTTTTTTTTTGATTAATTCAGAGAAAAAAAAATTTTTTTGAAATCGAAACGAAACAGCTAGCCCAATACAATACGGTTATGTTGTATCGAATTCGAGGCCGATATTAAGATAGATCGTATGGTATCTATTCCGTTATCGTAAACATCATCATCATCATCAACGATATCGATACTATCAAGTTTTTTTTCTCAAAAAAAAGTAAACTAAATTAGATCAAATGTAAAAGAAAATTAATTTTTTTTTTTCATTAATTTTATGACAAAATTATCTAGATTTTCATGTAATAAAAATAAAAATAATTATTAATTTGAAAAATAAAATCCAAACAAAGTTATGTTGTTAATTTTTGAAAATTTAGATTAATCTCAGTAATTTGAGCCGCAAGGAATGAATGAAGTATAAAAACGAATGCTTGAGCATTTTGGACAAGATTCAATTCAAGCTAAATGAATAACAACAACAAAAAACAACAATAAAATGATTAGAAATTATTTTCATTTTACAAAATATCAATTACCTTTCGATTTTGATCATATATAAATGTGATCATTTTATTGCCATCATCATGGGTTGAACAAAGTTGTCTGAATGATATCCGATACATTATTCGACCGGTTCGTGTTTCATTAATTGTAATGCCTTTTTTGTAATGTAGTTGAAGAATGCATTCAATGGATTCTCCATCATCATCGTCCATTAGGCAAGCTGAAATAAACGAAATAAATTTACAATTAATAATCAATACAAAAAATGAGCTACTCATAACTTACCAACGGAAATATTTTGCAATTGACGTACATATTCAAATGTGCAAAGAATGATTTTTTTGGAAAAATGACTAATCTCAGTATAAAGCTGAGCGGAAAATAATCGGGATTGAATACCAGTACTGGTACCTGTACGAAGAATGAATGCAATTGGCAATGGATTGAATTGACAACCACCACTGGTAGATAAAGTCTGTGTTGCCGTTGTAGCAAGCGAACTATCTTGTAATAATGATGATAATGATGAAGATTGTGATGAATTCTGTAATCTATTGAATTTAATGGAATTATCAGCTAAAACTTCATGACCAATATCGTTTTCATTGTTGTTGTTGTTGTTTGTTCATTATTATTATTGTTTATATAAATAAATCGTGTCTGTAATAAAGGCCATAATAATTTGTATTCAATCAATTTGTTCCCAATGAAAGGAAATGTATCATAAAAATATAAATCTCTTGTTGTCAATATCAGAAATAATGGACGCCATTTTGTCGTTTGTTCATATTGCTCAAAAAGTGAAACATTATCCGACTGTGTTGAACAGCTACTGTTTTTGATTGAATCCAGTTTAGACTATAAGAATGAGAAATAAGAGACAAATTATTTATAATACTAAATTTTCCAATTTATAATCTATATATACTTACATCATTGGAATCATAGTATGGAATAATATAGTCTTTATGTTCCTGGAACCATCCAAGGTAAGTGATTCTAGAATTATCAAAATAACCAAATGTTTTCCGTTGATTTACTTTTTTCATAATTTTTGTATTCAAATTCTGAACAATTTTATGTATTGCACAGAACCAAGAAGTGCACTTTGATTCATTATAAAAACGAATTACACATGCTTTCGATAAATTTGGTGATTGTATAACAATCACCTGTTGAATCGATGATGCATCATCCATCTTTCGATTTATCGATGAATCGGTAATAGAATTATCAGCTGTAGCTGAATTGTAATCAGATTCAGGTGAATAATAGGGAGATTTATTCTGTTTGGAAATGTTATTTGAATTCGGTATGGTTCGAACGAGCTGAATTCGATGAACGAATGCGCCCAATAATGGTATCACTTTTGATTCAATTTTGGAACGTTGTGAACTCTGACTTGCTGTATCGCTCGTTGTATCGATAGTGTCTGTTGGACTTTCTAAACGTGTTTCTTTTGAATTTTTAGCCGTATTGGAATTTTTAGATTGAAAAAGACTGGTTTCGGGCATTGTCCATCCAATGTCGGTTAATATGGAAGCCTTCCGGAAATATGGAACCACTTCGGGTAGATATTTCACTATGAGCGGATAAGACGTGCACACTTGACCGTTAAATATATCCGATTAAAAAAGCCAGTGCATAATGAATTTAATTCGAGCAAACCAGTACAAACACAATGACATTCGATTGAATCATGCAAATATGGATTAATGAATCGATATTGAGAATGAAACAACATTCAAAAAAAAGTTAGATAGCATTACCATTCCAAAAATTAGAGGAAAAATCGAAAAATTCAGATTATAAAATAAATTAATAGAGAAAAATATCATTGAGAATTAGTGAAAAAAAAGAGCAATTAAAATTATAGATGCATTCGATTTATATTTCGATTAATTTGCATGCAAATAAATCTGAATATGAATTGAATAGTAACAAACCTTCAAGGTTGACGATTTCACCTGCATTTTTCAATGCTTGAACAGCTTCCTCATGGGTAGCTTCACGTAAATTACAATTATTAACGGCTAATATAGCATCACCAACATATAATTGACAAGTGGAATCAGCAGCCAAACCGCGGAATATTTTCGAGATCAATATGGGCATTCGATTTTCTTTGCCACCTTTGATACTGATACCTAAACCTTCATGGGGTTTCTTTCGAATCGTTACCGTTCGTTTACGATTGGCCAGATCATCAGTTTCTGATGGTATTTCGAAATCATTCACGTTATCGGCTATTCTTTCCAATGATTCTTTCAATGTAATTTTCAATGAATCCTCATATAGTTCGGCCATTATTCGACACCAGAAATTTTTGATTAAAATTTCGGCAACACCGGTACGTCGAGGTTCATCATCATTATTACTATGTGTTAATGATTCGTGTTCTTTTTCAGCCATAATGTTTGTTGTTGATATATTTAGACATGAGATGAATTTGGAAATAGTAATAAAAAATGCAACGATCGTAATTTGTTTTTACGACAAACCAAATACGTTCAATATAAATAAAAGAAAATTGCTTCGTTTACATAAAAAAATAATTTCGATGTTGATTGACGAAACTGATTGTTGTTTTTGTTGTTGTTGTTGTTGTTGACATTTTTTCCAATCTCCAAAAAGGAGTTGAAAAGGATTATCAATTATGGAAGAATTTTTAATTAATGTTTCTTCGAATCAAAAAAAAAACCAAAACAGTAAACAATTTCAATGATGAGCATCTTCTCAAATCATAAACAGCTGTTATTATTATTGTTGAATGATGTGGCGGCGCATCATCAAAATTTTATTCAATCATACGATTGTCAATAGATGACGTTACTGGGACATAAATTGAATTTTGTTTCTTGGTTGATTCTTAGTTTGTCACAAATTTTTTTTTTTTAATTGAATTCAATCCACTTTAATTCGATAAAAGAAATTTTCATCAATAAATCATCTCATCATCATTTAATCCGATTACAGCAATCATTTATTGAATAGAGGATTAGAAGGAAAAATCTTGTTTTTTTTTGATGAAACAAATCAATCAATCATCTGTTGTTATTGATCAATAATCATTGGCCATCTTTTTTCTTTGTGTGCGTGTGGTCAAACATGGAATTTTTAGCAGTTGATGATTGCAAATTAATTGACTATAATTTGTGTGTATGAAAGCAAAAGAAAAAAAAATTCTCATCATCACATCCAACATAGATGTTGTCCTTTCTTGGATGTGTAGCTATAATTTCATTTATACAACTTGATTTATGGAAATTTTATTTTATTTTATTTTTTGTTTTGTTTTGTTTTCACTGATTCTCCTTCTTTTTTTTCAAACAAACAGTGAATCACATGTATATAAATGAATTTTTTTTTGTCTTAGACATGAGGATTTTTCTCAAGAAATATTCCTAAAAAAGCCAAGTTATGATTTGTGATGATGATGATGATGATGATGATGAATAAATTTTACACGAAACATTTCAGCAAAGATATCAAAATCAATTTTTTCAGTATCATACACACACACATACACACACGTACAAGATTTTAATAGAAATTAATGTTTAGATAGAAAGATGGATGGCCTTATTTTTGTTGTTGTTGTTGGCAATGGCCAGTGGCAAAAATAATGATGATGATCATCATGATCATCATCATCGATAATGCATTGCAATATATCACCATTTTCAATGGGTGATTATAATTATTATTGATCAAAAAAAAAAAAAAATAGATGGCAAAACATAAACATAAAGCCACAAAACCTTGATCGATGCAATCATTATTATTATTTTTTTTCTCCTCACCACTACGAGTTTAGAATTCTAATCAGAATTTATTCACAAACAAAAAGTAATTAATTATTATTGTCATGTGAATCAATCGAGAATATGTGTGATATGTTCATTGTTCAGAATTAGAAAATTCTCAGAATATGCATATATAATATAAATATTGAAGGCCATTGTTTTGTCGCATGGAAAAAAACCGTAAACATAATTTTTCATTCAAAAGAAAAAAAACTATAAGAAAGCCAATTTTTCCTGTTTATTTTTTTTCACCGCAATCAATCAATTAACGATTGAAAATGATGATAGTTCACAATATTTATAATCATCATGTGCGTGTATGGAATTTCATTATCATTGTTTTCTGAATAAACATTCTCAGGGGAAAAAAATCCTTTTCTTGTATACAGCTACTAGTTTGAAAATATTCTTTATCCGTCGTTCATTTGTAAAATTATTATTATTATCAAATTCTATGCAATACGATGAGGATTTGTAGATATTTTGATCAAAAAAAAAAAAAAAAATAATAAAAAATACAAATCGTTATAAATGATCATTGCAATTATGTAATGGCCAAATTTTAATCGTAGACAAATTGTATTATTAATCATTTCATTCGATAATCAATTTATTATTCATAATCATCATTCATATGATGGTAAAAAAAATAAAATTTAGAATCAAGAATGTTTATATGTGTGCTTGTTTGTCAATGTTTAGACCAGAATTTTCTAATGTTGGCATCCCAATTATTCCCTGGAAAATGTTTCATGTGTACATGGCATTTTTTTTATCTTTAAATTTTGTCATTTTTATGGCAAAACAAATATTTATTAACAACATAGACATTAGATTGATGAAATAAATGTGTCTGTGTGTGTGGGTGTGTTTAAAATGAGCGAATTGGTTATATTTTGATCAATAAAAAAAAGACATTATCATTAGAATAATTATTTTCTTTATCATTATTATTGTTTAAAATATTCAGCATCAGCAGCTTTATGTGAAATGACACCTGGTTCATTGGTTTGAATTTGAGCACTGAAACCATCACCACTATCACCATATTCAACAGTACGATAGATACCTTCTGGATCACGATACATATATGATCCTTTAACATTACCCTGTGCATCACCGGATTCTGAACGTGTCAATGTCATTCCATATTCATCGGTAGTTTCATATGTAAAACTATATGGTTCTGGTGCTGGTTCAGCTTCAGCTTGTCTAGCTGAACGTGATGCTGTTGGTGCCGAATATGATGCTACCAATGGTTGTGATCGTGCAAAACCACGATAAGAACGTGCTTCAACTACCACCATTAATAAAACAGTAAGAGCAAAAACCTGAGTGATTGAAAAAAAAATTAAATCACCAAAAAAAAAAAAAAATGAAATTGAATTTGATCACTTCAAATAATCGAATTAACGAACCTTAATATTAATCATGATGATCACTGAATTTTTTTGATTTCGTTTGATTTCACAAATAAACATACACACACACACACACAAACACGAATGATTTCAAATAATGATTTGATGATTTTGGCCAGATTTTTCGAAGCTTTTATGGTAATCTTTGCAAGAGAAAATGTTTTTTTCTATGTGTTCATCATGAGATCATCATGATTTTTTTTCCATCCAATATGGCGTGTTTTGGCTCATTCATATGTCTAATTCTTTCTCTTATTTTTTTTGTTATTTCACACTTTTATTCACTATGGAAACTCTTCTTTTTTTTACATTTATTATCATCATTATCTGTTGTTGTTGTTGTTTCAAACGGTATTGTTGATTGAATGTGTTCCTTTCTCTTTTAAATTTTTCAAAACTTTATCCATATAAAACGATGAATATGGAAGCCTATTCAATAACAACAACAAGAACAACAAATAGATGCTAATTGGACAACATCATCATCATCATCATCATCATCATTTTTTACAATAAATTTGTCTGTCATTTATTTCAATATTACAATGAACATCTTTCTCTATGCGTGTGTGTGTGTGTGTGTGTGGCCAACGGTCAGTATATGTGTGTTTGATAAGTGTGATGATGTTTTAAAGCTCATCATTTTTTATTGTTGAAAATTTAAAAAAAACTTATAGAAGCTTTCAAACGATGATAATAAAATCTGAACAATTAACAATCATGTAGAAGAAAAAAAAAATTTTTTTTTTTCACTGGACTTCCTTCAAATTTCACTCTCACACACACACACATTGATCTGTGGGATCTTTTTCAATTCTTCATGGTTACAAATGATCAAATCAATCATTCGGATAGAATGAAATTGATGAACATGAATTTCATTAATCAAAACATAGGATTTTAACTAGAAAACAAAAAGATATGACTATGGCGATTATTATATATTTATTTATGACTACAAACTTGTAAATTTCCATACATTTCCAATATTAGTTCCAGAAAAAAAATCTCTCTTGCTGTTTGAATAATGATGATGATTATATGATGATCTAGATCTTGACAATGAAGATTCATTCAATTTTGGATTTACTTATAGCATACACATCAACTACACACATACACACACACAACAATGATAATTTCAATCAATGTTCGTTCTGCTTGACCTGTTGATATGTTTTTTTTTCTCGATGATGAACAACGATTATGATGATGAACGAAAAAAAAAAATGAAAAACTGTCCAACATTTTTCACTGTTTAACTTTGTTAAATGACCAGTTTCAGTAATTTTTTTTTTGAATCTAAACTGTAGTTCACAGGTTTTTTTTCGGCATATAATGCATGCCTCACCTTTTTTTGAAATGAATTTTTTTTTGATTATTTCATCATAAGTTTGGATAATTATCAGTCTAACAACATCTTCAGCATTCGACTTTTATGGTTGAAAAATTATTTTAGACAAAAAAAACAATTACATCTAAGCAATTAGTAATTTTTTGATCCAAAATGAACAAGTTAAAACATTATTATTATTATCATTATAATTGAAACAATTATCTCGTAAGACAACATTGAAATTCCAATGGATAATAATTGGTCACATTGTAGTTTTCTCGGAAAAAAAGTTCCGGTCCATACTTCCGGACCTAAATGGACATCATCATCATCATCATAACGTTTCAATGCATTTTCATGTCTGAGAAATAAAAATCTTATTTCTCATCTATCATTCAACACTAGCTAATGATGACATTGAATTTTAAAAAACATTTGTGATTCATTTATGAATAAATGAATTTGTTTGCAAATAAAAAAAAAGAAGAAAAAATCTCAAGGATCAACATTGGATCATCATCATTTGTCGAAAAATAAATAACCACGATTGAATATCTAAGAGATAGAAATCTATTAACGATTTTGATAATTATTCCAATATTGACACTAATTTCTTTCTTTTTTTTTGTTTGTTTGTTAACAATGTTTTTCAATGAAACAAAAAATTTCTCTGTGTAAATTTTATTTCCATTTCCATTGACTAATTTTAAATTCTAATTATTTTACAATCGTTGTTGTTGTTGTTGTTGTTGTTGCTGTGTTATATCATCATCATAAATTTTTTCTTTTTTCTTGCACTCTATTGATCTATACATTTATTGCAATATCAACAACAACAACAACAACAACAAAAAGTTGTTGCTGTTGGAATAAATCTCATAAAATAAATTTCACAACAAATAAGAGACAAAAAAAAATCAACGAAATTTTATTTTGTTACTTAACAAAACGATAACACATTGTCTTTTCTTTTCTCGCCGAGTTTCAATTCAATTCGTTGCCAGAAAAAAATGATGATGATGATGATGATGATGACTTTTTTTTCGTATCTGTATTTGTAGGTGAGGTCAACATACACGTGTTTTTATTTTTATTATTATTGATAATGACACACCTTGTCTCTTCTTTTTTTTTTTTTTTTTTTTTTTTGATTTAGATTAAAAATGAATTGGATGAATCACCGAAACACACAATATATTTATGATGATAAATGATCCATCATTGACCCGAATTTAAACATAGATTGTATCAATCAATCCGTTTGGTAAAGAAATTTTTTTCCCCTTCTAGAAATAAAAATTTAAAATGAATTCAAGTCTATTATTGACCAATTCTCTGATTAATAATAAAACTCATTATTCATTGTAATGACCATTATTATTTAGCCATGACAATGTTTTCAAGCATCATCGTTTTCTTTTTTAGATTTTTTGTTTCTGTTTTGTTTTCAAGGTTAAAATAAATATGTAAATAAATTAAATCCTACGCACAGGCATCTTTTATTAATTTTAAATTTAATCAATTTAGGCTTATTTGTGACCGATAATTGAGATTTTAGAATTTGAACAAACGATCAACGTCAGTATGTGTGTGTGTGTGTGTGCATTGAATTGAAATATTTTGGTTCTTCGATCCAAATCTGTAGAGACGTTTCTAGAATATAATTTTGTTGTTGTTGTTCATATGATTCTTTTGAGAAAATATAAAAAATCAGTCACTATGGTGACCAAGAGTGTAGGAATAAATGTCCAAAACAAATTCCCTAATTTTTATTATATATATTGAAATTCTGAAATTCAGTTCCGGGATCGATCAAACAAATATATATATATGATTCCATATTTCATTTTGTAAATAATAAATCCATTCACAAGTAACAATAACGTTTGGGAATGATGGCTGATGAACAACGACAACTTTAAAAATCAAATGGTCATAAATTTTTAATAATCATTCACATGTGATTGTATAGTGATGATGTTTGACCAAACAACCACTATGAATGGCCATTGAATATATTAAATGAAATATTTATTAATTTTTTCTTCAAATAAATTATCCATTAAATGAAAATTTTTTTTAAAAAAAATAGAATGTGGAATTCCAATTCGATACAAATGAAAAAATCAAACGAGTAAGTTTATTTTCAATGTTTTTTTTTTGAAATATCAACGTTAATTATGATAATTAAACATCATCATCATCATCATTATCACTAGTATAATCGGATCATACAATAGTCTTCGAGATCCTCATCTAAAAATTCATTTTCGTAAACCACAAATCAGACGTCATCTTCTTAAATCGAATATTGTGAGTATATTTTGCCTATGTTTTTTCTTTTTATATGTAGGAGATGTTAAAATGATTATGATAATAATCTAATCACATATATATGTTATGCAGATCAGTAAAGATAATAAAATTGTTGATGAAATATCAAGTACGAAACATAAACAAAATGTTGAAAGAAAACATCGTCGTGAATTGTATCGAATATTAAATGAAATGGTACAGAATGGTGATGATAACAATTATTCGAATCATTACGATTCCATGATCGATACCAATGAATTACTTGATCATGCAAGATCTATTGTTGCTAAGAATGGCAACAATGGTAAAAAATCTGATCAAACAAATCCAGATCAACAACGAACAATTTTGTTACAGAAACTTGATCGAATGATTAAAACAATAAAAGAACATCATGAACAAGGTAGACATCATGAAGATTGTTGTTGATTTATATTTATTTTAAAGCAAAATTTTTCTAGATTCCAATAAAACAAATATTAGAAATAGAAATTTGGAACAAACCAAATGTAAAAGTCTTCATGATATTTCTACGGGTGAATATCAAGAATCAGCTGGTATAGCTATTGCAAAACAGCCCTGTCTATCAACGCCACAATTGTCCAGATTATCGATTTCAAAACGTCCTAAATCTTCATATGGTAGATCAAGACTTCAACGTAGCATTTCACGTGATGAATCTATTTCCAATGATAATAAAGTTGATCATCATACGAAATCAATGTTTAATATGAAAAAATCAATCAGCTTGGCCACCGTACAATTACCAGAAGAACATGATGATAATAAAGATGATGATGATGAAATCAAATCATTGGATGGAGAATCATTTGATGATTCGTCCAATGATGATAATTATGATGATGACGAGCTTAAAACGCCATCTCCAGTTTCTCCATTTAATTATAAATATTATAATGGAAAGAAAACATTATTTGCTATGGATATCGCTACGACAAGCAGTAGTAGTGGAAGTTCAGGTTCAATTTCAAATAAAAAATATTATGCATTCGATAAACGATTTATAAAGACATGTACATCTGGTAAGCAACGAGTAAAAATGATTTTACGTTATAATGGTCTAAATGGTGCCACCAATATTGGTGACAAACGTAATATCAAAGTTTATCAACAAATAACTGTTGGTGGTAATTCTATTCTTATTTATGATGGATTTGTCAAACCGAGAGGTATGTAATTTTGTGAATTTGGCTGTATAAAAATTAAATATATTGAATGAACGTTTTTTTTACAGAAACATTCACATTCGACATACGACCACATATAAACAATTCATTTGCAATAAACATTCTAGTCAATGGTATAAGAGATTTACGTCTGAATACATGTTGTGAACGGAAACATCGACCTGGAACAACATTATCACATTTCACTATAATCGATGTGATTGGTAGTAGAGCCTGTTTCAATTGTCAAATAATGTTTGCTGATTATCATAATGTTCATCATGTTCATCATGATCAAATACAAACATCGAAACAACAAAATCAACAACAACAAATAGTGATGATCAACGGGGCATTGTCATTAGATCACTATCATCAAAATCATTACTATGATGATGATGAAAATGTTAATATTAAACATCATAATAATATCAACAACCGTAACAATGATAATAACCATGAATCCATGAGTGAAACGCCAATAACACCAAATAGAATTCAAATAGATTTTCTTCCTATTCCAATGATGAATGGTAAAAATAAAAATGTCCATGAACAAGAACAAAAGGAACAAATGAAAACAACCTTGGATCATAATTTGAATAGTTTTGTTGTCCATAATGAGAACGGTCATCAAAATTATGATGATAATAACAAAGGTGATGAAATATTAGTACATGATACGGAAAATATCCACAGGAATTCGAATATTATAACGGAACAATCATCAACAATAACATCAGCTATAAAGTTAATGAATAATGTTGAAAACCATGATAATAATAAAACAATGATGATGACCACAAGCGGTCAACATTCAATGGACAATTCAATGAAAATAATAGATGATTACAAAAAACATGATAGAACGATTCGTTTCGATTCAGCAACGAATTTGAAAAAAGTTACTAAAGAAAATTTATTGCCAATGATTAATGATGATGATGAAGAAGATAATGATGATGATGATGATGATGATAATTATTATGCCATAGATATCGATAGTGAAACTATGCCACAGATTTTCATCAACAACAATCATTCGAATTCTGATGATGATGATGATGATGATGAATAAAATAAATGATCATTTGTTTTTCATTTCCTTTCCAATTTATTTATCTCAAACAAAAAATAAAGCATTTGATCAACAAAACGATTCTAAATTCTTTAATTTCAGTCCAACAAATAATCCATCAGTAAATTATCTTGTCTCATCATTAATGATAATAATAAAAATAATTTTGATCGATTGTTGAAAATAAAAATTTACAATTTGTTTTTTTTGTGTGTGTGTGTGTGTGTGTGTGTAAAACGATAATAATAATAATCTCTGCTCGATAATGATGAATAAATTGATTTGTTTTTGTTCGATTTTCAACAGAAAATATCATGAGAAAATATATATTTTTTTTCATCACACTAATAATTCAATATTATTAGTGTGATTCAATAACGATGAATTTTTTCAAATAAAATATTTACAACAACAACAACAAAAAAAATTGAATGAAAGTACAATAGATTCTTTTTTTTGTTTGTAAAAAAAATGATTCAAAACGAAAACAAATTTAAAAAAAAACAATTGAATAAATGAATAATTCGGTCCCACTAGTTTTTTTTTGATTCAATCTTGTAAAATTGGATATAAGGTCTTTAAGGTGTGTGTGTGTGTGTGTAATAAGTTCTTAAAGTAATATAATGTTTTCTAAAATTTGACTATAATTTTCGATGATTAGCTGTCGATGCTTGTAATGCTAATGTTTTGGCAAAATCAATCTGAGCGTATGGAACAGTTGTGGTCGTCGTTGTAGTTGGGATTCCTATTGTTTGAGAAAAATTTGAAACACCATTATTATTCGATGTTTTCAGATTGTTTGTTGAATTTCGTCGAATTCGATTCGAATCATTAACGATTCCATTATGACTATCATTATTATTATTATTATTGATTATCACGAATGAAAATTTGTCATTAATTTTCGTCATATTTGCCGGAATACATTGACCATTTATCGCGACCATACTAGATGATGAATATTTTCGATTGATTAATGAATCAGCATCACCACCACCACCACCACCATTGGCATTATTGATTTGATCACCATCTGTATCCACAAGACTGTTAGGCTGCTGTTGTTGTTGTTGTTGTTGTAGGCTATTATTTGTATCAATATCACCGTCAATTTTACTATTCAAATCTAATTGAACATAGGATTCTGGTGTGACCACCCGGGAATTATTATTACTAAAACGATTTTTGAATCCTGCAAAATAACAACCAAAAATAAGAAATTTGATAATTGATCATAAAATAAAATCATATACCACTGATCGTCGATTTTCGATTCTTAATCACATTCTGATCAAAATTGACATAACAAAATGTTCCCAGATTATCTGATTCATCCATTTTGGCTTGAATCTGTTCCAACTTTTTTGCATTTATCATGTTCATATTGTATGAATGTAAATGATGATGATTTAGATAAAGATGATCATGATTAGAATCACTACTTCTTCGAATACGATTGTTTTTTGTGTCATTATTATTAATAGTAGTATTTCCAACATTCGATGCGTTGACATATGCATGTGATGTAGAACTTTCTTTTCGCATCATTGAAGAAGGCAATGTACGTGAATCGTACGAATGATTACCGATACCGGATGATGACCATCGATAATTATGACCAACACCATTTAATTCGGTTTCATCTAATGAATGTTTTGATCCAGTCAAACGTGATGATGCTCCACTACTGTTGTGTGACATTGGATTTGTGCTATAATAGTTTGGCTGTGATTTCATTTGTCCATTTATCACAGTCGAATTGAGGTATGTATGTACACCTGTACTACTCGATGATCTTGTTGTTGGCATCTGGCTATTAACGGGTATTACATGATCTAAATTTGATCCAGGTCTACTCAAATCATTTGTAAATGATGTCAAATTCTGATATTCATGTAATGGACCATTGTTGGACAGTGAAACCAAATCATTGCTCATTTGTGAATGGGAATGTGACAAATGTTGTTGATTGGCGCTATTATTATGAATCTGATTAATGGAACTGGACATTACTCCAATCTGCTGAACTAATGTATTCAACAATTGATCGGCACGTGAACATTCAAATATATGATGTCCTTGTCCAGTTAAACATTTACGACCACATTCAAAACTAAACCATCCATCAGAACAGCCATATCCACGAAGATATCTATTGAATAAAAAAAAGACGATCAATAGTTACACAAAAAATCATTGAAAGAAAAAATCTCACTTTAATGGCCAATCAAGGCGTTTATTATCCCCATATTGAAATACCAATTCATTATCGGTTATTTCAATTTGACCAGATTGTCTTAGTCCATTCAATGAAAGATATGTGGCCTGTTAAAAAAAATCAATCAGCTTTATATATCAATATTCAAAAATCAAAATTACCTCAAAAATACGCCGCTGATTTGAATTGTCATTTGCATCACGATGACGATTTCTAGCAGAATCATTGACAACTCCATTACGATTAATCATTTGAACATTATTATTCGATTTCGTTTTCGAACGTTTATTATGATTTGAATATGCACAACCCATTTTTGTCCGTTTTGTAATTATTCGGATATTTGTGTATGTTGAAAAGATCAAAGATAAAAAAAATCACATTCATGGATCGTAAATGGTATTCAATTTTTGTTTCAAATATTTAACTCTTCAACTTTCGTTGTTGTTGAAATTAAATTTTTTCTTTTCTTTGTCGTTTTGGCTCGTATTTTGTGTATCGTGTGTTTATTAGATTGACGTTGTTCATTTATCGAATCAATGATGATTACAATGTTATATGATCCTCATCACCACCACCATACTATCCATGATAATCAAATATAATCTTGAGACGAAAAAAAATATGGAAACTTTTTGTCGCCGTCTTGAATGATATGATGATGATGATATTTCTATATGTTTTTTACAATTATTATTTTATCATAGAATTTCGATTATGTCGCGACGTTTTTTTAAATGTTTTTCTTTCACAAGAAAAAAAAATATAAATATAATTTTGATGATGATGCTTGATGATAATCGTTGCCGTTTTTTTTTTGTTTTTGTTATTCGTCAGATGCTGAATAGCTGTGTGTATTATTATGCACATAAAAACAAAAACATTCGATGAATCGTCCAATAGGATTATAGTCGATAGTGATGATGTTTTGTTGTAAATGTTTGAAGATTTTTCATTGCTAAAATTGATTTATATTGTTGATTATAATCGTTGATACTGATCGGCTGTTTTTTGGTTGTGGTTGAAAACAATTTCGATTGCATTTACCACCACACAATCATCGAAGCAGTTATCAACAACAACAAAAAACAAAATCGAAAAAATAAAATTCGAATGATTCGAATGGAATTTGATTTAAAATGAATCATTCTTTGGAAATTAAATCATTTCACACTGTGGATGTGTTGACAATAATGATTAGGTTTTTTTTTCGTTTTGCATGTACCGATCGACCGAATCAAGTGGTTAAAGTGAGAACGATAAAAAGATGAAAATGAGAAAAAAAATTCAATGTCATTCGAAAAAAATTATATTCGATTCAACAAATAATTCAATGGATGACAATACAAACAAACAATGGATTACGATAACGATGACGATGATAATGGGTAAAAATACCGTTCCTTTTTTTTCTTAGAGAGTAATCAAAATGGAAAATTTCTTCAACTTTCAAGAATTACATTGATTCGAATCATATCTATTCATGATATGTAATATTGCGACATTTGATCAACAATATACTTTGACAAAAATTTAGATTCTTCGTGTAGAAACTGATTCTGAATCGTCAATAATTGTAAACGTTTATTGATTGATGATGATGATGATTTCATTGTTGTCATATACATTCAATTTTTTATGATAGTCAAATGAATGGTATGCTTGTTTCAGTTGAAATATTGGTCACGGATTAATTGTCAATTTTTTGTTGTTGTTGTTGTTGTTGTTCAAATAATAATAAAAGAAAATAATTCTTGTTATTTTTTCATCACAGAAAATTCTTTTATGTTTTCATTTATTGTCGTTATTGTTGCTGTCGCCTTTGTCGTTGTTGTTGTCGTCGTTGTTGTCGTCGTCGTCGTCGTCGTTTTTCTTTTAATCACGTCGTCGTTGTTGTGGTGGATTGTATAGATTTTTTATTTCGATAATAATCATATATATATATAAAAAGAGCTTATATGATATTTGCTGATGCTGATGATGATGATGATGATGATGATGATGAAAATTGAAATGCGCAATGTATGCAATATACAACCACCAAATAATAAACAACACAACAACAACAACAACAACAAAAAACACTCGAAAGAAAATTCATGTGAAACATATAAAAATTGCTATAATGAAAATTGATATAATCCCAAATGTCCTTGATAATTTGTACCATCCGCCGATAGATGGCGATAGATTAGAGTGGATTTTTTTTCTGTTTGAGAAACAAAATTTATTTTTTCAAAATAATCGTCTTTTTTTTTAATACATTAGAAATAATGATAATGATGATGACCACAAATATCAATCAATCAATAAATTGATTGATTGATTCATTGTGAATAATTCGAAATAATAATTGAAATTGTGCATTTGTGACAAATTTTTTCTTCCAGATGGACAGCATCGAAAAAAAAATTCCTTAGGATTTAGATTTTTTATTATTATTCATCGATTTTATGCTCTGATCAAATGTTCCAGTCATGATCCATTTTCTATGGGGGGTTGGTATTTTTAAATAATCAAAAATTCAAACAAGCATGAATTTATTTACATTCGTTGTTTCCAATAGTTTAGACCAATAACTGGATATCCACCGCCAGCTTTACTAAAAAAAAAATTTTTTTATCATTTCTTAAAATTATAATTTCAAGAAATATAAATCATCATCAATCATTTAAACAATTACTTACTAATAAATTTTGTGATCACGATTAAATCTTGTGATAAATGCATCAGATTGATGATTGAAAAGTTGACTGATTATCATCGATATTATTACCATCACTGTAATTAATGAAATTGATGATGATTTTTTGTTACATGAATTTTTCATTGAATTCATCGTAAAAATGGATGTTCAAAACTAAACTATACTGACATGATATATCAACATATGTCAACCATCTTTGTTTTTTGATGCCATTATGACCATCTCCAAAGCTCTCTATCGACATTTTTTTCCGAAAAAAACAAGTATAATAAGGATGACTATTTTTCCTATGTACAATTGTGTAATATATATATATGTTTTACCAAGACATTGTTGCCACCAATTTATTATTTAAGCCAAATCTATTATCTTGGTTGGATGGCCAAATACTACAAGCCAACCAACGGCAGCACAACATATTTAAACGGTGAATTCAAGCACGAAAAATATTGTCATAATTTTTCATCATCATCATCATCATCATCATCATCATCTAGATTTCACCAGATTCGACCTGGAAAAAAAATGTGAGAGAAAAAAAAAGAGAACTACATTTACCATACAAAGAAAAAAAGACACAAATATCAAGATCAATTTTTTTTCCGTTCAAATTTTATCGATTCATTTTATTTTCTGATTGCAAATGATTAGTTGATGATTAAAACAACAATGAATTTGAATCAAATGAATCAATCAATTTCTAAGATATTTCCATTCAATGATTCATTATAATAATCAAGTTTAGTATATAGAGATAGTGTGAAAAAAAATGAGAGAATATGAAGAAGATTAAAGAAAGAAGAAGAGAGAACTTCTTTTTTTTTGAATAATAGAATTAGAAAAAAAACTGGAAAAAAAATCTGAGCAAATTGATCATCAATGGATCATCATCCATTATGATTGTAAATGATGAATAATAATCAAAGACAAAGACAATAGTTGGTATTTATGTAAAATGGTATGTGGTGGTGGTTGGTTGGTTGGTTGTTTGTGAGTAGTGAAAATAATCATCATTCAATTATAATCAATTTAATCACGATTCATATTAGTGTGTGGACTTTTGTTTATCGGTGTATATGTGTGTGTGTGTGTGTGTGTGTGTTTCGGTGTCGGTATTTATAGTAAACATGAGAGAAAAGAATTTGTAATGAAAATTTTAGATTCTGGGAAAAAATGACTAGATTTTTTTTCCGGCAAAAAGAACATTGACTATGACAATGATTATATGACAACATACGAGTATTATATATGGGAAAAAAATGAATAATGTAAGAAATGATGAAACAAAACAAAATCAATGAAAAAAAAAAAATATCATTGATGATTCTGCCATATTTGTTGTTTCAATTTTTCCAATATATAGATACGATGCTGTTGTTGCCGTACACCAATATTGGCTAATGAATTATTATCCAAACGTAACATTTTGGCACCATTAAATGATTCAAATTTTAATCGATGTTCAGCCATACCAATTCTTTGTAACCATTCTTGAACATCATCCATTGTCCATTCAACTACCGATTTTCTTGCATATGCTAATTGTTGCTGTTGTGGCTGTTGTTGTTGTTGTTGTTGTAAGGTTGGCTGATGATATTGATATTGATGTTGCAGAGCTGTTGTTGGCTGACCGCTTCCGGTGGTTGTATATACAACTTTACCAATTGGAACTTGTGTTGTACTTATTGGTGTTTGTCTGGTTAAAGTTGCCGATGATGATGATCCAACAGTTCCGGTTGAAGTTTGTATTATTCGACCCGTACCGGTAGACGAAGTATTACCTGCTGCAAGTTGTTGCTGTTGTCGTTGAACTAATTGTGAATAATTAAGTAAATTCTGTGGCTGTTGTTGTTGTTGTAATGTCGAAGGCTGTTGTTGTTGTTGTTGGTGATGCTGCTGAAGAAGCTGTTGTTGATGATGACGGGTAAGTGTGGCAAATTGTTGTTGTTGCATTTGCTGTTGTTGGCTGGTCAATGAATTCAGATATTGTTGCTGTATTTGTGCATGTTGATGTCGTCCTAGTGTTGCGAAATATTGCGGTTGTTGTTGGGCCGATGTTGATGATGTACCAGTTGGATGATGATGATGTTGGTGTTGAGGATGTTGAGATTGTTGTTGAGCCAAATAATATTGAATCTGTTGTGGTTTACTACTAGCCAATGTATTGTATTGGCCACCACCAGATCTTAATTGTTGTTGTTGTTGCTGCTGCTGCTGTTGTTGTTGTTGTTGATATAATTTTGCATTGGCTACCGCTAATGCCCGTTGTTGAAGAAGTAATTGATTTTGTTGCTGTTGTTGACTATATTGTGATTGACTAGTATTAGATGATTGTGGCAATTGATGATGATGATGATGGCTGACCAATGGATTTGTAGCCCTTTGATGTTGTTGAACCAGATAATCATAATTCGAAGTCGATGTTGATGTTAATGGCTGCTGCTGCTGCTGCTGTTGTTGTTGTGGAGCGGCTAAAATCGATTGTCGCATTGCCATTAATGTATGAGCATCAGTATTTGTTGTCGGTGCTGATGATGATAATTGATGGCCATGACCTATCGTTGATGTTTGTGCCGGATGATTATGATGTAATTGATAATGGGTTGCCTGATGGCTATAATGTGGTGGATGTGGCATCGTTTCGCCTGATATCAACTGATTATGTGAAAGTAAAATCAACAATAAAATTATTATCAGATAATAAGTTAATAGCATCCAATTAATTAAATTATTCATGCACAAATTCTATTCAATGCTTATGGAATGATGGTTTTTATTCATTACACATTCATATAAATAGGAACGAGGCGAAAAAAACAAATCAAAAATTTTATAACAAGAAAGAAAAAAACCAAAAATAATAGAAATAATTGAACAAAAGAAAAAAAATAAGGCAAAAAACAAAATAACACAAAATGGACAAGATGCAAAAAAAAACAATAATAAATAAAATAATCAAAATCAAAGAACATATTTGACGATCGTTTTTCGTTCAGAATTTCCGATTGTCGAATAATTTTTATTGTCACTAGATTGTTGTTTTTTCAATATAGTTTTCATTCTAACCTGTGATGAATGTTGATGAACCTGAGATGATGAACCGGATTGTTGTATAGTAATAGGTGGTGTTGTCGATTGTTGTGATTGTAGTAATTGTCGTTGTAAGTAAATTTTTTGATTTGCCGTCATTGGTTGTTGTTGTTGTTGAATTGATATTTGTCGATTTGTTGATGGAATTGTTTGTTGCTGTAATGGAATAGCTGCTACAGATGCAGCAGCAAATTCTGGTGGAGGTGGTACAACATCTAATATGGATAATAAAAATATTTTGTTATCAATTTCGAATAATAATGGAATCAATTTAAGCCTACCAATTGAACTGGTTGGTGTTGTTCCAGAATGATATTGTTGATTTATGGATCGTATTTGTTGTTGCTGTTGTTGAGATTTTGATGATGATTGTTTTAATATTGATGATGTTGTCGGTTCAGCTAAAGATGAGGAATGTGTTGGTTTGGTTTTGGTCAATGTACCACCGGCGGTCATCATAGAAGTTGCTGCTAATTGAGATCGAAGTTGTTGATGCTGTTGTTGAAGATGAATAGCTTTGATCGGATCCTCACAAACAGTTACACATCTACGAGTGAGTGTTCCAGATGAACCACCAGGTAAAATGGCAATAGGTTTCTGTACGACAACCGTTGAACCGGCAATAACTTGACCTGGAATCTTTCCCAAAGTAGCTGGTATTGGCGATGAATTCAATGATTTTGAACCAGATTGCTGTTGTTGTTGCTGCTGTTCGGCAACCAATTGATTGACAGCAGCTACTTTTTCCGCCATAGCCGATATAATTGCAGAATTACGACGAAAATCAGTTGATTGATCACACGGTTGTTTTTGCCGCAAATTAGGCTTGGTAATTATTTCTTTTGATGAATGAACAACAAATGATAACATGACATGAATAAAATAAACTAAAAGAAAAAATGAATCAATCATACCTTTTTTCAACGTGGACAGTATAGCTGATTGTTGTGGTACAAATTCTTCCATACATGATTTGGACATACGTAATTGTTGACTATCAATTTGATCTTTTAAAATATTTGAACCATTCAAACGTTTTTCGAATTCAGCAACATTCTTTTTAACATTGTTTGGAGCTTTTGTAGAAACTTGGCTATCTACAACGGTTCCATCGTTTTCGGTTGTAGAGAAACGAAGTCTAGCCGCTGATGTTATCTTGGCACTTTGTTCTTTTAATTCATCGAAAATATTTTTCGATCCAATCACTCCATTTTTAAATGATTCAGATGCTTTACGTTCTATGGTCTGAACATCAGTTTCAGGTGGACATGGACTAGTTGATTTCAATACCACAGTTGCTTTGGTCATCAATTTAATTTTATCCGATTTCTTTGAAGTAGAATCCGTTAGATTGGAAGCATCTTTTTTCTTATTCTTTTTTTCATCTTCATCACTCGAATAATCAGGATCAGGAATCTGAGGCCTAATATTCGATTCATTGTTTTGTTTGCTAGTAGCTGGCTGAAAACTTGACAACGATCTTTGCTGTTGTTGTTGTTGTTGCTGCTGCTGCTGCTGCTGATGTTCGTTATTGTCCTTTCGAGTTGGCCCTTTGACCAGTGTAACATCAACCTAAAAAACAATTATGAATTTAATTTAATCTAGATGTAATTAAATCAAATTAAAATTTAATTACAATCGAGTGATTTGGCGGTGATGCCGGTGGCGACATTGTACATGAATCCCGTTTGTGAATTTCTGCATCTTTCTCATTATTGTTATTTGTTTCCTCCTAGAAAATATAAAGTTTCATTTGAATTTTCCTCTCAACAAAAAATTATTTGAATAATAATTACTTTTGACTTGTTAGCAATTTCGGGATCCTTATTAATGCTGTATTCAGTAGCTTCATAGGATGAAATTCGACGCATCGAACGAGATCTATCGGAAATTGATTCACCAGTACTGGTGGGCGATGTATGTTTTTTTGCTTCATTAGGCTGATCATCAACGGCCGTTTTGCATTCATTCAACAATATAAGGGCTTGGTTATGAGCCGTACGAACTTCAGATGCTACCACCAATGAACGTGCCCGAGCCCTTGACGATGTATTCGATAATGTAGTTGATGGATCACGTTTTGGTGGTGCAGGTGGTGGAGCTTTCGTCCCACGATTATTACTACTATTGAATGATGCATAAACTGATTGCGACATTTGAATTTGTGATTGACTAGAAGGCATCGTATCCGATGTAGGAGGAGGAGGTGGTGGCATCACCCCATTTGTTTGTTTTGAATCAGCTACTGATAATTGTTGTTGTTGTTGTTTGTTAAGACTTTTATTATTCGTTTGACCTGTTGTTCCTTTCTTTTTCAAAATTGAAACAAGTTGTTTTGGCACCGGTGTGGCAATGGTCATCGTTACTTTATCTCCAGATTGTCGAATTAATTGAACGACATTTTCATGTGACATATGACGAACATCAACATCATTGACGGCCAGAAGAAAATCACCTCTTTTCAATCCGGCAGCATCGGCAACACCACCCACTTCGATCTCATCAAAATATTGTAAACCTATCAACGGCACTGATCCTTGCTGTTGCATTAATTGTTTGGTCAAAACTGGCGATGAATCTTTGGCACCACGCAACACAAATCCAAATCCTTTACTACCACGTTGTAAAATAACCGTGCGATCCTGGTATTGACGAGTTGTACTCTATGAAAATCGAAAATAAAATTAAATGACAATTTTATTCAAAGATTTTTCATGAATGATATTCACCTTGTCTAAATAGCTTTTTCGTGCTCCTCTTCGTCCACGTGTTGGTAACGTAGCTGCTTGCATATTTTTCATTTTCATATCTCTTCTTCCTTCAACACGATCACTTGAATCCGTATCTTTAATCGGTCGAATTTTTTCAACACAACAAGCTGGAAAATAGCCTTCCTGTCCATCTAAACATCTTCGACCAAGTAAAAGTTTTTGTGAAGCAATGGTCGGTGGTGAATGATCACTATGTAATAATAATACATGATCATTTCGACGAAGTTGCATATGACTTGGATCGCCTGAATTATAATCCGAAATAGCTTTGACCATCATACCCGGTGTAAATACGGTACTATCTTCACTTTCACTACTTGGAATAATATTTCCATTTTGTTCATCATCATCAACATCATCATCTTCATCATCATCGTTATCATCATAATCCGGTTGAGCATTATTATTAATATTATTACCATTGTTCATCACAGAACGTTGTTGTTGCTTTAGTTGATTGTTTGGATCATCTTCATCATCACAACAAACACCGGAAGATGTAGTTGTAGTATTATTTGTCAATTGTGATAATGATGGTGATATGGACCTTCCACCACCACCACCACCACCACCATTGACATCAAGTAATTTGGATTTATTCGGTGTAATTTGATTCCCATCTTGTGATGAATGTGTGGCTGGACGACGTGCCGGATTATAACGAGGTTTATCTCGATATGGTACAACATTTTCTTGTTTATGATTTTTAATATAATCGGCCATTGACATATTACCGGCAATGACAGCTACTTGGTAAGCATTTTGATGAGAATTGTTCACAATGCTGGTATCACAGCCACGTAGTAAAAGTATTCGAGCACATTCAACTTGATCATTTATTGCGGCTACATGTAATGAAGTATTACCACTGCCAACTATTCTACAATTCATGTCACAGCCATAGAATAATAATTGTTCAAGATGTTGTACCAATCCAAGTTTACTTGCCTAATTTATTTAAAAAAAAAATTATTACATTAATTACCAACAAATAATTAGAAAAATATATATTTCTTACATGATGAATTTCCTGCCATCCATGTTGATCGGTAACACCGAGGCTAGCATGTTCATATAGCAACAATTGAGTGAGTTTTGGATTAGCCTTATGAATAACACTGTAATATAATGGTGTTAAACCATTTGTATCCGGATAGTTTGGTGATGCTCCTAAATCCAATAATGTTTTCAATGCAATAAAATTCGATTTCTGTACAGCAACATGTAATGATGTTCGGCCATCTTTGGTACGAAAATCTAACAGAGCACCACCATTTACGATAGCAACAATAATCTGCTGCTGTATTGTACTATTTGAAATTGATAATGATGATGCTATGGAAAGTGGCGTTTCACCACTGCTTTCATCAACGAAATTTGGATCACAGTTGACCAATGCTTTGGCCAATTTATCGAGATTACCATTTTGAATAGCCGTCAATAGACGTGAACGTTTACGTTTTTTTCTTGTTGCGCTTGCTGTGAAAAAAAAATTTCAAATTATTATTTTTGAAAAAACCAAATTGATTCTTACCTAAAGGCAATGTGCTCATTATTTCACCGTATTTGACTCGTTGTTTGTAAAGAAATTCTAATTTAACAATTGTATTCTTTTTGATTGTAGTACTGTTACTGTTTGATCGTTGTTTCGATATTGTTGTTGTTGTTGTTGTTGGTTGATGATGTTGGTCAGGATTGAAATGATGATGATTGATCAATATTGGAGAATTATCGTCAATATTATTATAGTTGATTATGGTATTGATGCTATTAGAATTGGTTTGATGGTTACGAAAATATTCGTTAAATGTTAGCTGCTCATCAAGAAACAAACCCAATTGTGCACTGAATAGGCCATAGTTAAGACATTGATCATCACGTAATAATCGTGGATATCGATGATTATTATTATTATTATTAATATTATGACCGTTCTTTATATTATTACCACATAATCGTTCAATCAATACAGTTTTGACATATGAAATTGATTGGCCATATGAACAGGTTATGTCAAACTATTCGGAGAAAAAAAAAAGAATGAAATTATAATTTTTCATGAAAAAATATAATATTTACCTCTGATTGTGTTTCTGGTACAAATACATTGATCAACAGTGAATCATCATCTAGATTCGATACAATATCAGATCCATAATATGGACAATAACCATCATTGATACTTGATGAAAAACTTCTTGAACTATGATTACTAATTGAATCGATTGTATTCAATGATGAATTTCCTGAATCACTACGAATCAATTCAGTATGATGATGATGATGAAGACTTGATTGATTATTATTATTATTGTTGTTGTTGTGGCTATTCAAAGAATAACAATGTTGTTGATACGATTGTTGATTAGATGGTTCATATTCTAATGAATTAAATAAATCAGATGATTCTGATGAATGATCAATTGGTTGTATGGATGAAAATTCTTTTGCCGTTGTCCATGATGGTGTTAATACAGCAGCTAATGTTGGATCCTGTATCGTTTTCACATGTATATGTTTGGATATACCTCTGTTTGGATCAGAATCACAGATAAGAATTTTAGTTTTACGTATAGTAATCATTATGATTATTATTATTATTATCAGGTCGTATTGATGGCGATGATTGTCTATCGATCGATCGAATCTTCAAATGACGCATACAACAACAATCAATCAATCAATCAATTGATCGAACAAACACAATGAATAATTTTAGTACAATATTGTTGTGTGTGTGTGTAAAAATAAACCGAAAACAATATTGAAAACAAAAAAAAAAAAAAAGTAAAATGAGAATCAAAAACAAACGGATGTTTTTGACAATTGACTTTAGTTGAAAAACCAAAATGAACAACAATCATACAATGGAACAAAAGTGTTGTTTTTTTTTTTTGTTGCCGTCATGTGTTATCATCATTTTGATTTTGAAGAAAATAATAAATGAAAACAAAAACTAATGATCAAAATTCAAAAAAAAAAAAAAAATCAAGATGATGAAGTTCGAAGAATGATGATCAATAAATATATATGCAACAAAAAATATAATGAAAACAAAAACGTCTCGTGTTTGCGTGCGTGTATGTGTGTGTGTATGTTTGTTATGGTTGATGGTAAATTATCGTCTGGTAGATTTTGTCGTGTCGTTGTCTATATCACCATTGTGATAATTATGGCTGATGGGATTGATTGTCATATATTCGAATCATTATTTTAGTTTTTTTTCTCGCCTCATTTTTTTTTTATCACACAAATAATAAAAAATTTTTGTTATCACCCACTAATATATATCGATATCTAATACATAATCATCATCATCATCATCATCATCATCATCAATTTTGATAGCCTCATTTTTGGGCTCTTTGATTCATTTTTCAATTTTTTTTTATATTAATAGAAAAAAATTTTTACTCATCATCATCAATCAATCAATCAATCTATATCTACATAAGAATTTTTTTTTCTCTGTTGCTGATTAATCCCAATAGAATGCGGTACTTTCATTCTATTACACACACACATCATACAAATAAATGCACAACACAACACAATATTGCCTTTTTTATCTTAATTCCGTTGCATTCCATTCCATTAAGTATATGACGGTTGTAAATACGAGTGCATAAAAATAGGATCATTGGCACAAGTTGTTCATTCCAATCATTCTCATTATCATGTTTTTTTTTGGATCAAAACATCATTTATTAATATATTAAAATAGACATCACATCAGAAATCATTTAATTATGATTTTTTTTTGTTTTTATGATAACAATGAAAATTAATTAATGAGAGAGAAAGATAAAGAAAAAAAATAAAGAAACGAGGCAATTTCCATGACGACGCACACCTTATTCACCTGTAATAGATTGTTATTATTGAATCATTTTTCGTTCCGATGGCGTCATTGTTTTTTTGTTGACCCATGAAACTATGAAATGAATCAATATATATAATTATTATAATTTCAAACAAGTAAATTTTTTTTTTGCTCCCAAATCAATCCATTAACATAAACACACAAACGCAAACACACACGCACACCATTTAGTTACGTAAAAAATGTTTTGTTTGTTGAAGGATTGAATCAATTTCTTTCAAAAGGCTCGATCCATTTTTTTTTTTTTTTGTTTTGTTCTCTTGACGATGATTATATGAAAATTCCATAGGGATTCTTTTTTTTTTTGTGGATGGTAAACAAAAGATTTGATTGATTTTTCCTTTGTTTTTTTTTGTTTTATTGCTTCCATTTCATTTTATATTAATTGAAACATTCATATAATTATCATTATTATCAGCGCCTTTTTTTTCTGCTGGAAAAAAATTGAATTAATTCAATCAGATTTATGCGCCCACACACACATCGATGATTAGCATTAAAGATCTGATCTGATGATAATATGCAAATATGATTACGAATCTGTTTGATAAACAAAAAATTGATTCTTCTTCACATTTGTCATCACATTAAGAACGTGTGAAAAAAATCTTTATAATGATCATTATTCACATATATATAAATGTTTCATAGCTTTTCATGCTGATGATGCTACTGTTTCAGAATAATATGGTTTTTTTTCAACAACATCATCCATTCATTGTTCATTTTTTTCGTATAATTTTTTTTTCTCATGTTTGTCATGTCAATGTTCCAAATGGATCGAGACAATTATGATGATGATGATTTTTTTGTTCTTTTACATTGGTCAATTTTATATAACAAGACTGTTTTTTTTTTTTTTGTATCATTCATGAATACACAAAACACATATATGCATATGATCTAAATAAATGTGTATCTGATTGGATTTGGATTCTTTTATTGCATTTTCTCTGTTACATAGTGAACAGAAAAATGTAAATGGACACAATGAAAAGAAAAGAAAAGAAAAAAAAAGATCGTGATCAGATCCTTTGTTATTATATTTGGATTAATCATTTGTGATTCGTTCTATATAATGCAAAAAAAAATATTATCAACAAAATATCGAACAAAAACAGCGAGAGAAAGAGAGAAACAACGAGACAAAAACTATTCATCATCATATCATTAATTTTGATCACAAAAGACAATAAATAAAATTTCAAATCATCAAAATCGACAACAGCATATATAGTATCATGATCCAAATCAGATGGTGCCAAATGGATGTTGTTGTTGTTTTCAACAATATTTATAGATTATGATTAGAATAGATCGAGGTCATATATATATTTTTTTTTTTGCAAACAATCGTGAATCATTTTTTTTGGTAGTTTTCGATTAAATTCAATCGATTGAATGATTGATTAATTATTGAAAAAAAACTGGTATCATCATCATCATCATCATCATCATCACCGACATTGTTATTTCATTTTCTTGGTTTATTATTCAATGGAAAATTTATATATGCAAAATTCATATTCTATTCTATGAATATTTGAATGAAAAATTGATGATCGGATGAACTAAACCGAAACGAAATGAAAGACCTCGAAAAAAAAATGTTGACCAAAAACAAAACAACAACGAAGACGACGACGACGACGATGACGACGAAAAACCATCAATCAATCCATTTACCTTTTATTCAAAATATATTTAGGTAATAATACAAAACGTATTCATAAACTTTAATACAGTATATTAGATGATGATCCCATAATCAATAATAATAATGATGATCATAATTTGAACAACAATTATATTATTATTATTGTTCATCATGGACAATGAATGGATCTAGAAAACAAAAACAACACTATAAACACTGATGACATTGTCATTTTGTCTATATACTTAAAGTTTAAGTTTTTTTTCTTCTCTATTGTCTCTATTTGAAGTCTTTGTAATTTCAATCGATTTTAGCCAATTTTCATTATTCATCCAGTTTTCAATGAATTTTTATCGGGACAACATTGTTTTTAGACAATTTTTAGATCAACATTAATGTTTTTTCCTTTTTTTTGCTGACGAGATAACAATTGATCATGATGATGATGATGATGATAATGATGATCATCGTTATTGTTTGCGGCATAAGGGCGATGAATGAATGAACAATATTATTATTTTCTCTTTAAAAATAAATTTTCATTTCAAATAACAAGACAAAGCTTCTGCAATATATTTACACACACACACACACACAAACGAGGAGTTGATTTAAAATTTGAAAGAAAAAAATCTTTTCAACTTTTTTTTGCTCTTTTTTCCTTTTTTTTTTTTTTTTGTTCAATTCATTTTATGGAAAAAAATGTGATCTATGAATTGTTGGAAAGCTGTCAATTTGTTTTCTTTCCATCTTGTTGGTGAAATTCCATTTCATTTGGTTTGCCAATTTTTTTTCTTCAATTACATTCATAGGGTCATCATCATCATCATAATTCAATGAATTCGGTTTGTTTTTTTTTTTTTTTTCATCGTAAGAATTTTTCATTTTTTTAGATGTTCTGGATTTTTTTTTTTGTTCACATATAATTGTTTTTGTTTCAAGGAAAAAAAAAAAAAACATCTGTTAGTATGAAATTGCAATTTGATTTGATTTCCTTGAATGATTTTGATCCGGTAATACACAGTCACAGTCACATACACCAGACTTATGACCATGATCCATAGTCATAAGATTATAATAAGAAAGAAGAACAAAAAAAGTAATTTTTTTCCAACGGAAAAAAATTTCCAGACAGATAACATGATCTTAGAGTTTTGATTATTTTTTTTCCAGATATCATATTTTGATTGTCATCTCTGTACTGTTCTGTTTTGTTTTTGTTGATATCTTCATACATCCATTTGATATCTGATTATTTGGCAATGACAAAATAAAATATGTGAATGAACATGGAAAAAAGATGGAAATATTCAAGAGATTTTTTTTAATGTTTTTGTTTTTTTTCATTCATGATGATCTTGATTTTGACCACATGGCCACATTCAAAAAAAAAAAAAAGAAAACAGGGGATTTGAATAATTTGCTCATCACTTGTCAAATGATAAATCATTGTTATTATAATAATCATCATCAACAGAGAGCAAGAGAGAGAGATATTACCATAATAATGTGTAACAAATTTTAAATTCAAATTCTTTCATAACTTATGCAATGATTTTCTTTTTATTTTCTAGGTGAAAAGATAAGAAAGAAAAATAAAAATGCAAATACAGGAACGAATCATATTCGTTTGATCAAACACACACACACACACACAAATGATTCGAGTTAATTCAATCTAGTTTGATTGATCAAATTGATGGTTTTTTTTTTTTTACGAATCGTGTGTGTGTGTGTGGTGATTTTTCAAATGACCATTTCCAATCAAAAAAAAAAAAAAAAAAAAAAAAAAATCATGACCAATGCAATAAATTAAATTTCAATCATTGAATCATCATGATGATTATTGTTGTGAAATGTGTGTGTGTTTCAATCACAAACAATTGGAAAACCCTCTTATAATGAGAAAAAAATATATATCTTTTCATCATCATCATCATCATTTCGGATTTTCAATTACAATAGACCAGGTGGTGACCATGATCATCATCATTATCATGATCATCTTTCCATCAAACATCGACATCATCGATAACCAGATGATGATGATGATGATGATCAAATCAATCTTGTTATTAGAAATCCGTGATTGAGTTTCATTGAATTTTTTAACCTCGTTGATTGAGAATATGACAACAAAGATGGATGGATTGTTCAAAAAAAACCTCAAGTATAAGGCCTCCTTTGGTGAACTAAAGCTGCTAACTGGTAGGTACATTTGAATTGAATTTCTTTTTTTAGCTGACTGACAATGAAATTTTTTTTTTTTTTTTTGAAAATTGGATACTCAGTTTATTTGGTATAAGAAGATTGTTTTCTTGTATTCGTTATCATTCATTAGCATTATCTTTAGTTTCATTATCCGGTATCCCGATGGTGATGATGATGATGATGATGATGGTATTTTCAAATGCTACCGAAATGTGAAACATAAGATTGATTGAAAACGATTACCATCAAACCATCGGTGGGGTTTGGGGAGGCAAGGGAAGTATAAAAACAATAAAAAAAAAAGGAAGATGTGAAGAAAATGGATATTAAATGTGTGTTTATTTTTATTTATTTGGAACCATTTTTTGATCCAAAATTTATCGTTGATGATGATAATAATCGGTCATCATCATTATAATCAAAAACAATTGTTATAGATAATTTTGGAACTACAATTACAGATCATCATCATCATCATCATCGTTCAGGTATGGTTGACAATATTTATCAATGATGATGATCATCATCATCTTTATCATCATCAAGACAATCAATCATCAACACAATTACTATGTAGTCGATGAGTTTTTTTTCTAAAAAAAAACCTAGTGATGAATATATAGGGAAAAAATCGTCGTTGTGTTTTTCAATTACAATTTATAAACAGAGAGATAAAAAAAACTTGTGTAAATCTCATCATCAAGATGAATGAATGAATTTAAATGTTAATGAAAAATCAGTCTGATATATGTGTGCAACTTTATTATCAACATGTATTGTAGACAACAAACAACATTGCACACACACACACACCGCAGAACATGTTATGAATTGATAAAAAAAAAATTCCCATCTCAAACATTATTATTATCCATTATTATAAGATATGATGATGATTTTCATTACCATATCTCATCTGATCAACTTGATTCATTATGTCCATTTGGTCACAACAACAACAACAACAAAAAAAAAAATTTCTCTTCACCCGGAAAAGTAAAGTGTCTACAAAAAAAAAAATTTACTACATAATGACATTTTTTTCCGCTTTGTTGTTGTTGTTGTTGTCTCGAAGTGTTTTATTTTTTTTTTCTGTCAATTTTTCTTCATTCATTCATTCATTCATTTCCTATGAAATTCATTCATTCATTCATCTTGTCAATTTCTTTATGATAATGATGATAGTGATACGGGTTTTTCATATTTTCATATTTTTTCTTCAATATATATATATGATAGTTATCTACTCGATTGTGTCGTTGTTGTTATTTGTGTGTGTGTGTGTGTGTGTGTGTGTGTGTGTTTGTGTAAAATCTAACATGTATAGATAGATTGAAAAGATTAGGTAAATAATGATGGTATATGGTTGCTTCCTGTAAATGATATTATTATAAATGAATCACAAGTAAATTTTTTGTTTTCTTCATCCAATACGAAACAAAAATGAAGAAGAATAAATTTAATGATGAATTTTTTTTCTGGTTCTCTCCCAAATTCCCAAATGTGCAAGAAAGAATGAAAGTATTCATGTGTTCGAAAAAAAAAATCTAAAAATCTAAAATGATTCATTTTGGATTGATCTATGCGGCATCAATTTGTTTGTTCATTCAAAAATTCATTCATCTATTTTACTCAACCCTAATTTGTACGGCCAGGCTGCCCTCGCTCATTTCCGAAAAATAGAACGAGTCGACAACCCTCGAAACATCGTTAAATTGAGGAAATTAATATCGGAAACAACATCGGCCTGGGAAAAATTGAAAAGAGCCGGAGTAGACGACCTTAGTCATGAACAATTCACAGACATTGTGAGAGGAAAATTTCCCCAAATGATAACAAATAACATGGTAATGATGGGCTGGAATGTCACCATCAAGGAAATAATTGACACAGCTAAAACAGTATTGCAAAACAACGAAAGGACATTCCTGGAAGAATCCCTCCATGAAAAACAACCCGAAGAAAATTCGTGTCATTACGTAAATCGGGCAAACACGAAACAAATAAACAAAGAAAGATTTAATCTATCAAGAGCTTGTGTATTCTGCCAAGGTCCCCATGAAACATTGTTCTGCAACAGCAGAAGGACCTCGAATCAATTTAAATTGCAGAAAATTGCTCAACACAATTTGTGCTATAAATGTCTCAAACCGGGACATACAAAGAAGACCTGTCGGTTAAACATCTTTTGCAATTATGGACGAGCTCACGCTCCGACAATTTGCGACTGTTATATGTCAAGAATGAGATATCCTACAAGAAATCAAGGGATGTCAAGATTCCGACAACAAAAATGGCAAGAAGAACCAACAATCACCCATCCGCCAGCACAAACAATGAACCGAAATTTTCCACAAAGACCAAAAGCATTAACATATGCACCACCACAAGTCGATGAATCAGCCCAAATGATGGAATCAAACGCACAACCAGAGGAAGCTTCATATAAAGTGTCAACGATAGATATGAAACAACCCACAATCTTGACTACAATCAACGGTAAAAGATTCAAAACTCTTCTGGACTCGGGGTCAACAATTAATCTAATGTCGAGAAAAATTTCGGAAGAGATCAAAGCCCGAGTTTTCCAAAAACAAAATCCTGTACAAGTGAAAACGATCGGTAATTCATTTCAACTACAGAATATGTGCGAAATACCGGTACAAATTGGAACGAAACAGGCGAAGTTACAATTTCTTATTATCGATGACATGGCAAACATTCTACTTCTGGGACTTGAAGCATGGAAGATATTTGAATTATCCATAATAAGTGGCCGAGTAATTTGCCAGAACGTAAATATTGAAATGGTAAAACCGTGGAGAATGAAACCGCTTAATGACCTCTTCAGAGGATGGAATAATAAATTCGAAAAGGCTTATTATGTAGAAAGAGAGGAAGAAGAAGAAACCACAGAAAATCAAGAAAAATTGGATCATTTATTGGCAAAATATCAAGACGTTTTCTCGAAATCGAGCCAAGACATTGGACAAATTGATTCAGAAAAAATTCAATAAAAATAGAACTATCAGATGAAGAGACCAATAAATTTACGACGCTATGCTTTTGCTCGCCAGCAGAGAACAATGATAAAATTGAGGAGCAAGTAGAAAAATTACACTAATTTAACAAAATGATAGAACCATCAGTCATCATCATATAAGTTTTCCGGTCGCATTAGTAGATAAAAAAGATGATGGCAAAAGACAAGACTTTGTGGCGGACTACAGAAAATTGAATGAAGTCACCAAAACAGAACATTTCCTGATACTACGAATAGTTGATATAGAACAACAGTTATTGAATACTGAATACTTTTACAACTTTTGGACATCTGCAGCGGATTCCATCATGTAAGAGTAATACGAAACAGATCGCAAGCCACAAAACAGCATTTGCTTAACAAAATTTGATCAATATCAATGGATCGTAATGCCGTTTGGATTAAAAAACGCCCCAATTGTCTTCCAAAGAATTATATGGGGAATTTTGAGAAAATATAAGTTGAATCGATTTGCTCACAATTATATCGATGATATTATTATTTACTCAAGGACGTTCGAAAATCATCTTGAACATATAGAGAGTGTAATGAAAGCATTACAGATGGAAGGCATAAAATTGAAGAAATCCAAATGCCATTTCGTAAAGAAGGAAATCAAGTACCTTGGACATCAAATATCGGTAAATAAAATTGAACCTTTAACGGATAACATAAAGGCAATATTGAATGTGAAACCACCAACCACCACTAGAGGAGTAAAAGCTTTCCTGGGACAAGTCAATTATTACCATCGATTTATTCCCAATAGAGCAACTCTATTACATCCTTTATACGAACTAACATCAAAGGGTGTGACATTCGAATGGAAGCAAAACCATCAAGAATGTTTTGATAAGATCAAAAAGATATTGGCATCGAAACCAGTACTGCAGATTTATAATCATAATTTGCCAACCATCATTTATACAGATGCCAGTACCATAGGAGTGGGCGCAGTGCTGAAACAGAAACAACCAAATGGTGAAGAATTGCCTGTCAGCTACTTTTCAAAGAAGCTACAATCATACCAAAAGAATTATTCAGCCAGTGAATTGGAATGCTTAGCAATCCTATCTGCGATTGAAAACTGGAAATATTGGTTGACTGGAAACCAATTCACGATAGTGACCGATCATAAACCACTGGAAAGTATCCGGAAGAATAAATCACCTGGCACAAGATTGTTCAATTGGGCTATGAGATTGAATCAGTTCGATTTTGAAATTAAATATGCTCCTGGAGTAACCAATGAAGCAGACTTCCTCTCAAGACATCCCATAGAGGAATTAAAAGAACTAAAAATGGAATATGTTTTGTGGCTCATGAAAAGTGAAGATGAAATCAAATCCGTACAACAAAATACGAATGTACGAACACTACGAAAATGTAGAATCGAAAATGGGTTAATCATAAAAGAAAATGATGATTTGATCAGATATTATTTACCAGAAGGAGAAGCAATAAAAGAACTGACATTGCTTCATAATGAATATGGACATATTGGAAAACCTCATATGCTGGAACATTACAACAGAAGGTACTACACGCCGCGATTGGATGATATCCTGGAACAAATTGTTTCAAGCTGTGACATCTGTTTGAAGACTAAAACAGAAAGGAAAAGGCGTGGATTAATGGGAATTATTGGACCGGCACAAAACCCATTAGAAGATAGTCTATATCGACTTTTGCGTAGAAGGAATGGGTAAATTGGCTGATCATCGAAATATCACCACATATTGCAATCGATTCATTTACCAGATTTGTTTGGGTCGTAACATCTGAAGGCACAGACTACAGAAAAAGAAAAACTGTTGTTACCAAAATGATTTTCCTAGGTGTATCATGGCACAAAGAGAAATTGAAAATCTAATAAGTGCAAATTGTCCAGGAGTTTCAAACCACTGGAAAGTGTTGGACATAATACAAGGAAGAGAGATCAATCACTGGAATTGTTACAGCTGGTACATTGCTATTCTATATTGCCAGTACTGCGTTATTGGGAATGGTTGGACAAGTATGGAATCAATGGGTTCACACTGATATGAAACAAATGAATGAACAGAGATTACATTATTGCAAAAAGGTACGAAGAACAATTTGCAAAATAAGATTGCGGATATGGCTCTAATCAAACAACATCATCATTATCACATGATCAAGATAATTGATTAGGTTTATGTTCCTTCTTGTTTTTTGCCGACGAGTTGCACAAAAAATCAAATTGATTGTAAAATACTCGTGGACGATATATATAATAAATTAATGGGAAAAGATTGAAAAAAAGCAAATGCAACACAGGCAAAATTGATATACATTGATACCATATCGATTTGGAAAGAAATTCAATTTTCTTTTCTTATATTTAAATATGTAATTCCCACCACTAATGAACACCTGTCCACCAAATAAAAAAAAAAAAATTTTCATCATCATTACATCATCAAAATGATGTGTATGAAAAAAACTGATAATTCATAACAAAATCTTATCAGTATCAAAACACGTAGACACACACACACACACAGACAGACAGACAAACGTATCAAAAACCGGCATCCGAATCAAATTAATGACATTTGAACTTTTCAAAAAAAAAAAAAAAAAAAAAAAAAATTTGTTTTGGTCAAAACTTTCATTTGATTAAATGTAACGGAGAAAAACAACAACAACAACAGCAGCAAGAAACAGTTTTCGTTGTTAGATTTAATTTTTTTCATTTTTAAGAAAAAAAACTTAGATCGATGGCCAATCGATTTTTCTTCCACAACAGCCACCGCCACCACCACCACAAACAAATTTATCCATGTCCCTCGAAATTATTGGATCGGTTTTTTTTCATTATTATTATTATTATTAATTTCATCCTTATTTGGGCGGTTTGTTGTTGTTGTTGTTTTTTTGGCCTCCCTACACACTATACCAATAATAGTTTTGTCGCCATAGTTGGAAATAACATCAATCAATGAAAATGAACATGAACTGTGTATCCATTCATAATATTCATATGTGTGTGTGTGTGTGTGTGTATCAAATTCATCAAATCAATCAATCAATCAATTTAGCTCTATTATTACAATTTTTTTTTGTTTGTTTGTTCGCTTTCATATATATACAAATGAACATGAAATAAAAATTATATAACCATCAAAATCATCATTATTATGAAGCTCGTTATGTTATTTTGGCATCATTTTAATATTATATATCGTCATCATCATCATCATCATCATCAATTGTTGTTATTGAATTACACTACTAGACGCGTATGCCGTAGGATAGAAAATTTTTGTTTTTTTTTTTTGTAAAAAAATGGACATTTTATTTTTGACAAATAATTCGAAAAATTCAAATTGATCATAATTTTATCATTCATAAACATTCATCTGAGTTATTGTTTTTTACTCATAAAACTTACCTAGACAAAGACAATGATGATATTGATGACGATCGTGATGATGATGATGATGATGGTGATGATGATGGTAATTCAACATTTGAAACCAATATATTATTGGCCATATTGACCAATTGATGATGATGAAATTTATATGCATTAAATTCATGCATTTTTTCTGTGTCATTGAAAAGCAAAAAAAAAAAAAAATTTCGTTTCGATTCAGACGAAAAAAAACCATCAATTGTTATGTTCAAAGTTATTTAATTTGACATTTTTAAACACTTTGGATGACATTTATTCTCGTGATGATTAAATGCATAGCGGTGATGGTTTAATCGGTAACATTATCATTATCATCATCATTAATGGTTCAAAACCAAGATGAAAATATCAAAAACAGATCGAATTTTCAATACAACAAAAAAAAAAATTACAGTTTATCTGAACACAACACAAACAAAGTTGTTTTTTTTCAGTTTCAGAAAATACCACAATTGATAGAAAAACAATCAATGAATTAATCAAAATTGATCGGTTGATTGATTTCATCGATGATAATGACAAAACGTTTTTGATTTTTCATCTTGTCATTGATTTTCGAATAAACCGAATCGATTTTTTTTTGGTTGAAATGTGAATCAGTCAGTTTGTGTGTGTGTGTGAGTGTGTGAATCAGGATATTCGCAAATATCGATTTGCTGTAATTTTTTTTTATTTGTTGCTTTGATCACCATATTTGAGTTCAATGGGTGGAAAAAAAAACTTGGGAAAACACCGAAACACACACTATTGGTTGGTAACCACCCCAATAATTCGAATCAATTTTTTTTTGATAAAATAAATTTTTCGATTAAATTTTTTCCTCAAAGAATCATGTTGTATGAAGAATTTCTATGTTTTCATTGTCGATTTGACCTTGTTTTTGCAATAGAGACGGTAAATAACAATGATGACAACAGACAGACCAGAAAAAAAACATTTCAACAAAACACAAACGAATAAAATTTTCAATTTTTTCCGTTGAATATCATTTCATTATAAATGGAAACACACACACACACACGCACACGAAATAAAAATTAGAATGTAAATGATGATTTTATAATAATGAGATTCTCGACGATGACTGTTGTTGACCACATGTCACTTGTGTGTGTCATACAAATAGTTCGTTTATCTTGTTTGTAGCATGGTTTTAATTCAATGATTTTATCACCGTTGGAAAATAAAATGAACGAAACCAACCGAACCGGAATGATATAAATGTCATAAACACATGTATGTGAATGCATTCGTGTTCATGAAATGTTCGTTTTTCAATGATAGATTATACCCACGAAATGATTCCATCTGCTATCATGATGTCTTCATATCATCAACAACATTGTATTTTTGATGCAATAAAAGAACAAAAAAAAAAATTTACACCACCATCATCAGCTAGGTCAATCGTTATTGTGGCATTGGCCATCATCAACCATCTGATCATTGATTTGAAACTGAACGACCACCATCATCATCAACACAACCACCAAACACCATCACAAGCAACAACGGATGAAATACAAAAGGAGATGAGTGAGAGACAAAAAAACGAATCGATTCAAAAGAGACACACACACACACACACAACTGCATTTTTAGATACATACATTCCATCAGGAAGGCATCATCGAATCATGGTCGTCAATTGATTGTTGTTCAAGTGAGAGTGTGTCTTTTGAATCAAAATCAAAAACATAATTCTTATGTAAATCGATTCAGTAGGTGTAAATCTATATATTGTTTTTGTTTTCTTTTTTTTTTTTTTTTTGGTTAGATAAACCAGATTAATTTAATGATGCTCAATCGATCGATTATCCATAAATCGATTAACAACTAGCCAACAACAATGAATGATACAAAATTCTTTTATATTTCAAAAATTTTTTCTATCAAATCAATCAATTATCAATCAAATTGATTGAATAATGATGATGATGATGAGTATGTTTCGTGTGACAAACAAATTTCAGAAAAAAAACAAACCAATTGATTCATCTGAATAAATTTCCATAATTTTCATTTTCAAATTCATCATATAAATGAATTTATCAATTCAAAATAAATCGAATCTCAAATCCTCACAATAATCAAAAAACCATGAACAAATGATTGGCGGTGTTGTTGATTGATTGATCGTACAAAAGATGAAAGTGATGAATCGATCGCGATCAATTCGATTGATTGAAAAAAATGTAAATTTTTACAGTTCATCATCATCAATTGTTGTTGTTGTTGTTGTTGTTGTGATGATCAACAACAATGAACAGTTAACATACAATACAAAAACTAACCGAATGAATTGAATCTTATTCGGTCAATATTGTTCAAAATTGATGATGATGATGATGATGATGGTACAGAACAACCCAATGATAATGATGATGATGATGATGATGATAATGCAGATTACAATCAATTTCCAATGTTTTTTTCCGATATATTATTATTTTTTTTAGTCAAAAAAAAACTTGTTTTCTATTTCATTTGTTGGAACAATCCTAAAATCAAAAGAAAAAATTGAAAGTTTTTTTTTGCCACTAAAATACAATAAATGAATGAATGAATGAATAAGGAAACAATCATTGTGGTGCGGAAAAAAAACCACCAAACTTTGATGACCAAAACTAACCAACAAAAAAAACACAATTTGATGGACAATCGAACATTTTTATGTGATTTGATGGATTATAATAATGTTGAATAAAAATCAGAAAAAAAATTAATGTAATTTGGCAACCACCATCACCACCGCCACCACCACCACCACCAATTCTCTAATATGGACAACCAATTTTTTTTGTGTGTCCATTGTTGTTGTTGTTGTTGTTTCATTGTATTTATCCACATTCAGATTATGATGATGATGATGATGATGATGATAATGATCATCTCCATAATCATCACATTATTTCATTTTCAAGAAAAAAAAGAAAACATTTCATTTTATTCATTCAGTTTTTCTTTTCTTAAATGTATTATATAATTTTCATTTTTCATTTGAAAAAAATGAAAAATGGATGACCAATCATCGTCATCATCATCATCATTATGATGACGATGATGATGATAACGGTTTCTTAGTATTTTTTTTTTTTTTTTTTTTTGAAAATGATGCAAAAATCATTATTATTATCATTCAAATCAAATCGAATTAAATCAAATCAAATGTGTTGTATCTGACAAAATTTTTTTTTTTGCTTTATTCAATTGAATTCGTTCACTCAAAGCAAGATATTTAAAAAAAAAATTCATGTGCTATGTATGAGAACAATAAATGAAAATTGAAACTATCGATCTTGATCATCATCAACATGTTTATCGTAAATGTGTGTGTGTGGTCCTTTTTCCACATGATACTGTAAAATCCCTTCTTCATGGATTTTATAAGCGATTCAAAGAAGCCTCCTCGGAATGGTGCGGCGGGCGTATTGAATCTCCATTGAAATTTGTCTTTCAATACGGTGTATGCCTCATTAAACATGTTTCCGAGTCGTTTAAAGTTCGTTCCATTATCTGAATATACCGTGGACGGAATTCTTCTAAGGGCCGCGAATATTTGAAAGGTGTCACATACACATTCGGCTGTCATATTTTCCAATACTTCGAAGTGCACCGCCCGTGTGACGCAACACGTGAATATCATTCCAATGGTTTTCGGGTCGGTTTTCAGTTCAAAAATGTCCACTCCGATATGTTCAAAGGGATGACTTCTGTCCAATCGTGTACTGGGAGGATTACCGAGAGATACTTGCAATGGTTTAGCACGTAATTGGCGACATTTAGAGCATCGGTTTTTGATTTTTATGAATTGTTGTCGTGCGCGTGGTGTGAAATACTTCATTCGAAAATTGGCCAATGTATAATTCACCGAACCATGTTCATCATTTTCATGTGTACGTTCCATCAATGCTAACGTAAATTCACATGTCGGCAAAGCAATCGGGTATTTTTCGTCGTAACTCAAATCTGAATTCTCCAGTCGTGTCAAACATCGTACCAGGCCTTGATCATCACAAAATGTTGGAATGTGTTTGTCGAAATGGTCATCCAGGAACCTTCGTTGATTAATTTTGATTAATATGGTCAATTCATTCATAGTTTCATCGATGGATTTTTTCCAATCGTCAGATTGTTGTTGCACAAGCTCGATCCATTGGTTATAAGGTCGTTTGCTATCAAGATCAAATTTAGAAATATCATATTTTTCCGAGGAACCGTTCACCGTCAAACCAACACCAACTACCACATCTTGTAGTTCAATAATATCGTGATAATTTAATCGATGTAACTTCTTCAATTCGTCAACCGTCACTCCTCTAGTGAATGCATCAGCAGGATTGATTTCTCCTCGTATGTGTCGAATATCACTGATTTTTGATTTTATGTTGAACAAATGGACGGCCACAGGATACGGATATTTGTTCATGTCTTCTTCTAAACGTTTTACGTTATCCATGGAATCAGAGAACAATATTATGTGTCGAGCATTCACGAGATCTCCCAATGTTTTGGCTGTATTGGCACCGGCCGACAACGCCAAGAGCTCAGCACTTACAATCTTTCGTGGTTTGATCAATTTGGATTTGGCATAGATTAACGTTAGCTGCTGACCATTTGTTAGATAGCTTGCGATACCAATTGCATGTTGACTTGCATCGACAAACACCATTAAATCGAATTCTTCTACTGACTTGTCAAATATCCGACGGGGAAAACTGAATTGATCCAATTCTTTGATTTCGTGAATAATTTTCCGAGCTTTCTTCTGTAGATCTGGACTTAAGGGATCATCCCATTCGTAGCCCAATTTCCATGATTCATGTATCATCATTTTCAGCTTCAAGGTCGTTGCCAACACAAATCCGAATGGGTCGTAAATCGATGCGTGATACTTTAACAAAGCCCGTTTTGTGATGTTTCCGCCATCAGTAAATTCGGGAATCAACACCCGCATTTGATCATCCTCGGTCCATTCTACGCCTAAGACCTTGGTTTCGGCAAGTCCATCACCCCAACGATCATTAAGGGCTTTGTCCGATGACCGCCACTTCCTCAACATCATTGATGCTTCAGCAAAGATCATCTGGCTATCACATTTTATCTGTTCAACTTCGCGTTGATTGTTGGCGGAAAATATCAGGTCATCGACATACAGTCCATTAATTATCGCGTTCACCGTTGAGGATATTTGGATCGATACTGTTTTAGATGATGCATCACCACTGCGTATAAAATGAACGGACTTGAAGAAAGGCCGAACGGCAGCCGATTGAACTGGTAACAAACCGTGTTTTCGTCATTATCGATCCATAAAAACTTGACAAACTTTTTATGTTCAGGTTGTATTGCGATGTTGTGAAAGGCAGATTTTATGTCACTGATCACTGCCATGGTCTGCAAGCGGAAGAACAACAATGAGCGGATGATATACCAAGCTGTCACGCCTTTGAAAATGGCCTTGTTAAAGTGGTTGTGTTCCGTTCGAGGCATTAAATACGATTCGCATTTTCGTGGTGTTTTATCATTGCGTGTGACCACAAAATGTGGCATATGGTATCCGTCATCGGGGTTGATTGCCACTTGTTCAACAATTTTATTTTGGACCAAATCGTCTATCAATTCTTGATATCCGGTTCGTCTTTCGTTTGTCATGTGTTTTACCATGCTCCACAACTGTTTCTTGGCCGCATCGAAATTTGGTTGAACTTTCACATTTGGGATAAACGGCAATTTTACTGAATATCTTTTTTCTTGTTGGTCGTACTTGACACTATCGCCGGTACAATAGTTTTCCAGGAATTTTTCCATGGCTTCTTTGTCTTCATCCTCGATGTCCACATCCAGTGCCGGTTCCACCGATAACGATTGATCGTAGCTCAACAGTACATTCGTTCGATTGGTCACCCCAAAGACTACCCAACCCATTGTCGTACGTTTAGCGATAACGTCATGCATTACTCGTCGTTCATCTGGAAGCTGAATCTTGTTGATGTTGTCAAGTCCAATTAACATGTCAACCGGACGTTGTTCGTCTTGGAAATCAATACCTTGTTGTCGTAGCTGTTTTTGCACGTCGATAGGAATACAATGAAACTGCAATTGGTCCAATTTATCGTTCAGTCGAAACCCGAGATTCTCGTGTTGTCCGCCCCACGTTGGCATCTCTATGTACCATTTGATGACCAGTGGCAGTTGGTTTAGCGTTGCTTAAGGTGTCCATGAAAATTGGTTCAGCTCTGGATGCAACAAGATTCCATTCGTGTGCCACCTTGGAAGAGATGAACGAGGTCCCGGCTCCATCGTCAAACACAACTCGTATTTTTCGTCCATTAATTGTGGTAGTCAATGTTTTATGAAGACTTCGGCCAGCTGGTATCAATAACGTCGGTTGACTTGAGCTTTCTGGAAGCTTCATTATTAGCGTTCGATGATGTTGGCATGGTTGGCGTTAACACACTTGGTTGATTATGTCGAAAACAAAACTGTGACGCATGTCTTCGCTGGCAGTGATTGCACTTCAGTATTTTGGACACTCCCGGCCATTATGTCCACTTTCACCGCAACCAAAGCATAGTCGATTTGTAAACAAGAACTGCCGTCGGGCATCACCAGATAGTTTACATTCGTCAGTTTTATGATCACCATCTTGAAAGAAACACTTGTTGTTGGTTGTCATCATCACATTGTTGATGGGACGTCTGATCATCGATCGAGGCTTATCAGCCGTCGTCCATGGATTTTCGTCGAGCCGGCCACTTATGGCTGCTTTTCTCGCCGCACCGCGTTCGAGAAATTCTTTCTAGCTGTGCTAGTTTTATTTTGTGGTCACCATCGATTTGTTGTTGATATACATCATCTACCTTGGCCTCAATATATACGTCGTCATATTGTAATCTTCATGTAGCAGATTGGATGCGGCTAATGTATCACGAATTATTACCACTGTTTCCAGCCAGGTCGTCCAATCTTTGACGGTTGCTCTCTGTGACAAATGCGGTAACAATTTGATTTTATTTTTTAATGCTGGAATGATTTGATGTTCCGATGCGTAAAAATCATCGAGCTTTTTCAATGCATCTTCAATGCCTGCTTCGTTACGAATTACTCTGTTCAACAAATACCGGTGATGATTAGGCAGCAGATCTTGGATTTCGGTTAACTTGTTTAATCGTCCTTGAATTTGTGGATTTTTGATGATATAATGTAGTATGTCATGTCGAAATTTATAATAGTCGATGGGATCGCCATTGAATTTTGCTAATTTTTCTTTTCGATCTTGACTCTGAACTCATCGCCACGTTGTGCGGTGGTATAACTGTTGATGCTGCCCTGCGATCGATTCGATCTTGATCATCATCAACATGTTTATCGTAAATGTGTGTGTGTGTGTGTGGACATTGAAACTAATGTATGATTTTCAAATTTTTCTTTCCTTCCTGTTGTTAGGAAAAAAAACGCATTCAAACGATGAATAATAATAGTAGATTAGGAATCATTGTAGACAGGTGTCAATTCTTCAATATCATTTACTCATTTCAATCGTCGTAGAAGTGAGAGAGAGAGAGAGAGAGAGAAAAATTTGATTGAATTCAATCCATACTTCCGGTAAGATGTTGTTTGTATAAAATCATTGGTTTGTTTATCTTTAATAAACAAAACAGCAACGATTCAACGAGAGATTTTGGCTTTTTTGAATAAAAATTACATATATAATCCATGCTCATTTGTAATCATCGGATGATTCAAACATTATGATAATGATGATGAACATGAAAATGATACACAACAAGCTTTATCATTTATAAAGGATGATATAACTAGATTGGTCCAAGACTAGCTATCATGTCATATGTAATTTGCCACGTGCGTGTGTGTGTGTGTGTGTGCGTTTTACCGGCTTTCAATTTTCTTGGACATAAAACAATTACATTTTGTAATTTGATTCAAATTGATTGAAGTGGTTATGGTTGATTTCTTTTTAATTTCAATGATGATGATGACAACAAGCTTTAAGGCAAGCAAACAAACAAACACACCTATTTTTAAAATGGGAAATCTTTTTCAGAAGAAAAAGAACAAAAATTTTCTTGATAATAAATAAAAAAAAAATTCCCTAAAAAACTTCATTTGATCAACTTTGATATATATTCTATTTTCACCATGCTGTTCGCTCTTGTTGGTGACCACAAAAAAAAACATATTTTTCGACATTTTTGTTTTTTTTTTTTTTTTTGGACATTTTGAAATATATTCGATTTAGACAAAATTCAAGACAAATAATAAAAGAAAAAAATATCGGTAAAACGATATTCAGAACAAATGGTAAAATTTTTATTGTCTATCTTGTTGTTTCAAATGTATGTTTAAGTCAGTTTAAACTTTTAAACTTTTAATATATTTTCAACTCTTTTCTGTTTCATGGCAATCAACAAAAAAAAAAAAAAAAAATGGGAAAAGCAAAAAAAATTCGGACAACCTAGAAATTGACAACATAATATTTCTTTGATGATGATGATGATGATCATAATGATGATGATTTTACCAATTTTTTCGTTTGTTTCATAAATCGATTATAAATGAAAACATTGATGATGATGATGACGATAGGCCGGCAACGGTAATTAGGCCGACAATTTGTCCGTGTGTGTGTGTGTAATGATAATAATTAATGTTTGGTTTTTTTCCTACTTTTTTTTCTCTTTATAGCCTAATAGCGATGTAGTTTTTCCAATCAATTTTTTCGTTGTTGTTGTTGTTCTCAATTATTTCTTTTTTGTTTTTTATTTTTCGAGGTTTTCACCGATATTAAATATCGATTTTCATTTTCATTCAATGTGGCTCAAATTCATTTATATATATATATTTGAAGCTAAATTGAATGATCATTTGTGGTGTTGTAGTTCTTGAACAAAAAAAAAAAAAAATAAAACAATTCATAATAGGAAGTTGATGTGAAAAAAAAATGAAAATACGACCACGACAACAACAAAGATTTATCTATAGGATATGTACTTGTGTGTGTGTGTTTTGTCATTTATGGAATCATTTTTCAGGATCTAGGAACAATGATTGTGTGACAATTTTTTTTTTCGGTTGTTATTGCTTCACATTTTACAATGAACGTAATCATCATTATCATTATAAATTAAGCGTCATAATGAATAGGATAATAATATATATATACACAGAAACAAAATGTCGTGACAACAGCAACAACAACGATGATGACAAATATGCAATCACAAACATCATAAACTGTCATAAGACCACCAACATGTCCAATGATCCATAAAATCATTGGAAAAAAAACTACACTGACACGTCCAATCGATTTCAACATCATCATTAATCTCTTTCCATTCTTTCATTCACTCACTCACTCACTCTCAGTTTTATTGAAAAATTTTCTTAAAATATAAACAAAAAGTAGATTAAAATAAAAGAAAATAAAAGAAAAGAAAAATCTTTAACAAGATTTGGAATTAAAATCAAAAAAAAAAAAAAAAATTTTTTCTTTTTCAGTTTTTTTTCAACATAATCCACATTTCTAACAGCTGATGATGAGAAGGATTATTATCATCATCATCAAGATGATCATGATCATGATGATGATGATGAATGTTCCAAAAGAGTTTTTTTAATGTTCAAAAATAAAAATGATCTAGTTTGATTATTTTGGAACTATGTTTCAATGTAACATTGAAAATGAAAAATATTATATATAGGATGTTTATATTATCATCATAAATTAAAAAATGATGATGCTATACGTATGTATTCTAGTTTCTATATTCGGTGATTCTTATTATCAGTTTTGATGATCATGATTTTGGAAGACGGGCCGAATTTATCAACCAAATCCAAAAAATACAATCCGAACGATTGAGTAACCGGAACTTGATTTTTCTGATTCATTCAACAATTGTAACAGATAAAATGGACAAATGTGTGTGAATTAATGTAGGATTAATTTTTTTTTTTTTGCAATTTATTCACTGTGCTAATTCATTATTGAATATGATGATTTCAATCTTTTTCTCTCTCTCTCTCTCTCTTTCATCAAAATGTGACACATTTTCCATATAAAAAATGATTGATAATGATGATTGAAATGAATTTTTATGGCTATAAAGAATAAAGAAATATATAGTGCTTAGGATGGTCAATTGCATGTGTAAAAACATTTGTACAAATGAACTGAATTCACTAATTCCATTTGATGATAATAATAATAATGGTAGTAGTGGTTGATCATTGAACAATTTGATTTGTATTTTATTCATCATCATCATCATCATCATTTCAAATCTTTTTAACACTCTTTTCACACTTTTACAATTATTGATATAAGATTTTTTTTTTTTTTGATTTTCAACTCAAATGGTCGATGATTTACTTTCTATAGACGATTATCATCATCATCATCATCATTGAAATGCCATCTATTCATTGATTTTGGTCCAGTGTAAAAAAAATGTGTGATTAACTCTGATTTCATTTCACACAACACACACACACAGCCATAATCTTGATGATAGTTGTAAATGTAATAATATGACAAACATTCATCAACAAACAAAACATTGATTTTTTGTTGTTGTTGTCCAATGTTCGGTCAACAATATTTCATTGATGTATTGTAAAATAATGATGATTTACGATTATTTTCTCTTCACAAAAATTGTATACGTGTTGTGTTTTGCATGTATTTTCAATCAATGATCATCAATGAATCGATCAATTTTCGATTGAATTGATCAACGAATGAATGAAAAAAAAAATAATAACTAAAACATAATTTTCACCTTTTCAGGTGAGAGAAATACACGTTATGAATTATTGAGAATGAAATGGTTTGATTTTATTTTTTTCATTCAAAAAAAAAAAGATCATCCTGCCGCTAATCATCATCATCATTGAATAACTTGGATTTTCAAATAAAAATTGCATTTTTTTCTGTGTGTGGACCTTATTTTTTTCCCTCACACAAAAATTGACAACCACATCTAAGCCTATTAAAACATTGTGTGTGTGTGTTGTTAACGACCTTGCTTACATAACATACATGAAATATATATATGACATTGGATAAATGTCAAGACACTAAATCATCATCATCATCATCATCGATATCATCGATATGAATGATGATGATGATTTAGTAAACGAAAATTGAAAAAATGAAAATTTTCAATTTTCAATCAACGCCAGGTCATATAATCGATTTTATTATTACTGATCTGAAACTGTTGTGCACTGTGCAAAACTGGATTGACCATACATGCAAAAAAATCGATCGATTTTTCTCCCCTTCCCTCCCCCAAAAAAAAAACATGAAAAAAATGGATGACATCCGAATTTATTGCTAATGCTATTGCATTTATGATTCAAATGTTTCAGCCAACAAAAAAAAAAAAAAAAATGACAGAAAAAAATCATGTTTTCAAATTTTTTCTTTAAATTGATTAATGTTGTGGGCACATGTTTGAATGGAAAGAAAATCAATCTCATGATGATGAAAACAGCACAAAACAACAACAAATTTTTCTGTTTACGGTAAAAAATGTGCAAAACTGGATTGACCATACATGCAAAATGAAAAAAAAATCGATCGATTTTTCTCCCCTTCCCTCCCCCCTAAAAAAACATGAAAAAAAATGGATGACATCCGAATTTATTGCTAATGCTATTGCATTTATGATTCAAATGTTTCAGCCAACAAAAAAAAAGACAGAAAAAAATCATGTTTTCAAATTTTTTCTTTAAATTGATTAATGTTGTGGGCATATGTTGAATGGAAAGAAAATCAATCTCATGATGATGAAAACAGCACAAAAACAACAAATTTTTCTGTTTACGGTAAAAAAAAATCTAGTAAAAACCATATAAAGATTTTGATCTGATCTTTTTTTTTGCATTCAACCGTTTTTTCATTTCATTTCGTTCAATTGATCAATTATATGGCGTGTATCAAACACACACACACACGCACACACACTTAAATGAATTGATTCTTTACGAACACGATGGTCAATGTCAAATATATTTGTGGCCATTCAATCACCGTTCATTTGATCAATTATGATCGTTTATTATTATTATTATGTGTGTGATTGGTGATTGTTTTTTTTTTTTTTTTTTGATGTTAAATTGCCAAAAATCGTCATAATAAGTGTGGCAATTTTTTTTTTTCCATTTCATTTTTTAGTTTTTCTTTAATTACATAATAATCACAGTGCAACAAAAAGTCTTTGAACAAACACACATACATACACCAACACAAGTATTAATGATGTGCATATTTTAAATTTTAAAATAAAAATTCATCAATCTGCTAAACAAACGACATTTGAATTTTGTTTTTTTTTTTTTGAATAAATTTAGAAATTGCCAATTTCCACAAAATTTTCAAATTCAAACACGAGTTCAAATTTATTATTTTTTGATAAATTCCGGTTTTTTCCCCCCCACCCCACACTAATATAGTTGATACATCCCATCAATCATTCATTCATGTACACATTGGATTAAATCTTTACAAAAAAAAAAAAAATCCAAATGATCTCATTCAGATGATGTGACTTTGTATGTAATTAATTTTTTCTTTTTTATTTGAGAAATTTATTGAAATTATATACTTGTGTAGATAAAAATTGTTGATCAGCAGAACAATTTTTTTTCTGTTTGTTTCTTGTATCAATCAAGATTTAAATGAAATTGCAAAAAAAACAATTCATGAATAAAGTAACGCCATCTTTCGATCGATGTACAAAACATTGTTCATATAAGAGTTTTTTCACTCATCACATCATCATAGGAAAATATCCGCAATGTTCATTGATCTGACATTCATTCATTCATTCATTCATTGGGATTCATCCCGTTATATGGATGTGTGAATTATTCATGGAAATGGAATAGCAAAAAAAAAAAATACTTACTTTAATGTATTTCATTGATTAGATTTGTTTGTTTGTTTGTTGTTGTTGTTTACAAAACGGATACAATTTTATTCTATTTTTTTTTGGTTGATGCTGATGATGATGATGATTAATAATAATAATAAGATAAGATGTGACACAATTTCGATCGATTATTTCGACGAAACTAATTATAAATGAATGATTAAAAAGTAAGTGGAAATTTCCGTTCTGTTTAGTTGCACATACACATACACACACACAGTGATATAACTTTGAAGACAAAAAAAAAAAATATTCTCGTTGATTGATTATTGGAACGGAAAGAAATTAAATTTTTTTCGCTGTTTTTTAGTCTAAAGTCTTTTTGAACATCAATCAACTCACAAACAATGTTCGATGATGAACCAAAGCATTGAGAATTCATGAATAGTGAATCAAACACATATTGATAAAACAAAACAAAACAAAAAAAACACAATCCTTTCATTTTCCGGAAAGAATCATATAGTTATCAGCATAGTGTTGGATCGATATTGATGCTAGTGATGATGATGATGATGATGATGATGACAATTACTACCAATTGACCGGAATAATAATAACAGTGCAAAAAAAAATAACAAAAAGAAGATCCAAACACAAGAATCAAGAATGTTACATTAAATCTACAGAATTTGGACGGCCACACACACCACTGCTCTACTTCGGAACTGTATGAATGTTTTAATTTTTTGCTTTTCGATAATAATAATAAAAAAATGAGTACAGTTTGGTACTACTGGTGATGGTGGTGGGTGTACTGGTAATTTTTTTTTCGTTTCAAAATTTTAAATTCTTATACTTGCACACATACACACACACAATTACAAAAATTGACAAGAATTCAGTTCCACTTAGTATGATTTTCTGTAACAAACACACACACACACAAGCAAACAAACCATAGATGTTTATGGAACTCATGGATAAAGTAAGTAAAGATTTTGCCGTTCAATTTTTTTTTTTTTTTTTGATAGGAACTACTACCACCACCACCACCATCAACCAGCAACATATACTATTGTGTTGTGTTCCATAACATTCTTATTTTCAAAAAAAATTATTATGGCCGTTTAGGATGTGTTTGTTTGTGTAGATGCGCAATCTCATTTTATGATTATCGAGAATGAATCGATTTTATTCTTTACTTTTATTACACACACACACACACACACACACAAACACATAAACTAAAAAAACGGATCCTTATTATTATTATTATTATTATTATTACTAAATAAACTTATGGCCAAATGGTGAAACGATGAAACGAGCCAAGAATGACGAATGAATTGAATTGAATGAAAAAAAAAATTCTTATGGTTCCCGTTACACATATAAAAGCACATAAATTATACGATGTAGAAAATTCGGGCGCCATCATTTTTTGTGTGATTCTAATTCGAGTTCTGTACACTAGTTAGGCTTGTTGTTGTTGTTGTTGTTGAAACAAACTATACAAGCCGAACGTTATCGAAAGAATAACATCACTAATGAGGGGTATATGGATGATGTCTGTATGTGTGTGTGTGTGTGTGTGTTGTGGTAGAAAGAATATAGAATCCACTCGGAGGGTTATATAATAACGGGTTCCATACTATTCATACCACACCATTCATTTGGTTGGTTGGTTGGTTGGTTTGTTATTTTGGATTCATAGATTTCGATGTTTGTATATAGAAAATGTATATGCCAATGCCGACATTTGTTACAGAATTGAATACCTCTACTTATCAAATACGGTAAGGGGTCCATGCGGACATAAATTCCGGGTATTTTATCACGTCTGTTTGCACACATGCACACATACACAAACACAATGTTTTCCAATGAATTTATTCCGTATACAGAATGAAAAAAAAACAACAACAAAATATGAATGAAATGTGATTCATTTTTTTTTTTGTTTATTCTTTCGGGTTCTGTGGATCGAATAGTAATGCCGATTTTTTTTTTTTTTGTATACTCTGGTGTGATGGTTCTCGATTCGATTCATTTAAATGACTGATATTATAAAAAATACAGTGGTGATTCGGTTTACGATGGTCAAATTGTCATCGTAATTATACAGTGATGATGCCATCGTACAAGAATCGGAAAACGCAATCTCTGTTGAATTTTGACAATAATATCCGATTTTCAATGGAAAAAAAACATGTTTTGTGTGATTTTTATCCGGCTTTTTTTTCCTCGAATAATTGTGTGGGTGTGTATTAGAATTTACTTAGAAAAAAAAAAATTTTTGTTACAAATGGAAAAAAAATTTACCGAAAGAAAATAGAAAATGAAACATGTTTCAAAATAAACATATAAATAAATAATAGCGTCTACATATATATTGTAAACAATACAGAATTTGAAGAATAAAACTAACAACAATAACAACAACTTCCATGGTAACATCTTCATCCAATGATTCTTATATAAACACAAATGATTTTCTTCATTGGAATCATATTTCAGGACTATATTCTAACATTTGTGAGTTCCGTGTAATCATCGGAATCTTCATCATTATTGCTATTCTTGACATTTACATTGTCCAAACTAAATTTCCACACACACACGCACACACACACATATCCATAAATTCCATGAATAATGCATTTTGAACAAATTCAAAAGGAAAAAGTAAATCTTTTTCTGTGATATGCCATTATTGTTCGTGACGAATCTTTTCATTTGGCCACCATCATTTTTTGTTGATCACTTGGATTTGTTATGGATGACCAGCAAAAAAAAAAAAAATTTTTCCATTTCAAATTTCAAAAAAATTTTTTTTTATTTTGAAATCAAATATGTACGTATATCGAATGACAAATGTTCAAATCATTGTTGGTGTTGTTACATTTTAAGTCCATTTTCAATTTTCATTTTCAAGGATGTTTCAGAAAGATCTTGAAAAATCTTGATAATGATGATAATGATTAAGATATATTTCTATATATATATTTGTAATTTCATATAAAGTATTTTCACAATTATATTATGTTTTTCAATCAAAACTTATTGCAGAGATTGCCTTCGAACAAAAAAAAAGAACAGAAAAAAAACAGGTTTCAACATTGATCACAATGGTAAAATTTCCATTACTTCTGTTCATTTTCTCTTTCTCAGCCGGTTTGAGCATGAAGATAATAAACAACAAAGACGGCAACAACAACATTCACATCGTTTTCATGATGATGACGATGACGATGACGATGACGTTGAATGGATTGGTAAATGAAGAAATGTTTTTTTTTACATATAAAACATGCACAATGACAGTGTATTTCAAATGGCCAGTTTATTAAAATTTGCATTACAAACAAATTGATTTCTAATGATAATTATGTGGTCAAATAATAGAAAATATCCACTGGCCACATGATCAATATTTGAATTTTGAATGAGCAAATTATTATTATTTTGGGTAAGTTTTTTTTTATTTCATTCATCCAATAAAACAAAAATACTTTTTTCATTCATCATTTGGGAATATATTTATTTTCTTCTTTCCTTTTGTCTTTTGTTTATTATTCGATTGAGATATTGAGTCGTTTTTCGGATATATTGGGTATCACTTTTCATCATCATCATCATCACCACCAATGACCGAAAATTATCATTTTTGTTGTTGTTGTTGTCTGTTTGTTTGTTTGTTTATCTTTATCCTCTTCACATTATATTATCCTTTTCCATTATTCATTCACACGAAATTCATTCATAGATTGACCAGAATAGCTTTGTTTTCGATTGAGGTGAATAAAAAAACAAATCTACTGCTTTTTTTGGAAACAATTATCGATGCAAATCAATAATTGTTTGCGAATAGAATAGTGATATCTCATAAATTGACTAATTCATAAATCAAAATCGATTTTTGCCAATTGAAAACCATGATGATGACAGGATTTGGGTTGCTGTTGGTGATCATGATGATGATGATGGTCATGGTTGTAGCAACCAAAAAAAAGAACTCATGATCGAATTGATTTACATTTTTTTCCCCTTTCGTCTCTATTACTCAAATGAATCAAAAAAAAAAAAAAAACTTTATTCCTTTCAACGAAATTAAATATAAAAAATCCAAGGAAAAAAATTGATTGATTGATTTTGATATTTATCATTACCCAAACTAAAAAAAATCCCAACAGCAACAGCAACAGTAGCAGAAGTAGCAATAGTAGTTTTTCCATACTTTTTAGATGTCGCCATCATTTTTGATTTCTGCAACATATCTATCTGATTGATTTGTTTGAATTGAAAAATTAAAAACATATTTCGTCATATTTGTTTCTCTTTTTTTTCATCTGTTCAGGTATCTTGTTATTATTGAATCTCTGTATATCTCCCTGATTAATTGTTTGTGTGTGTGTGTGTGTGTGTGTGTATGTTTACCACTTTTTTTTCTTCATCATCATCAACGGTATTAATCATTAAATCCTTTTTTTTCTCAAAATAATAATCATTATCATCGATCATATAATTTTTTTTCCATTTGTCTATTGTCAAATGATAATTGTTTGAACCAATTTTGTTTTTTTTCATGTTTTTTTTTATTCTTTCAAATAATTTGACATTTTTTTCCCTTGTTGTTTTTTTCTCTCACACACATATATGGGTCTATTGGATTCGAATTTGAAAAAAATAACTTCAAATCCCTGTGAATTTCAATAAGTTTCGTTTCGTTTCATTTCATTTTTATTTTTGTTGCATTCAATTTTTTGTCATCGCTTTGAATATATGTGTTCTGACTAGAAGATTAGCAGATAAAAAAAAATAAGATGGCAATGATTCAACAGCATTCTTCGAATGATAAATCATTAACCACAGCCAATGGCATTACTAATAATAAGGTGATAATTCATACATCAAAAAGTGCTCCATTAGTAGCAAAGATTCGTCAACGTTTTTTTGAAAATGAATGGCCTAAAAATGCAGGTAAGTTTTTGTTGTTTGTTTTTTTTCTTTTTCATATTTTCTTATGTTTTTAATTGAATATGAATACTATATAGAATCATATTGTGAACAAGATATTGAACGTGTACGAAATTCTGAATGGTTTGTCAAACGATACCTGTTGCAAAGCCGAAGAAATGTTGATGATGCTTATGAGCTATTAATATCGGCATTACGTTGGCGAAAAGAGATTAATTTTCCTAATTTAGATGCAAAATATTTTCCAAGAGAATTTTTTGAAATCGGTGGCTTATTTTCTTATGAACCAGATCGACAAGGTAATCCGGTCATCTATCTACGTATTCGAATGCATAAAAAAATAAAAGACCTAGAACATTTTGTCAAATTATTTTTGTTCTATACCATCAATCGTGTCGATTTGGAAAGTGGTGAAAATGGTTGTACAATTGTTTTCGATTGTAGTGGTGCCGGTTATTCGAATATGGATCTTGACCTATTGAAAAGTCTAATCGATGTTGCATTCAAATATTTTCCCTACTGTATACGATTGGTTATTGTTTATGAACTATCATGGATGTTGAATGCTTTCCGTAAAATAGCCATGACATTTGTTCCATCATTATTAACTTCAATCATACGATTTTCTAATAAGAATGATATAAATCAATATATTACGTCGGAAAATTTGCCCGATTTTATGGGTGGTACTTGTGTACGTGATTATCGTGCAGTTCCAGTTAATTGTCGTACAATTGAAGAAGCTTGTTTAGAAGTAGGTATCTCTCCGGAAAAAGCTCAACAACTTTTAGATCAATTTGAACCATTTTTACGTGAAAGTCGTGAAGCAATTAGAGCTCGACAGCTACAATTTCAAACAAAAATGATTGATTCCAATAATTCTACCATTAAATCGGCCATCCATGAATCAACGAATGGTGATACTAATTATGTTAATGAACAAAACAAGGAAACAACGAATGATGATGATGATGATGATAATGATGATGATGAAGTAATGGCTACAACTACAACAACAACACCATCATCATCATCATCATCATTAACAACTGAACAGATTGCCTTAGTTCATTCGCCTGAATCGAAATCATTTTCACATATAGCTACTATTTATCCACAAAATGTAATCCACTTTAAAAGACGTTTTTTATTGAAACGAAATTTCGACCCAGAAAAGGAAAATAATTTTAATCAAAATATGGCAAAAACAGTTACGAATACGATGACTACTGCTGCAATGACGATGATGACTACGACGACGACAACAACAACAACAACAACAACAGGCAACATAATGGTTCGTAATAATCATCAGAACCGATCGCTTGCATTCAAAATACAATCCAACTGTTCGGATAGATATACGGTGACGCCCAATCGAGGCGTACTTTTACCAAGAGCATTCATTGCAATAAACATTGTTCGTAATACCACTGCCGATGATGAAAACTTGGATATGGATGTGGATGATGATGATATTGGCAAAAATCCAGACCTAATTAATGGAATGAATGAAATTCAGGACAAATTCCTTATTTTAATGTCTTCAACAATGTTGAATGCACAAATGCACTTGAAAAATTTGAATGAATTCAATAAGCTATTCATTAAAGGTATCGACGATCACCAGATTTATATACACAAACTTTTGGTCAAATTTGATAATGATAATAATGATGAATCGTTTATGAATAATAATAATGATGATGATGATGATAATATGATGATGATTCATCGTCGTAAAAATCAACAAGGCCAAAAATGGAAACATTTATAGATGAAATGAAACGATTGCGACAAAAATGTCGCAAACTTGAACATCGACAATCATGGATGAACATGTTATTGATTATCATGATAATGCTCACGGTCATTGTACTAATATGGTTATTTAGTTTTCCCTCGTGTTTAGATTTCAATAATCGTTTAGTCAAATATATGATGACCAAATAGTGGAATCACTGACCGAAAGACCGACTGTGATCAATCATATATGTAAAATGACGGTTTGTTGAACATTTATTCTTTATTTATCTTTCTGGTTTTTTTTTGATGTTATCGTTTATTATTATTTGTTTGTGTAACTGAACTGCAATAAAATTTATTATTATTTTTCAATTTTTTCAAAATAATTTTTCATTTTGATGTTGGCCAGCATAATTAGTTATTCAATTGAATTGTTTCTTTTTTTTATATATAAATTATTTTATATCAATACAAACAAATAAATAATAAATATTCGATATAAAACATATATCCTTGGTGTTTCCTGTATGTTCGAATGGCTGATGGTAGATTTTATGTGATGTTTAGAAACATTTTCTGTGGACAATGGCTGGGCCGGCTTCATCGTATTCCTGTTTCGAGATCCACATCTGTTGGAAGGTGGACAACGAGGCCAAGATGGAACCACCGATCCAGACGGAGTATTTTCGTTCTGGTGGGGCGATGATCTTGATTTTGATGGTGGCTGGGGCCAAAGCAGTGATTTCTTTTTGCATACGATCGGCAATACCTGGGTACATTGTTGTACCACCAGACAAGACAGTGTTGGCGAACAAATCTTTACGGATATCAATGTCGCATTTCATGATTGAATTGTATGAAGTTTCATGGATACCGACAGCTTCCATACCCAAGAACGATGGTTGGAAGAGGGCTTCTGGTGCACGGAAACGTTCCGAACCAATGGAGATGACTTGACCATCGGGCAATTCATAAGATTTTTCCAAAGCCGATGATGTGGCGGCAGTGGCCATTTCGTTATCGAAGTCCAAGGCGACGTAGCAGAGTTTCTCCTTGATGTCACGGACGATTTCTCGTTCAGCGGTGGTGACGAATGAATAACCACGTTCAGTCAAGATTTTCATCAAGTAGTCGGTCAAGTCTCGACCAGCCATATCCAAACGGAGGATGGCGTGTGGAAGGGCATAACCTTCGTAGATTGGGACTGTGTGGGTGACACCATCACCAGAATCTAAGACGATACCGGTGGTACGACCAGAAGCGTACAAGGACAAGACAGCTTGGATGGCGATGTAGACGGCTGGGCTGTTGAAGGTCTCGAACATGATTTGGGTCATCTTTTCTCTGTTGGCTTTTGGATTCAATGGAGCTTCAGTCAACAAGACTGGGCTTTCTTCTGGGGCAATACGCAATTCATTGTAGAAGGTGTGATGCCAGATCTTTTCCATATCATCCCAGTTGGTCACGATACCGTGTTCAATCGGGTATTTCAAGGTGAGGATACCTCTTTTGGATTGGGCTTCATCACCGACGTATGAATCTTTGTTGCCCATACCAACCATGACACCTTGATGTCTTGGTCGACCGACGATTGATGGGAAGACGGCTCTGGGGGCATCATCACCAGCGAAACCGGCTTTGCACATACCGGAACCATTGTCAACAACCAATGCTGTTACTTCGTCGTCACACATTTTGTTTCAGGAAATTTTTTTGGAACTTGAATAGAATCAAGTGAACAGTTTAAAATTTTTTTTTAAGAAACACGCAACGTAACGCTGGCAACTTCGAAACGAAACTGAATCTGTTGAACATTCCAATCAATGTTTTTATATCAACTATGTAAAAATATGCTTTGATTTGTAGGCAATCATCATTCTGGAGGAAAAAAGAGGAGGATGAGTAGAAAGTGAAAATCTTTCAACCAATTCCAATAGATATGTTGAATGAGTTTTGATAATTTGCTTCTTCAATTTAGATTCTTCATTGTAGTGGTGTAGCCAAAATGTTTAAACATTGCAACATTGGAATAACGACAACGCCCGTATTTTACAAGAATTTATGAAGTAGAATTATTTCCCACCAAATACACACACAAATATGTGCATTTTTAGATCAAGAATATAGACATTCATAGTATTCGTTTCGAAAAAAAGACCATGTGTAAGACGTCTTTCATTTAATGGAAAAAACGATATTTCCTAACCATCATTAAGATACACAAACACACACCATCATCATATCCACATATTCTGTCCAAATCAAGCCACAGCTATCAAACCAAAAAAAAAAAAAAAAAAAAAAAATGCATGCCTGTCGAATTACTGTGTGTGTGTGCGAATGATGTAAATGTATTTAGACGAATCATCAAAACATATCGGGGATCACACTTTATTCAACAAATGTTTTCAGCTATTTCGGTTAGGATTCACAATCTCTGATGATGATGATGATGATGATGAAGACGATCTCATCATTTTCGAAACAAAAATAGAATTAATATATGTCTAGAATTCAAATCAAACTGTGTTTGGATTTATTTTTCGTTCAAATTTTTGTGTGTGTGTGTGTGTGTGTATGTGTGTTTGTGCTTTAAATTCATGTCATGAATAAAGCAACGAACTGTACATGTTGCTTGTATAGTCATTTTTTGCATACAACTTCCTTGGTATGAAACTCAGAGTAAAAAGAAATGCAAAAAAAATGAGGGAATTTTTCAATTTTATTTGATGCCAATTTTGCTCATCGTATTTTATTTTTTTTTGTATTGACTGTGAATATTTGTGAAAAATCACTTTTTACCACTACTACCCATCATCATCATCATCATCCTCATCATCATCATTGATGTTGTTCTCATGGTAGACAGTAGAGAATAAGAATTTCCGAAATCTAAAGATAACCATAAATATGATGTTTGTTTGGCGTATAATCAGAATCTGGTTCAAACTGTTGAGCTTGTTTCTGTATACAAGAATAAGAGAAGAGAGATTCAATGCTATAATGGTGTTGTTGTTGTTGTTGTTTTTTCCTTTTTTTTCTTATTTGATGAAATGTGAATCAGATTCTGTTTTCTACCATTTATGTTCAAGGCTTACCATATTCAACCATTTTATAAATTTATTACAATTTTATTTATAACAATATGTTTTGTTGTTTCGCTGATGGAATCTTGATTCTTGAAGCAATAAAAAAAAGAAGAAGAAGAATCTCATCATCATTTAACAATCGTATGATAAATATAACCAGAGATTTGATTGGAATGCCATACCATGCATATTATTATTTCAATTTCAACTAATTTTCTTAGTTGAATTATTTCCAAACATACACATACTCATATGCATGATATACAGATTGAAAGATTTCTTGTATATAAATGTACTTGAATCATAAGTGGGGTCTTGATGCCAACATGAACAAACAGCAATAACAACAACAACAACAAAACTAAATTTCACCTGTTTTTTCCATTTATTTGTATGGAATTTTCATTCATAGAAACAAAAAAATTTCTTTAATATTGAATAAGTGTGAAAAATTAGAAATTATCATAGAATTTCTTCAAAATGACCATTGATTTGAATGAATGATCAAAAGAAATCAAATTTCTATGAATAAAATTTTCGAAAAGATGGCGACACTAGAAAACAAACCAGTTACAAATCTCACCATCATTGTAACGTTGAAAATTAGCAAAAAAATTATAAAAGTTTAATTGTTTTTTGTTGATATTCGGCTTGATTTTATTTATCAGTATTCCAGATATAAATTGCTTCGATCGTTTACATGTTTATGAATACAGGCAAATCATATTTATGTCAGAAATAAAACAGACAGACTGTGATTGATTTTGGATGTGTGACCGTATTAATTATTGTCAATAGTAATAATAAATAAATATAATAATCGATATTCGGGTAAACAGTACAAAAAAATTAGAAACATTTTCTGTGGACAATGGCTGGGCCGGCTTCATCGTATTCCTGTTTCGAGATCCACATCTGTTGGAAGGTGGACAACGAGGCCAAGATGGAACCACCGATCCAGACAGAGTATTTTCGTTCTGGTGGGGCGATGATCTTGATTTTGATGGTGGCTGGGGCCAAAGCAGTGATTTCTTTTTGCATACGATCGGCAATACCTGGGTACATTGTTGTACCACCAGACAAGACAGTGTTGGCGAACAAATCTTTACGGATATCAATGTCGCATTTCATGATTGAATTGTATGAAGTTTCATGGATACCGACAGCTTCCATACCCAAGAACGATGGTTGGAAGAGGGCTTCTGGTGCACGGAAACGTTCCGAACCAATGGAGATGACTTGACCATCGGGCAATTCATAAGATTTTTCCAAAGCCGATGATGTGGCGGCAGTGGCCATTTCGTTATCGAAGTCCAAGGCGACGTAGCAGAGTTTCTCCTTGATGTCACGGACGATTTCTCGTTCAGCGGTGGTGACGAATGAATAACCACGTTCAGTCAAGATTTTCATCAAGTAGTCGGTCAAGTCTCGACCGGCCATATCCAAACGGAGGATGGCGTGTGGAAGGGCATAACCTTCGTAGATTGGGACTGTGTGGGTGACACCATCACCAGAATCCAAGACGATACCGGTGGTACGACCAGAAGCGTACAAGGACAAGACAGCTTGGATGGCGATGTAGACGGCTGGGCTGTTGAAGGTCTCGAACATGATTTGGGTCATCTTTTCTCTGTTGGCTTTTGGATTCAATGGAGCTTCAGTCAACAAGACTGGGCTTTCTTCTGGGGCAATACGCAATTCATTGTAGAAGGTGTGATGCCAGATCTTTTCCATATCATCCCAGTTGGTCACGATACCGTGTTCAATCGGGTATTTCAAGGTGAGGATACCTCTTTTGGATTGGGCTTCATCACCGACGTATGAATCTTTGTTGCCCATACCAACCATGACACCTTGATGTCTTGGTCGACCGACGATCGATGGGAAGACGGCTCTGGGGGCATCATCACCAGCGAAACCGGCTTTGCACATACCGGAACCATTGTCAACAACCAATGCTGTTACTTCGTCGTCACACATTTTGTTTCAGGAAATTTTTTGGAACTTCTTGTTCACAAACGAAAAAGTTGATCAACAAAAAAATGGTCTGCCGCCACTAACAAATCAAACGATTATGATCAAACACGAATGATGAACACTAGTATTTAATTCTTTCGATTTCATTCATTCCATTCAAAATTCTATTCAAGTTATCATGAAGATGATTGTTATGCTCTAAAAAAAGTAAAGCACACACATTTGCCATGTCTTTTGCTTCAACAACATCATCAACAGATGCGAAAACGCCCGAAATCTTTGAATGAATGGCATATTCTATGTATGAATATTCAGGGCGACCTCCTTCCTTCATTCTTCGATTACGCTTACAAGAAAAAAATAGAAAACTTGCTGCCGTATTTCTCTAATCGTGTTTCATATGACGACTACCATTGTTGGCCATTACCATAAATGTTCATCAAAACCATTTTAGTGTTCAACTATTCTAAATGTGTAAGGGAATTTGTTGCTATTCTTAAAATTTTGTTCATTTTGTGCAATTCTTTACAGAAACACCAGAATACACAAACAAATAGAATTCTAGCATATCATCATGCAACAAGTTTTTTTTCTCGACAAAAAAAAAGAAACTAACAACAATCCACCAATAATAGTAATCAATTATTCAACTATACTATGGATGATCTAAATTTAACTATGAAAAGAATGTGCTGCATTATAATGACTGGTGTGGTGTTTGATGATGATAACATTATTATTATGAGAGAAATGAAACTATGTTTTTTTATGTGTACAGCTTCTTCAAGAGAAGGAAAGAAAAAACCTTCTGAATATATTGTTAAATTCGGTAAATCTAAAAATTTCATCGTCAATATTTTTTTTTTACCATATGAATATTATTCAGACTAAATTAAGTAAATTATTATTATTATATATTATAATCATCATCATTACAATTGAAGGCAAACAAACAAACATTGATTTTGAATGTATTGTAGATGTTATTCATTGTAACTAAGGTTGATTTAAGAAATTTTTATTTTTACAGATATAAATAAATACATTATTATTGTTGTTTTTTTGTCGTTATGGTAATAATAATGAATAAATATATTTTGTGGTCAAAAACAGACAAATCATTTTATTCTGAAAGAAGTAATTCAGAAGGATTCCTTTGAATATTCAAATGATGAATTATTATCAAATAAAATTCAATTGTCATTAATATAAGTGAATTTTATAGTTTCTCCACATATATGTACATATTGAATATTGAACGAAAACAAGAAGAAGAATTTTTCGTGACATGATATAATTATACATATACTGATGATATATAAAATTAAATGTTTGATCGAAACTGGAATTGTTTTTCTATTTCTTTTATATAATGATTCTTATGAAAGAAACTAAACAATCATAATGAATGATGAAAATTTCATCATCACAAAATTTCCATACGTAATGAAAATCCAGCCAATAGGAAAAAATAAACAGTAAATTCACGTACAAGCTTTGGATAAATAAATACAAAAAAGGATTAAAGGATTAGTTTTTTTTTTGGTTCCACTTTTTACTATTTTATACCTACAATGAATATATGTTTTAATTGAATCAAATGTCCAGTAGCAGTTAGTTGACCGAATTTATATGGATTGACCAAAAAATCTTCATATCTACAACACTATGAGAAAATATTATCATCATCGATAAAAAAAAAGAAAAAAGAAAAATCAAATCTGTCACTTACTTTCATTTGAAATGATAATGAATGAAATCGTCGAAAACAACAATGATTAACTTGTCGTAAACGATTTGCTGATTTATGCATACCAATGTGAATGAAACCGACTTGAAAAAGAATTGAAAATAGTGAAAAATTTTCACTTAAAAAAATAGAACGATATACAAGTTTAAATGTTGGTGGCATATCAAAAAAAATGGCAATAAATGCAACAAAATTGATGATAACAAAACGCCAAACTAATGAAAATGTTACTAGCCATTTCCATGATTTATTATAAGCATCATATTCTTTCATTAGAAAATTCATATAACGAAATGATATTGTCATATTTTTTTCCATCAAAATATGATGATTGAATTTATCATTTGTTGATAATTCAACAAATATGTTGACCATTTTTTCGAAACGTGCAAATTTAGTACGCATTAAATCGGCAATTAAGAATATATAAAAATTTGTATAATAAATGGTTGTTGTAACCAATAATGTTGTTATGACGTAAAATAAAATCCATATTAATCCGAATACAATGAAATCATATGTAGAATATTTTTTATAAAATTGCCATCCAATAAATATTCCAGCAATTGATGATAGCCAAATTGTTGTATTACGATTAAAATGTGACATAATATTGATCTTTATTTTTAATTTTTTCCATTCATCAGGTTTAATGCCGATATTTTTCGGTGAAATACGATCTTCAAGTGCCATTAAAATATTAAGCCATTTTAAATGTTTTAAACGTAAAAACAATGATGTCATTTGTATATTGATACAATTCAATGCCCATACTACACATAACATTTCCACATGGAATGGATTTGCACCAAAAACACCGAAAAAACTACCAAAATAAATTTGTCGTTTTCTATCATTCCAATAGGTTTGATCGATCAAAGCATATGATCCACGAATAGCCAATACAATACATAGAGCCAATGCAAAATATTCATCTTTTTTTTGTTCAAATATAAATATTGATTGAATTAAAATCACAGTAAAATATCAAAAAACTTACCCAAAGTAAATGAATAACGTTTATTCCAATCGATTTTAGCATTTTGATTGTAAAATTTTTCCTGATCAATCAACAATGTCATCATTGATTTAGGAACAAATCGTTGATAATGATTTAATAGATGTTCGGTAAACTTATAACGATAACGTCCTAACCAAAAAAAATGAAATGGTGATCGTTTTTCGTAACCAACATCATCATTACGATGATGATTATTATAAATCAATTGTCGATCACGATGTAATGAAAATGAATTGAATTTATTATTGAAAAATATCATTTCTGGAGATTTTTTGAAAAAAAAATTAAACAATGAATTTGATCATTTTTTGCTTATTGCTCATTGTCGAACAAAAAAAAAAAAAAAAAAAAAAATTTCAGACTGTAAACCAGGTAGGCCAATCAGATTTTGAATAATAATTTTAAATAGTCATTAAATTTTTCCAGTGCATTTTGTAGACGACATTTTCGATCGATCATTATAAGGCCCAACAATTTATTGATCAAGAAAATTTTTTTTTTTTTGACAAAAAAAATATGAAATAACTCAAGACAATAAAAACAGAACCGGAATAAGAATGATATTTTCATGATCATCAAAACAATCAATTCCTTGTGACAGCAATCGCAAATGAATGATTTGCCATTGAATGTGTTGAATTTTTTTGAACAAACATTCATTGATTTATTTTTTTAGTTGTAAAAAAAATATAATTAAACCATTAATTTTATATATATAATTAGTAATTGACTGAAACTTTTTCTAATAAACTTTGTTTTCATTTTATTTTTCGTTTTTTTTATTCATTCAAAATCGATTCAAAAGGTACAATTACAGAAGGTAAAGGCTACAAATATGTCAGGGAATTATTATTTTCACTAGTTTTTTTTTTTGACTATTTCTAATGACGAAAAAAAAGAAGATTGAATCGAAACTTTTTTAATTTTTTTCCGATTACGATTACGATTATTAAAAGTCAAAAAAGCTGATTTCTCCAAATTATTTTTGAAATGAAATCAAATCAAATCGCAATGAAATACTGGCCATCAATAGAAAATAAGTGGAAAATTCACGAATTAACTAAATATGAGTGAATAGGAATGAATGGAATTTAAAATGAATGGATAAAATTAAAATGACATACTATAAACATATGTTTCAATTGAATAACGTTTCCAATTATAGTTTCCTGTCCAAATCGATATGGTTCGACGAGAAATTTTACATATTCTGTTAACTATTCAAAGAGCAAAATAATTTACCAACAAAAAAAAAAACATGAAAAATGCTGAAATTTCAGTACAAACTAACCTTCAATCGGAATCGAATCGATTGTTGTTCTTGATGTTTAAGTAAAATCTGTCGTAAACGTTTGCCTGTTTGATTCATTGTTAAATGAATATAAGCAACTTGAATCATGACCGATAAGAAGGAAAAATTCTCACTAAAGAAAACTGAACGATATATTAGTGTAAATTGTGGTGACATCTCGTAGAAAATAGCCACAAATGTTACAATATTTATAATGATAAAACGCCAAAATAATACAAATGAAATATTCCATCTCCATGATTGATTGAATAATTCATACTCATATATAAGACGATTTAAATAACGGAATGCATGCATTGAACGAATTTTAAACAAAAATTTCGGATTCTGTTGACTTATTTTTTCCAATCGGTTAAGCATTTCTTCAAAACGTGCAAATTTAACTCGAAAAAAATCGGCAATCATGATTATGTAGAAATTTGTATAATAAATCGATGATGTTATCACTATAGTAGTGAAAGCATAAAACAATCCCCAGACAATACCATAAATAAGAAAATCGAAAAATGAATAGTTGATTAAGAATTTCCATGTTATGAATATGAAGGCGATCGATGCTAACCAGATGATTGTATTTCGAATGAAAAATGACATGACCAAAGATCTTTGTTTGAATCCATTGAATTCTTCCGATTTTAGGCCTGTTGATTGATCAAATAAAAAAAATTTATCATTTATTCATTCATTAATATCAGATTCAAATTAATACCAATATTTTCTGTTGGAATTTTCTCTTCAAGTGCTATAACAATATTTAGCCATCGTAAATGTTTCATACGGCAAAACAATGATAACATTTGAATATTGATACAATTCAATGCCCAAACAATACATAATATTTCAATATGAAACGGATGAGCATTACATAAACGAAAAAAACTTCCAAAATACATTTGTCTTTCATTATCGGACCAATATGTTTGATCGATTAATGCATAGAATCCTCTTGTTCCAAGTATCAGACAAAGTGTTAATGCAAATATTTCATCTGTTGAATCAAAAAAAAAATTTTCAATAATTGAAAATGAAAAAATTAATCAACATTTCACTTACCTAATCCAAACATATATCGTTTACGTTTTTTATCAATTTCGTCAAAATATTTTGCACTTGTTTCGAATTTCATTAATTTTCTGGGAACATTTTTCTCATAATGATTAATTAAATGGTCAGAAAATTTATAACGAAACCGACCAAACCAATAGAATCGTATATTTTTCCATCTTATCATTTTGAATTGCATAAAAAATAATTTATAAAAAGAAGAAAAAAGAATAATTTTTCATTTATAACAAATTATTATTTCTGGCCTTTTTGCTTGATCATCATAACAATTGTTAGACATGGACACTTTTTTGTTCAAAAGATTCTTAATTACTTTCTTTCCATGAAATCGACCGCCACTGTAAACACAAAAATGTACCTAAGAAAGTCATGCACAAATAACAACGATCAATCTTTTTCCGTATCTGTTTTTTTTCCTTTTTCTTCAAAAATGTCACGATCAAAACTATCATCATCATCATCATCATTCTGAATTCAAATCGGTAATCGTGAATCGATCTATAGAAGAAAAAGTTTTTATTCGAATGAACAATTTTATGTGATTGTGTGTGTGTGTCCGGAAAAGTCTGACACTGTTGATTACTTCTACAATGTACAGTATGTATGATGAAATGTGAAAAAGAAATCAGAATCCACTATCGACACCCTATTTTTTTATTTTTTCAGAAAGTTGGCCCAGAATTTTTCATTTTTTTTTTGAACAACAACAACAACAAAACAATAAATTAATCGATTCTATTTTTCTACAGTTAATGGTTGTTTTTTTCATTTATTAGTTCAATCATGAGTTTATTGATTGACAATAACAACAATGATTGAAAAATTGTTAAAAATCATCATCATGTGTTATTTTATTCTTATTTTTATTAAATTAATGGAATTAGGAAATGAGGTAATAATGTCTTGTGTTGTTTTTTTTTCATAAAAGAAGTCGTATTGAAATGCTAGCCAATAGAAGAAAGTAACTAGAAAATTCTCTTATGATCTAAAATGTTTTTCATTCAAAAAAAAAAAAAAAAAAATTGAAATAATTTTTTCTGTCCTATCAAAAGATAGAAACTTACAAGAAACACATGTTTGAATTGTATAAGATGTCCAGTAATGGTCGTTTGACCAAATCGTTGAGGTTCTTGTAAAAATGTTACATAATCGATTGTCTATTTAATAATAAAAATAAATTAAATTAATCAATCAATGTGGTCAATCATATTGATTATACAAACCTTTATTTTTAACGATAATGTTGGAGAATTCATATGATAAAGAAATCGTCGTAAACGTTTAGCAGCATTAGCCATGTTCATGTGTACAATGCCAACTTTTAGTAAAAACATTAAAAAAGCAAAATTTTCACTTATAAATATGGATCGATACATTAGTTTGAATGTTGGTGGCATATCATAAAAAATGGCAATAAATGAAACAAAATTTATGATAATGAAACGCCAAAACAATGAAAATGTAGCCAACCATTTCCAGATACTATTATAGACATCATATTCAACCATTAAACTATTCAAATAATGATATGATTGATACAGATTTCGTTCCAATATTAATCTACGTATTTTTGGATTACGATTAAAGTAATCATCTTTTGCGATATCCGTCAATAAATCCAACATTCTTTCAAAACGTATAAATTTCACACGCATTATGTCGGAAATGAGAAATACGTAGAAATTTGTATAGTAAATCGATGATGTTATCAATGCTGTATTGATCAGATAGAAAATGCTCCATGGTATGCCGAAAATGATGAATTCAATGAAAGTATAAGCATTGAAAAATTTATATGTCAAAATCAAATAACATATAGATGATAACCAAATGATAGTGTTACGAATAAAATATGACATGAGTACTGCTTTGGATTTTATTTCTTTTAGCTCGTCCGATTTAAGACCTAAGAAATAAATTGATGAAATTAATTTATTATCGATTTGTAAAAGAAAAAATTTGTTTACCAATATTTTTTGATAAAATTCGTTCTTCAAGTACCATAATAATATTAAGCCATTTTAAATGTTTTAACCGACAGAATAATGAAGATAATTGAATGTTGAGACAATTGAAAGACCAAACAAAACATAATGTTTCAATATGAAATGGATGAGCATTGTAGAATCCAAAAAAACTTCCAAAATACATTTGTCTTTTTGCATCTTGCCAATAGGAACGATCTAATAAGGCGATTAAACCACGTAAACCCAGTGTTGTACACAGAGCCAAAGCGAAATATTCATCTTTTAAAATTTTCATTAATAGAATGAATGTTGATCATATAGTCAAATATAGTGGCATAATTACCTAAACCAAATGAATATCGAATACTCCAATCAATCTGATTGACATCACTATCATATTGATTATCCGTTTTTTTCGGTAATGTTTTCATCGAATTTTTTGGAACTTTTTGTTCATAGAAGTTGATTAAATGTTCGGAAAATTTATATCGAAATCTACCGATCCAATAGAATTTGAATGAATTTTTTTTACCAATCATTTTGCGAAGTATTCAGATTTTAAAAAAATTGAATCAGTTGACATTCACGAAATACCTTTGCTAACAACTAAATTGTTTTTCTTGGAAAAATTCCCTAGTTATAAGAAAAAAAAATTGCAAAGATTCAAGCCAAAAAAATGAGTACATTATCGATTTCAGTGTAATTTATTTTTTTTTTGTCCGGGTCATACAAAGACACATAAATTTTGCAAAATTAAATGTAGCAAAATGAACCGGATAATTTGGTCGATTTTCAAGTGTTTCGCGTTTTTCATTTTGATTGTTCAAGATTTTGTTTTTTTTATAAAATTAAATTGTTACAATCAAATAATATTTATATAAAAACTATACAAACAGTTTAGAAGAATTTTGTTTTGCTCGAAAATGTTTTTCGATTATATGATGACCGGATTTAAAAGCAAACCTGCAAATGATGATGAAATGATCATCCTAAATGGCAAATATTCGAATAAATCTATACGATTTCCATATAAACCTTTTTATGGATTAGACAGAACTCTTAATTGTTCGCAATCGATTTATTCAAATTTTGATCATTGTGAAATCCAGGCTCAACTTGAATGGGACATACGAATCAATGGTTATGTAAGAAAAATGTGAACATTTTTAAAGAAAAAAAACTAAATATATAGTTTTAATGAAACTAAATAGTTTTATAGTAATCAACAATTCTGCTGTTTTATATGGACGGCATTGGATTGCGAAACAAAAGTGGCAAATGTTTGTAATGAACGATTTAGTAAATTAATCAAAGATAATACCATTGAATGGTTTGGAAAATTTTGTCATCAATTTAATCATTCAAGTTGGTTTTGTTGGTGGACACCAAAAAATCGTGTATATGTAACCATTGCGCTTATAATTATCACTATTATCACCGCTATTTGCGTAACTTTTTGCAATCGTTTTCCATCTAAGTAAGTTTATTGATTGAATTCATAATTGATATATTTCTATAAACACACACCACACGCACACCCATAGTAAAAAACCGCCAACATTCAAAATTAAAGGTAAAAATTTAGCAAGTAAAAATGAAAATAAATCAATCATCCATAAGAACATTGACAAAAACATTACAACAACAGAAACAAAACTACCATCAAAACTATCACCAACAAAACTACCATGGAAAACATCTGTTATTAAAAATGAAATCGAACAACAAAAATATGATTATGTTAGTCAATATCTTGGAATCGATCCAGATTTAGATAGTATTCATTCATTTCCAGATATTGATACACAATTCATATCCTCATCAACAAATTTATCGGAATTACAAGGACCAAGTTGGAGAATTTTCAGAACAAAAACACCACCGATTATGTCTGGTGAAACAACAAATATCATTGCACAAAATCCAATTATTAATAACATATTACAATTATAAAAAACCATAACGGTTAATTACAAACAACTGTTTCCATTTCAATGATTGGTAATGCAAAAAAAGAGTTCATTAAATAAAATTTCAACTCAATATATGATGAACGAATTCTGATTATCAGAAAAAAAAATCAAAGAAAACGCCGATGTTTTTGGACTCGAATCCATGATTTTTCATCGTCATCGCCAGCACACAGTTGATTTGACATCAAATGACCAAAAAAAACGCCGATGTTGGGACTCGAACCCAAAACCTTCCGGTTTCCGGTTACTGTAACTGTTACTGTGTTAATTTAAACACCAACACCCACTTTTGTACAGAAATAAAAGCCGGACATTCTAACCAATTGAAATACACCGGCGTCCTTATCTGGTCACGAATTGGCCGACATCCGGTTTCGAAATGACGGGGTGTCATCTCTCTCCCCAATCAGGTCAATTCGAGACATTCTGTAGGTAAACGCCTGAGTTGAGAGGAAAATATCAGACAACAACAACAACAAATCATGACCGATCCAGATATATACAGTAATAAACATAATTTTTGTAACGCGGGGGTTACGTTACAAAAATTCTGAGCGTTAAGCGAAACAGCGCTAAGCGGGGCTATTTTTACATAATGCATTTTTACCCTTCATATACAATGTAACAATGTAATGTAATGTAGGGTAATTGTACAGCGTTATATCGAATCAGCGCTAAAAGGGGCAGCGTTAAGCGGGGTATTACTGTATTGTTAATACCGCATCAAATGCCAAGTTAATACACAGTGCCAGTACACAGTGCAAGCACTTGGCGAGTGTAAAAGTTGCAGTTACCGACAAACAAGCGTCATAAAGAGATAATAATAGATAGATAGATAGATAGATAGAATAGATAGATAGATAGAATAGATATTTTATATGAAAAATCATGTACTTTATGAATAACTTATGTTTACATACACACATTTACAATGAAAAAAAATGACTCATCTAAACAATCATTTCCCTTTTGATACAAAAAACTTTGTTTGCTTTATTTTGTTCAAATTCTACGTCGTATTTTTGGACGTTTACCTTTGAAAAAAAATGTTGACAAAACAAAATATTTTTCTTTTCCTTTTGATGATGATTATAACATTGTTCATTACATCATCATCAATGGCTTCATTTTCATTATCATATACATCATCAATTTCATCATCATCAACATCGAATTCAAAAATCTATTTCAGTTTTTATTAAAAATCCTGTTGACTTTGATCACGAATTTATCAAAGATACCATTGAATGGTCAATCATAAAAAAATTTAATGAAGATGTGATTCAAAATTGGAGCAAAATTGTGTTCATACCAAAATACCGGTCAATAAAGAAATGAACCAAATATTCTCTGGAATTTACGGAGAGAATTTTGAGCATGAACCATCAGTCAATGAACGAAATAAAATACGAATGATTGCGAAAAAAATTTTCAATGAAATAATATTTCAAAATGAAAATTTCTATGATAATGGCTTTGATCAAAGAATTAAATCATATTTTGATTCTATTATCGATAATATCAATAAATTGATCAAAAAAGATTTCGATTTTATATAAAGTATATGATATGATTATAAATCATATTGTACCGATACTACTGTTAGGTATGTTTGATTTAATTCTTTTTTTGAGCTTCATTTCTAAATTTTTTTTTTTAATAGATTTATTGTTAATAATAAATATATTTTATTTATATGAAAAATCATGTACTTTATGAATAACTTATGTTTACTCAAATAATGTTAATTTTTCATACTCACACATACACACATTTACAATGAAAAAAAAAATTGACTCATCTAAACAATCATTTCCCTTTTGACACACAAAATTTTGTTTGCTTTATTTTGTTCAAATTATACTCGTCGTATTTTTGGACGTTTTTTTTAAAGAAAGTTCCAATATTTCGAAATTGAACAATCTTAAGGATTCGAAACCATCCACGATTAATACTCTTTAGAAGCATTTAATCTAACAATCAAAAATGAACATACATTAAGAGAACGATTAACTTTATCGAGATTCATCAACACCATACACAATATGATAAAATCATGGTCGTTGAGCTACGCTTCGGGGTCTAAATCTTATAATTCGGAGCCATCGATAGAACTTAAAGATTGGACCGAAGCGTACAATTGGGAAAAAATCAAAAAAGTTATCGTCAACAAACCAAAACCGGATGGGACAGTATATTATTTGTTTGTAAACAAATTATGAATCTGAAAATTTATTATAAAAGCTAATCAAGCTAATCAAAAAGAGAATAAAAAAATACGATAATTTTATTAGTGAAAACTGTGTTTATCATTGATTAATTTTATATCTATATCTATATATTATTAATTATTGAAAAATTGAGTTGTAGATTTAATAACTTGTAAAATTCGTGCAATGGATTTTGATCATATTTTTGATGATGACAATAAGAATCACTCACCAGTGGACAACACATCGAAGTCGAGTGATAAATCGTCTAAGAAAAATGCAAACAAGGAAGTTGATTCGAAAACAAATTTGCCCGAAAAAAAAACAGAATTTGGAAGAATCAAAACGATCTCTACGTCCACGAAGACTGAAAAAATAAAATGAAAATGTGTGTATAATCAACGTTATCATCGTTATGGCGTTATGTTATTTTTATATTTTAGATTTTTTATACTGAAAAAATAAAATTTTTCAGGTGAATTGTAAATATCAGTTTTTGAATTCGAATATCAATTATCAAAAATTGAATTAATTATAATTTTTCTGACAAATCAATTTTTTTTCTTCCAAAAATCGATTTTTTTTCTTCCAAAAATCGAATATTTTTACTTCCAAAAATCAATTAAATATCTAATTGAAAAAAATAATTTCTCTGCCAAAAAAAATAATTCTTCTGACAGAAGATGAATTTTTTTTCTGCCAGAAAGAATACTTTCAAAAAACAGAAATGTTTCTGCCAGAAAAAATAAAAAATATTGCTACGAAAAATAGTCGCGGAAATTAATTACCAAATACAAAAAAATTTCGAAAAATTTTTAAGCAAATTCAAAAATGATTCAACACAATTCTCAAAAGCATTGTCAAAGTTACAGCTCACAGACTACGCTTGTGTTTAGAAGCTACTTCTACCTCTCAAGGTTATACATGGCTGGATGGTGAAACAATTTCAGAAAATGAAGATTGTACAAGAAATTCTGAATCCGATCTTTCCGTTGATGAAACAACGATTGCTGACATTAATGTGGATTCTACCTATTCGAAAACAGCTCAAGAAAACGAAAAGTTTGACGAAAAAATTGAAAAATCATATTTACAGAATCTTTTTTTTAAATTTTTCTTGACGCTGTGATAATTTAGAAAAATGATGACAATAAAAAAAACTTCAAAATCTAAACCTTATCTTTGATTTAATATTATTTTTTGAATTCCATTATGACAATCCAACGACTAGACTAGACTAAACTAAACTAGCTCACTAATCATACTCACTATAACAAAATGTTTGAGTACGTCATATAAGTATGGTACGTGTGTGTGTGCGCGTTTTTTGTGTGAGTGAGTGAGTGATTGTTCTATTAATAATAGTGATGGTGATGCAACAAATTCGAAAGCAATTCCGTTTTTGACTGAAAAGTGAATTTAATTTTTTCCATATTCATATCATCATCATCAATCATCATCAGAATCAGATTGTTTCAAATCATCTATCTCAATAAATTCTTGATCGAACAATTCTACAGTTTTTTTTTATTTTTACACAATGTTATTAAGTCCTTTGGCAAGGAAAATATTTTCACCATTGGATGATACATTATTGACTTATGAGAATGAAGGTAATCGAAAAATGGAACCCAAATACTATGTTCCAATCATTCCAATGGTTTTAGTTAATGGTGTCGAAGATAGTACTTCCATTTTTGAGACTAATGTTCCTAAATATAATCCACGAGATATCGTTGATAACATTAGCCGAATGCTTCGTAATGAAGAACCTTTGGAAATGAATCCATGGTATAAAAATTTCAAAGGTACCGTGGTGAAAGTGGAACCAATGAAATATATCATTAGTGGTGAAGTTGCCAAATTGGATGAACAAACTATTGAAATTACGGAATTACCAATTGGCACCTGTATTGAGGATTATAAGAAAACAATTTTGGAACCAATGTTACATGGTACGGAAAAAAGGACTGCACTCATCAATGATTATCAAGAATATCATACCGATACCACTGTCAAGTATGTTTGATTTAATTTTTTCTTGAGGTTCAATTCTAAAATTTTTTTGTTTGTTTAATAGATTTGTTGTTAAAATGAATAAAAATGCATTGGAAAAAGTAATGCGAGATGGCATACATAAAAAATTCAAATTACAAACTTCTCTGTCAATTTCATCGATGATTTTGTTTGATCAAAATGGTGATATTCAAAAATATGAATCACCTTTGGATATTTTGCGAGAATTTTTCACTATTCGTATGGATTTCTATGTTCGACGCAAGAAATATTATGAAGCTATGTTTGAAGCTGAACTATTAAAACTTGAAAATCAATTACGTTTTATTTTCGAATTAGATGAGAGAAAAATCATTACGAAAAATACTAAGAAAAAAGAATATATAAAGCTTTTGATTGAACAAAAATATGATTCGGATCCTGTGAAAGCATGGCACGACACGACGTCAAATAATGAAAATGAAAACGTTGAAGATGGTGATAAAATGCCTGAAACGGAAGAGGAGAAGAAATATGATTTTGATTATCTTATCGATATGGCAATACGAACAATGTTAAGAGAAAATGTTCAAAAATTATTCCAAAAACGTGATGCAAAAAAATCGGAACTAGAAGAACTTAAACGTTCCACGCCAAAAATGCTTTGGGAAAAAGATTTGGATGCATTCGTTGAAGAATATGAACGTTTAGAAAAAAATGAACGTGAAATTCAGAAAAAATCAGCTGAGATTTCAAATTTGGCCGATATTTATAAACCAAGTGTACATGCTGTTCGTATTGAACCAAAAATAGATTTCGAAAAATATCAGTCGAAAAAAGAACGGGTAAAAAAATCGAATAATAATAAAGAAGAAACAAAAAATGATGATGGCGATACGAATGTAAATTTGGTGGAATTATTAAATAGCCTGTCAACAAATCTAAACTTACCTTGCTTATTACGGACAAACAAATGATTCAAAAATGAAAAAAGATGTTGAAATTGAGAAAAAGAAAACAGTAGCCGCCACATCATCGGTATGTTTTTTTATTGTTAAATTTTTTTTCAATTTTTAATTGATCTGTTTTTTTTGTTGTTGTGTAGACTTCAAATGAAAAACAAAAATCTAATGAATCTGATAATGAAATTGTTGGCAACTCGGCAAAAACTATTGCAAATTAAAAAACAAAAATATGAAATTGATGATTGAAAATTTTCATTTTTACTATATTAACTATAATCCACCATTAATTTACTACTTATTCATTCAATTCATTCTCATAAAATATATATTTCATTTTTCAAAAAAAAGTGGCATAAGTCACATAAATTATGATCATAGACTAGTAGATCACTTTCAATTTTAATTATAATAAAAAAAATTAAAAAAATTTGCATTTATATTTTGTTTGTGAGGTATTATAACGATTCGGATAACGAAAATTATTACAATCCATTAGCACAACGTGTTTTATTCTATAGTCAATTCATGAGAGAATCTTTCGATACAAAGTAATAATTGAATAAATGATAAATCAACCATGATCAAATATCTTTGTCTTGTTTCTTATCCACCAGCTGATTTAAGCGAACCGATTATTTGATTTTGAATCCAAGTCAATTCCATCAAGAATCATCATGAAAACAGAATTTTCTCTTTTTCGGAAACAAAATTTTCTTTTTTATCATTGAAAGCATTTGTTGTTTAGAATGAATCGAATTCAATTCATAAATCCCAATAATTTGTACATGCATGTTTTTCGCATTATAAATCAGAAAAATGAAAAAAAAAATTCCAAGGAAATCACGATTGAAGAAGCAAAAAAAGAAAGTTCTTGAATTCCCATATTGAAAATACACAATCATCATTTATTATTTTGGCCACAGCTCATTGGCAAAAATGTTGCGAAAATTATAATATTTTGAAACAATGAACATTGTCGGACCAAAAAAAAAACAATGTATGAATTGCTTAAGATGTCATTGGAAACATCGATAAATCGTATATACATCTGTCAACACATATTCATTTGACAAGCCAAAAATGGTATATAACCCGGTATATATTATTGATATAAAAATGTTGAAACAATGTATAAATGAAATTTCGAAATATCTATAAAAAAAAGTCAATCGTTTAATTTATTATCATCATCATCAATTGAATGGTTGATTGACGATTGAACCATATGTCTTTCTTATTGTTCAACTGCTATACATGCGGGTCAAGATCCAAAAAAAAAACGGTGTGTATGTATCTCTATCTATCTTGTAATTTTGTACATCATCTATAGATTCTATAGAAAATTAAAAAAAAAATGTCAAAATCAATGAACAAAATTTCGTTTTAAAATTTTTTTTTTCTTTATAAATTCAAATAAATAATACAAATTATTTTTTTTTATCCATAGAATTTTGTTTACATGAACATAAAAGAAAAACATGATTGAATTTTTTCATCAAGAAAAAAACAAATCCATCCACATAGACATTATGTTAAAGCCAATATTGAAAAAAAATGAAGATAAAAAAAAATGTTCCGAAAGCCAATTGTGTTAATTGTTTGAAGGAATATATATGTTCGTATACGAATGGGCGTTTATAAGGTGTATAAGGTGTGTCCAGGAAAAAAAATGAAATTGTTTCAACAAGCACTGCGAACCTTTTCAGAGCCATCAAATCGAAAATCAGGAAATATACATTTGATTATATGTTGCATATGAGATGGAACGTTATTTGCACCAGGTTTAAGTACTAATGGTTCTTCACGTCTAGTTGGTCCGAATATTGCTTTTGTATCTAGATTGAAAGAGCCGGAATTTTTATCTACTAAATCAATTGGTTCTTTTTTTCCATTAATCCTATCATGACGATTTGAATCTTGTCCAATAAGATCTTCATTATTAATTATATTCAATCGTCGTGGTCTAGAAGAAAAACGAAGCGTCAATGGTATATAGCTAGATTCTAATTCAATCATTCGTGGTTTATGAACGAAACCTGAATCGGTACGGATACCATTACCATCTGGAACAAAACCTTCGGCTGTTTCAACTATTTTATTTCATTTGGATCATTCGTTGATTCTGATTCATTTGATAATATCGTTGATGTAGCAGATGGTTTCGTTGAATGTTTATCAGTTTGACGTTTATCCGTAGGCTTTTGACCTCTATCTGATTTCACTTTATTATTATTGTTGTTGTTGCTAGTAGAATTTTTGTTTATAACATTAAAACTTTCAATAAAAGCTTTGTAATCAGTCGGCTGTTGAAATGGTTGTAATGAATCGACAAATTGTATTGGTTTATAATGAGAAATACCGATTGGTACATTGATTGTTTGTGGTTTAGCAATTTCTTCCGGTGCCTCTGATGGTGAAGCCAAAGTTGAATTTTTCGATGATCCTTTTGGTGCCTGATATCGAATAGTGTGTCGTCGCCGTTGAACCGATGATAATGTAAAGTAATTCGAATTACTGTTGCTAGCCATTGCTATCGGTTGTGATATTGAAACTGGTGCCAATAATTGCGGTTGGAATGCTGATACAACTGGAACGATTGTGGCTGCCATTACTGGAACAATAGCTGTTACCGGTCTCGTAGAAGCAATTAAAGTGGGCGTTGGTTTTGGTGCAACCGGAATAGGCGCTGAAATTGTTGCTCTAGCTACACGTGATAATGATGATTGTTGATTTCGATTATTAACCCATACTAATGGTGCTGGTTGTGGAGGCATCCATGGATTTATTGATGATGATTGAGCAACAAATGATGATGTCTGTCCATGCACCATAATAATGGCCATTAACATCAACATCATTATTGATGAAAAAATCTTGGCACATTTCATCATCATCATCATAAAAGTTGTCATGACTTGAACCAATAAAAAAAATTATAAACAGATGATGGGATGGTCCACAAACGTGTGCAAGCCAAAAATTAATCGAATCGGATTTTTTCACAAGTCTCTTCCTAAAAAAAAAAAAAAAATACAAAATTAGTTAATTGAAATGTAAAGAAATTTTTAAAAATAAAAATTAAAAAAAATCCTAGACCATGACACTTTTGATGATCAATTATTTTCACGCAAACATTCATACACACAAACACGTGCATAACTTGAATAAAAACAAAAACAAAATCATCGCCAACATCATCATTCATCGATTGTTATTTTTTTTAGAACATAATTATGACAACAAATTGGGGAAGGGCGAAATCTATCGATACATTGCAATTTTCAAACAAAAACATTTGAATCATCATCATATCATATATATTCGAATAAATTTCTTTTTGTCAAAAACAAACTTGAAAAAAATTTACTATTATTAAAAAGAATTAACCTTCAACCTTTGTTATTTATTATTATTACTACTGTTATTATCAACGAAAGACTTTTAATTTTTTTCTTTTCGCTAACATCTTTTTTTTCTGTTGTTTTGTTTTCAATTTCAATTCAAATTCTCATTTTCGATAAGAAATTGGCAAATGGCCACATCATCTCTTTTCATCAATATATCCTATATATAGTTTGATAGTAGTAGTGAAAAAAAAAATAATAATAATAAAGAGAATCATTTTTTTCAAGCGTTAAAAAAACCATTCAATGACCATCAAACATAGATGATTAGTAGATTCAATGTAAGTGAAAAAAAAGCTTTTGCAAGATTTTCATTTTCATTTTTATTTTGTTTTTTTTTCTATTTTCAGTTCCATCATCATCATCATCATTATCATTAACATTATTTTCATTTCCTCATCATCATCATCATCATCATTGGACGAGTCAATGGCGATGATGCTATTATTAAGAACAATTCACACAGACACACATACACATTTACATTTACTACATCATGGATAAGATAAAAAAAAGTAACAGACATATAACTAATAATAATAATAATAATAATAATTGTCCATTTTTTTCATAGGAAAAACAAAATTTCTTTGAAACAAAATGTAATGTTGCTAAGATATATTCAACAAGTTGAATGATGATAAAAAAAAGGATTAATAATTCATACCTTCAACAAAAAAAAAGAATTTTCTTGTAAATTTCCTGAAAAATTACGAAATTCATAAAAAGAAAAAAACATGTTCATTGTCAAATGACGGTAATGACAATTGTATTGCTATGTTGTGTATGTTGGTATGAAAATTGAATTTTATTTTCATTTAAGACACACAGAACCCGGATCCTATTTCATATTTGAAAATTTGAAATAATGATCATCATCATCATCATCATCATCATCACAAGAGAGAAAATAAATGATTCTCATAGTGAAACGATTTTATTTCATTCATCATGATTACGTGACGACAATTCGATATATATGCATGCTGGCGACAAAATGAAAAATGATGACCAAAACACTGAAAGTAATGAATTGTTTAAAAGTGAAAAAAATGGATATGAAAACTCAACTGGGAGTTGTCGTATTCACCAAAAAATGACAATGATTTGTGATTAACAGCAGCAGCAGCAGCAACAACAACAACAACAATGGTAATTTGTTCATATTCAAATGGATTTATTTTTTTTAAAAAAATAATTTTTCATTCATCATCAGTGAATAGATTGCATTGAACTTTTACTTTCATCATTTTCATCACACTTAGAGCTATATGAATCTTGAAGAAGAATATCTTGTAAACAACAACATCAACAATAATCATCATTATTATTATTTTACATCCGATTTCAATCACGAACCATTGAAATCATATATAAAGATTTAGAGTAATTTTGTTGTTGTTTGTGTTATTTAAAAAAAAATTCTATGTCCGGATATGTTGAGATTATAGGGAATTTCGTTGTTGTTGTTATTATGTTGTGATTATTGATAACAATCACTGATAGTGAACACACACACACACACACACACACACAAGTATGTCTCAAATGATGAACGGAAGAAATGTGGATAAATAATAATCATCGTTATCGTTGTTGTACTCGTGAATGGAAAAGATAACAAAAAATGATTCGATCATCATAAACTTACGACAACGACGACGACGACGACTATTACGGGAGAAAAAAAAGAGATATCATTTTTACCGGTAAATTTCTTTATTTGTGTCTGTGTGTGTGTTTCATAGCAATAAAATTAATTTGCTTTTATTGAATTCAATTCAATTCAATTATCATCATCATCATTTATTCATTCATATGTTGAATGAAAAACAAAACAAAACAAAAAAAAAAATAAAAAAGTAAAAAAAGGATTGGCAAATATAAAAGAAAATAGTATTACAAATACATGTTCAATACTAAAAAAAGTATCGTTTTTGATTACCATTTTTGTTGTTGTTGTTGTTGTAATTATTAATTTGTGTGTAAATCATTGATAATTCGAATAAGTTATGATAATAATGAACATTTGAAAATGAAAACAAAATAAAAAAAAAGAGAAAAACTAAGGATTGTGAGATATATTGAAATATATGTTGAAAACAAAACAAAAACAACAAAAATGTTGATATTTATGTATTACATATAAATATATATATCTTCAGAATGATAATCAAATCCATTATAATTGTGCTGTTGTTGTTGTTGGTTTGAAACAAATGAAAAAAAGAATAAACATTTATGGCAAACATTTATATATGGTCAAATACAAATTGCGAGATACAAAATTATACACTAGCCAATAATAAATCAATTGATTACAACAACAACAACAACAAAAAAAGAAATGATGATGATTGACCATTCGAAAATGATTATTTTGAAATAAATATTGTTCATTATAGAGAGAATCCTGTATATTGGATTGATTGGTTTAGGAATCGATTTCAATGAAATGAAAATCTCATAGTGACATTTGATAATTAATAAGTTATTAAGGTCAATCGGTGTATATCCCGTGTGCGTGTGTGTGTGTGTGTATGTAACGATCATAATAATCGAGATTGACTTTCACACTTCACACACACACACACACACACAGAGAGAGGACGAATTTAATGAAGCGTAATTATCACATACGTTGAAATTTTCAAAAAAAAAAAAAAATTCGATAATTTGATTTGAAAAAACATTTTTTTTTCTTCAAAACAGAATCTTACAAGTGTGAAAAAAAAGTTGACAATAAATGAATATGTCTGGATATGAGAAGAAATGAAAAGGTCATGATTCAAGGAATCATCATCAAAAAGTGTCATGTATCATTTGTTGGGACCATAAAATCATATCACAGAAGGAAAAAAATTTTTTGAAAATTGAATCAAAACAACTCACCAAATACGATCATCAAAATGTAATAATAATATGACGTTGATATAATAAATGACAATATTGCACTTGTTGGGTTTATCGTCTTCTCGTCGTCGTCGTCGTCGTGATCGGGTCGTTGACTTTGACGAAAAGAAAATTCTGTCAACCGTAACGAATATATCTAAATGAAAATAGAAAGATTGTTGAATGAACAATGAGAATTCCTTTTTTGTTTTTGATGTTTGGCGAATCAATTGCGACAATAAACACCCAGAAAATGTAAAAAAAAAATCAACAAATTGAATTTTTTTTTCGAACACAAACTTGAACAAAAGTTTTTGTTTTCAAATCAAATAAAAAGAGAAATTTTAGAGATGACAAGCTTAGAATAAATCACACACACACACACACACACACACACACATAATCACAATTTACCGGTTTCCGGTTGATCCGAACAAAAATCAATAACACTTCAACAAACAAACACACGGGAACGCACACTTTGTATCGAATGATTACAAGTCAAACACGATTATTTATAACAATACGATTGAAACATTTGAATGTCCAAATTCAAATTATTATATCATATCATATCATCATCATTCATTCATTGTTTATGACACACAAAAACACATCGTATAAATGGGCAATGTTTTTTTGTGTGTGTTTGTGTGTGTGTGTATGTACGCGTTTCATGATCATGATCACATACCGACAAAAAAAAACACACTAAACTAACGTCATACTAATCAAAAAAAAACGAAACGAAACGAAGAAGGAAAAAAAATGGTGAATTCAAAACGTTTCATTTGATGGATTCATTTATTTCTATTTTTTTGTAGGAAAATGAAAATTGAGATGATTGAATGATATGAGAGAGAGAAACGGTTTAATGGTGATGGAAAAAATTACTTGAAAGAGAAAATTCATTTCAAGACTGTGTTTTTCCTTACAACAAAAAAAAAATAAATAGAAATGATTTTTACACAAAGAGAATATACGTGTGTGTGTGTGTGTGGGCGCGTGTTTTGTTGTGTGTTGAATATTTCATATTCCTTCTTTTTTTTTTTTTTTTTTTCGAATCGAAAAAAAAGTGAAGAACAGTGATTCGTTTATCATTTTTTGTTGTTGTTGTTGTTGTTGTTGTTCACCGAAATTCTCAATTATATGTAGAACATATCTTTTTGTCTCTCTCTCTCTTTCTGCTCTTGTCAATCAATTATTTCGTCAATCAATCGATCGATCGATTGATTGATAATGATCATGAAATGTTAATGATGATGGAATTTTTTTTTGTTCTTAGCCTTTTGACTAATTTTTTTTTTCATTTATGAATGATAATAATTTCGAAGAAACAATTGATGAAAAAAAAAGAAATGAAAAATAACATCATTAAATTCATTTTCAAAAAAAAAAAAAAAAAATTAACGAAAATGAAAGGCAAAAAAAATGAAATGAAATGAAATAAAAACTGTCAATTGATATGGAAAAATATCCTTGATGTTTTATTTTCCCTTCTTATCCAACACCACCGCCACCACCACCACCACCATCCGTCAATAATGATCGTGTATTTTTTTCCCCTCAATGAAATGATTAATTTTCATTTAGAAAATGATTTTTAAAAAATTGAAAATTTAATTATAATCATCATCAAAAAAAAAAATTATGTAACATTCATTCAATGAATGATTTTATCTTATTTATCTCGAACAAAAAAAAAAATTCGACAACGATATTGTCACTGAATGAAAGTATAAAATTAATAAAATTCATTCATTCATTCATGGTGGTGTGCTTGAAAACGGAAAAAAAGAGGCACTCATTTATTAGAATCCTTCTCATGTTGATATCATCGTCGTTCCAAAAATGATTGTTGTCGCGATGATGCTGATGATAATAAGAATGATGATAAATATAACTGGATCAAGGGAACTTTATTATGTCTGTCTGTGTTCGTGTTCGTGTGCGTGTGTGTGTGAAAACTTCATGATGATGATGATGATGATAATAATGTTCCGGAAAAATAAAAAAAAATTTCCTTTTTTTTATAATAAAATTCATGTATTATTTAGAACAAACAATTTCCACCATTATGTAATGATTAACAATTATAGCCATTATCATTTAATCTGTTTTTTTGTTGTTGTTGTTGTTGAAATCACAATTTCCACAACACAATGAATGTCATCGAATAAAAAGAAAAAAAAATCATCACCATCATTATCCAAATCATAGTTTAGTCTAAACTTTAAACAAATTATTGATTCATTTATATTACAAATGCATCGATAGATTGATTTTTATTGTGGTGGCTATACGACACAATAATGAAAAATTTATTCATGATTATCGAGTAGTTTATTTGATTTTTTGATGAAAATTTTGTTCAGTTTTTTTTTCTCTCTCTCTCTCTTTTCCCTTTTTAAGATATTAATATTGTGAAATTCGATTCATACATATGACGGGCAATTCCAATTTTCTAATCGGCAACTTGATGATTATATATATTTAGTATACAAACTGGCATACAAAAAAAAACGGGATATACAAATTGATTGCATAATTTTGTTTCTGTTTTTTTTGGTACAAAAAAAGACCAGATATTTTATTCATAATCCAGATGGAAAACAAAATAGATAGTGGACAAAATTATTTGTTTTCGATCCTCTTATCAGATTTGAATAGGATTTAGTATCAACAACAACAACAACAACAACGACAACAATATGGAACCATCGACATTTATTATTGTATTTTCGGATATTTTGAAAACAAAAAAAAAACGAAAAAAAAAATTTTCTCCACTTGTTTTTTGTCTATACATTTTATGTGATCAGAAAAAAAAGTACAAAGCGTGTGGCCAAAATAATAAATGATGATTGTATTTTCAATATGAATTCGGGAACTTTCGTTTTTACTTCTTTAATCTTTTTACCGGTGTAATAAATCTGAAACATTTACGGCAAAAACAACATCACCGCAACAACAACAGCAGCATATGCCAACGAATCATCAGAATTCAATTCGTCAATCAATATAATCATCCAATGCTTGCTGGTAGCGTTGGTGGTTGTGGTGATGGTGGTCATATACCTTATTATCATCACGTTAATATAGAATCATATGCAGCAATTCCGGCTACAGAAGCTGCTGCTAATTATGGTGGATATTCATATCAATAATGTGGTTGCCATCATTATCCTCATCATCATCATCATCATCATCCAGGATCATTTTATCCCATTGCTTAACGTTTTTCTTTCTTTCTTTCAGATAACATACGGAAATTACGAAATCAACAACAACATCGACTGCTGATTTATCATCATCATCAATTAGTAGTAGTGATGATCCGAAACAATCGAAACTTCATGATGATGGCCAAATTATTGATGAAATGACCGCTAAAATTTATAAAATGGCATTGAATAATGTTGATACATTCCAATTCAAACGATTCTGAGCAACATGAAGATAACCAAAAAATAAATTGGCGATCATCGAATGACAATTTGCAAAGTAATCAACATTTTTTTACCTGAGCCTCACGGTCTAAATTTCAATCGTTTGGAAATCAAAATAATCGAATAACACCCAAATACCTCATAAACAAAATATAAATGCAATTTTTTTTAAATTTTTTATTATAATTAAAATTGAAAGTGATCTACTAGTCTATGATCATAATTTATGTGGCTTATGCCACTTTTTTTTGAAAAATGAAATATATATTTTATGAGAATGAATTGAATGAATAAGTAGTAAATTAATGGTGGATTATAGTTAATATAGTAAAAATGAAAATTTTCAATCATCAATTTCATATTTTTGTTTTTTAATTTGCAATAGTTTTTGCCGAGTTGCCAACAATTTCATTATCAGATTCATTAGATTTTTGTTTTTCATTTGAAGTCTACACAACAACAAAAAAAAACAGATCAATTAAAAATTGAAAAAAAATTTAACAACAATAAAAAAACATACCGATGATGTGGCGGCTACTGTTTTCTTTTTCTCAATTTCAACATCTTTTTTCATTTTTGAATCATTTGTTTGTCCATAATCAATTGTCGTTTGTAAGTTTAGATTTTTTGACAGGCCTTCCACCGCATCTACATCCGTATCGCCATCATCATTTTTTGTTTCTTCTTTATTATTATTTGATTTTTTTACCCGTTCTTTTTTCGACTGATATTTTTCGAAATCTATTTTTGGTTCAATACGAACAGCATGTACACTTGGTTTATAAATATCGGCCAAATTTGAAATCCAAGCTGATTTTTTCTGAATTTCATTTTTTTCTAAACGTTCATATTCTTCAACGAATGAATCCAAATCTTTTTCCCAAAGCTTTTTTGGCGTGGAACGTTTAAGTTCTTCTAGTTCCGATTTTTTTGCATCACGTTTTTTCATTAATTCTTCAACTCTTCCTTTTATCATTGTTCGAATTGTCATATCGATAAGATAATCAAAATCATATTTCTTCTCCTCTTCCGTTTCAGGCATTTTATCACCATCTTCAACGTTTTCATTTTCATTATTTGACGTCGTGTCGTGCCATGCTTTCACAGGATCCGAATCATATTTTTGTTCAATCAAAAGCTTTATATATTCTTTTTTCTTAGTATTTTTCGTAATGATTTTTTTCTCATCTAATTCCAAAATAAAACGTACTTGATTTTCAAGTTTTAATAGTTCAGCTTCAAACATAGCTTCATAATATTTCTTGCGTCGAACATAGAAATCCATACGCATAGTGAAAAATTCTCGCAAAATATCCAAAGGTGATTCATATTTTTTAATATCATCATTTTGATCAAACAAAAACATCGATGAAATTGACAGAGAAGTTTGTAATTTGAATTTTTTATGTATGCCATCTCGCATTACTTTTTCCAATGCATTTTTATTCATTTTAACAACAAATCTATTAAACAAACAAAAAAAATTTTAGAATTGAACCTCAAGAAAAAATTAAATCAAACATACTTGACAGTGGTATCGGTATGATATTCTTGATAATCATTGATGAGTGCAGGACTTTTTCCCGTACCATGTAACATTGGTTCCAAAATTGTTTCCTTATAATCCTCAATACAGGTGCCAATTGGTAATTCCGTAATTTCGATAGTTTGTTCATCCAATTTGGCAACTTCACCACTAATGATATATTTCATTGGTTCCACTTTCACCACGGTACCTTTGAAATTTTTATACCATGGATTCATTTCCAAAGGTTCTTCATTACGAAGCATTCGTCTAATGTTATCAACGATATCTCGTGGATTATGTTTAGGAACCTTACTCTTAAAAATGGAAGTACTATCTTCGACACCATTAACTAAAACCATTGGAATGATTGGAACAAAGCATTTGGGTTCCATTTTTCGATTACCTTCATACTCATAAGTCAATAATGGATCATCCAATGGTGAAAATATTTTCCTTGCCAAAGGACTTAATATCATTGTGTAAAAATAAAAAAAACAAACTGTAGAATTGTTCGATCAAGAATTTATTGAGATAGATGATTTGAAACAATCTGATTCTGGTGATGATTGATGATGATGATATGAATGTGGAAAAAATTAAATTCACTTTTCAGTCAAAAACGGAATTGAAACGTTTGTTTCATCATCATCACTATTATTAATAGAACAATCACTCACTCACTCACACACAAAAAACGCGCACACACACACGTACCATACTTATATGACGTACTCAAACATTTTTTTATAGTGAGTATGATTAGTGAGCTAGTTTAGTTTAGTCTAGTCTAGTCGTTGGATTGTCATAATGGAATTCAAAAAATAATATTAAATCAAAGATAAGGTTTAGATTTTGAAGTTTTTTTTATTGTCATCATTTTTCTAAATTATCACAGCGTCAAGAAAAATTTAAAAAAAAGATTCTGTAAATATGATTTTTCAATTTTTTCGTCAAACTTTTCGTTTTCTTGAGCTGTTTTCGAATAGGTAGAATCCACATTAATGTCAGCAATCGTTGTTTCATCAACGGAAAGATCGGATTCAGAATTTCTTGTACAATCTTCATTTTCTGAAATTGTTTCACCATCCAGCCATGTATAACCTTGAGATGTAGAAGTAGCTTCTAAACACAAGCGTAGTCTGTGAGCTGTAACTTTGACAATGCTTTTGAGAACTGTGTTGGCAGCGACATTTCTGTTGTTGCGGTGGTTATAAACAGCAACGTTTGAAATTTCATCATCGATTTACTCACTGTCTTGTCGTTGTCTGTCTTTTTTGCTTTGAAAAAATTTGATTGAAAAACTTTTGATTTTTTTTTGTTCTCTAAAATTTTTAACGTTTAGTTGTTACAAAATGACCAGCTTCAATAATGGTATGTATGTACTAATAAATAATAAATTTTGATGCTTAAGAAAATTTTTCACTCGTAAAATGGAATTTGGAACATTAGATGAAGATGAATGCATTCAAAATCAAAATATTTATGAATCACCCGAATCGGCAGATAATCAACATGTTTTTTGTCGGAATATTTTACCAGCCTCTTGGCTTGGTATGCCCGATTCTTCTTGCGATATACAAATGTGCGATAAGCATTGTTAAACTGAGAAAATCGACATTCGTCGGAAAAAATTACTTTTTTCCAATAATCAAGTGGCATTTCAACCATTTTATTGGCCCATAAACGGCGCTTGTTTTTGTTTTTCTTGGATAAAAGGGGCTTCTTTCTTGATATTCTGGCGCCATATTCGGTCATCTTGATGTATTTTCGTACCGTATTTTTCGACACATCAAGATGATTTGCCAATTCTTTGCCTGTTGTTGCCGGTGTTTTTTCAATTTGACGACCAAGTCTTCGCAATGTTTGCTCTGATGGGCCTGGTGGTTTGTTGGCATTTGTCTGTCCATTTTGACGATAAGTTGGACATTAGACTTACTTGTCTTCATTTTTTCGGTTATTTTCCGGATACTCAGCCCGTCTTTGTGATATTGAATCACCATCCGTTTCAATACCGTCTTTTCGAGTTGTTTATCCATGTTTTTTTTTTTTGATTAAAAATTGAAATATATTTTTAAAAATAAATAGATGAATCAATGAATGAATGAATCGATAAATGAATGAATCAATTGATCAATGAATGAATGAATCAACGAAAAAAGTTTTTTAATTGTTAAATATTAAATCAAGTTTAACAATATTAACACGTGTAGAACTATTAACATTCGACAGCTAAACCATCGAATTTTATAGCTAATATATGTATGTAGGAAAATAAACTAATACAAGCGTCATAAAGAGATAGATTGATGAATTGGTTATGAGACTAAAATGAGGTGGATTTGAATAACCAATATTGATGGCAAGCTTGATAAGTCGAATATTAGCAGATCGATTGAAATGGATCGAAGCCTTTTGTTTTAATTTTAATTTTAATGGTTGTTTGGCTGCCACTGTCATCATATTTTTATGCTTGTAATTGTCTGATTATAAAGATGTCACAATAAATGTGGTCTTTGGACCAAGTTATCCACAGATTGTGCTGTGTCTTATTTCTACATGCATTACATTTATTCATTTGTTTTACCCGATGACTGATATCTGACAAGATATTAGGTTTGCTAAAAGACTCATCGTTTTTTGAATAACATTTTGTGTATTCCACAAAATCATCAATCGATGCAATTTCTGTTATTGTTAATAAGATGCAAAAAACTCTTGATGACAAAAAATTTGGTATCTTAATTTTTCTGGATATTAGCAAAGCATTTGATTCGGCATGTTTCGATATTATTTTGGCTAAATTAAGGCGTTTAAAAACATTCCACCCAATCTTTATAGCATGTTCGTCAGCTTTCTCGATAATCGTTATGTCATTTTTTGCCCATTCAAGATTATGTGGTATCGGAACCATTTCGTCGTGGTTGTCCTCAGGAAGGTAAATCTTCACCTCTTCTTTGGAATATTTTGATTAATGATGTGTTTGATTTATCTCTTCCTTCTAATTGCCATTTACAAGCGTATGCAGATGATTTTGTTTTGTATTTTGATCATGAAGATTTAAATGTTTGTGTTCAAAATTAAACTATTGCATTGGATCTTCTAGAATCTAGATAGATGGAGTGCTCAAAATCATCATTGTTTCAATCCAAACAAAACGTTCTCTATGTTGGTAACCAGAAGAAGAAAATTTATCCGGCCGATTATTAAGTTTAAAAATCACGATTTAATTTTGATTCCGACCCAACATAGCGAAAGCCGAAAATAGCGAAATCCGAAAATAGCGACTGACGAAAATAGAGAAAGCCGAAAATAGCGAAGAACCGATTCATAGTATTTTAGACTTTGATCTCTATTATAGATTGTTTGTCAATACAGTAGTTTTATCTAACCTAACCTAAATACACCGGCGTCATTTCTAATCGGGTCAATTCAAGACCTTTCTGTAGGTGAACGCCTAAATTGCGTCCAAAATATCAAACGACAACAACAACAACAAAACATAAAATAACTTTAGCAACAAGTGTGCGTGTGCATGTGTTGAATGAACAATAAAAAATCATAGCTATTTTCGGCTTTCGCTATTTTTGGACGGAATCTTTGTATATATCTGGATCGGTCATGTTTTGTTGTTGTTGTTGTCTGATATTTTCCCCTCAACTCAGGCGTTTACCTACAGAATGTCTCGAATTGACCTGATTGGGGAGAGAGATGACCCCGTCATTTCGAAACCGGATGTCGATCAATTCGTGACCAGATAAGGACGCCGGTGTATTTCAATTGGTTAGAATGTCCGGCTTTTATTTCTGTACAAAAGTGGGTGTTGGTGTTTAAATTAACACAGTAACAGTTACAGTAACCAGAAACCGGAAGGTTTTGGGTTCGAGTCCCAACATCGGCGTTTTTTTTGGTCATTTGATGTCAAATCAACTGTGTGCTGGCGATGACGATAATGACGATAAAGATTCTGATGATGCTGATGATTCAAAAGAAAATGAATCAGAAAATGACTATAACTATAATTATAATGCTTCAGATGACGAAGATGATGATTATAATCATAAGGTTGTTGTCGATTATAATGACGATTTTTATTTATTTTAATTAAAAAAGTAATTAAAAAAAATTTGTCATGAAAATGAGTCATGAAATAGTCTGACTAAAAGTCAAGCTATTTCAGTGATTCCCAACCGGTGGATCGCGAACCCCTGAGGGTTCGTAAGATATGCAAAAGGTTCGTCGTATTTACTCGGATTTTTATTTTGGTTCGCGAAGAAAAAAAGGTTGGGAAACACTGAGCTATTTCATGACTATTCAAAATCAAAAAATAGCTTGACTTTTTATCAAGAAATAAATTGACTACCCCAATCATGAAATAGCTGGTTTTTCTGGTCATCAAATAGTTTGACTAATCAAGTGTATTTGAAAATCAGATTGAAGATTAATTGGAGTATTCGATATTCATTTGGTTTAGGTAATTATGCCACTATATTTGACTATATGATCAACATTCATTCTATTAATGAAAATTTTAAAAGATGAATATTTCGCTTTGGCTCTGTGTACAACACTGGGTTTACGTGGTTTACAATACAATGATAATCACAATCGATATTGGATAATATAATTCCATTTCAACTCAAACCACTACTATTACTATATAGCTATTATTTTTGAAAAAAAATATACATTACAATTTTTGATATTTTTATCAGCCATTGAAGATGATGAAAAAAAAAACAAATGCCGCCAAAAAAGACACATCTCTATTTTTGATGATAGAAGATTTAGCAGATAGATTATAAATAAATAAAAAATAACCTTGTAGAAATGTACCTAAATACTTTACTTATATATAAATAAGATGATGATTGTAATAGCAAAACAAAATTAAAAAAAAACATAATTTTGCACATTGAACGAAGAATTTTATCAAGAATTGATTTTGAAAATATTTTTTTTGTTTTGTTTTGTTTTGAAAATGTTTTCATCAATTATTCTGTTTACGATTATAGCGATAATCGTTATCAGTGCTATCTAGTAAGTATTTTTTTTTTTTAAATCCTACATCATTCCACCTCATGTATATTGAAAATCATTCATTATTAGCTATTGTTATATGTATTATACATTCTGGCAACGACAAGGAGTTAAAGCACGTTTAGGACCAAGTTTTGGTTGGATACGAAAACCTTTACATGAATTTTTTTATGAAGAAGCAAAAAAATATGGAAATATTTTTGGTTTATACGGTTTCATTGGACAACGAACATTAATAGTTAATGATCCAAAAATGGTTCGTGAAATATCGATAAAAGAATTGCATAAATTTCCAATGCGTTTTGCCGGTTATATGGGCGAAACATCGATGGTCCATTCATTGTTTATGATGCAGGCAAATGATGATTGGAAACGTATTCGAACAATCGTTTCTCCGGCATTTACATCGGGTAAATTAAAAGCGATGATCACACCTATCAATAGGATATTGGATAATTTTGTTCGCAATTTGGATAAACATGGTGAAAGTGGGGAAATGTTCGATGTGAAAATCTATACTAGCGCGTTGACCATGGATGTTATTGCTTCATGTGCATATGGAATTGAAGTCGATTCTATTAGTCGACCAAATCATCCATTGATTAAACATGCTCAACGAATTTTGAGCCACGATGTTTCAATTAAACAAATTATTTGTTTTGTTATACCATTTTTGGCTAGATTACTAAATCTAGAACCATTTGATCGGGAATCGACTAAATATTTCGATGATTTAACTTTTAAAATAATCGAAGAACGTTTGAAGGCGAAAAATCAGAGTAAGAATTACAATGAAATGTTGATGCTTATTTAACAATATTTTTTCTTCAACTAGAAAGCAAAGATCTTATCGGATTAATGGTTGAACAAACTTTGAATGATCAATCTGAATCTAATGAAGTTGATAAAAATGAACGAAAATTAAAAGGAATCAGCCGTGAAGAGATTGCCGGACAAGGTATCATATTTTTTCTTGCTGGTTACGATACCACGAATGTTACATTATGTCATATAATCTACTATTTAATTAAACATCCTGAATGGCAAGATAAATTGTATGATGAATTGTGTGCACAAGATTCACCTTTAGACTATGAATCATTAAGAAGTTTGCCTATTTTGAACGGTGTAATTTGTGAAACATTGAGACTTAAACCACCATTGACCACTGTTCAACGAACAGCACATGAAGATACAACATTATTGAATACCGGTATCAAAATTCCAGCTAAAACAGCGATAATATTTCATCCATATATCATACATCGAATACCCGAATATTATCCTGATCCTGAATCATTCAAACCGGAACGTTTTATTGGTGAAAATTCAATGGAATCTTCCATTGCTTTCCTACCGTTTGGTTCTGGTAATCGTCTTTGTGTTGGCATGCGTTTCGCTCAAAATGAACTTCGTGCTGCTGTTGCACAATTAATTCTTCATTATCGTCTAGTACCGGATCCTAATCTGAAACTAGAATATTTTTATGGAAATGATATACTATCACCAAAAAAGGTGATGATACGAATAGCTAAACGTTGAACAGAAAAACAAAATTTTAAACTTTCCTTTAACTTTTAAAACTTCCACATCTTACATTGCCACAAACTTAAAGTGATTGTTTTTAAAATTTTATTTTTGTCTTGTGAAATTCTTTATCATTACAACGGACCACACTTAGCATGAATTTTAGACAAAATTCTTAATGAATAAAAAATGGGTGAAAATTGTCTCTAAAAATATATTTTTATTGATTGATATTTCTAACTCAATGATAAATTAAATAATTATGTTCTTAAAAAGTGCATACAAGTTTTATTATCAGCTCATAGAGCTCTCATAAATTGATGTAATCAATTTCAATTGATTTTCCAATATCTGAGAAATCTTGTTTAATAGAAGTTTATCAAATTTCATATTTTATATTTGAGTACAGTAGTATCAAAATGGCATTCATAGCCAAATAGTTATGATAAAAAAGTGACGAACGAATTTCGAGTGTTTATAAACAACGGTCATTTGATCATCCTTCATCAAGCGAAGAATTTCAGTAATTTAAAATAATTTTATGCATAACAATGTTTTCATCGACTATTATGTTTACGATTATAGTGATAATCTTTATCACTGCAATTTAGTAAGTTTTTTAAAAATACAATTGTATGATGTTTAATAAAAATTGAATCAATTAAATTCATCAATTAGTCAATATTATAAGTTCTATACGTTCTGGCAACGGCAAGGAATTAAAGCAAATTATTGGCCAAATTTCGGATGGATGAGGAAGCCATTACATGAATTTATCGAAGAAGAAGCAAAAAAACGTGGCAATATTTTCGGTATATACGGTATTGGACAACGAGCATTAATACTTAATGATCCGAAAATGGTTCGTGAAATATCGATTAAAGAGTTGCATAAATTTCCCATTCGTTTTGGTGGTTATATGGGCAAAACATCTATGGTCCATTCATTGTTTATGATGCCGGCAAATGATGATTGGAAACGTATTCGAACAATCGTTTCTCCAGCATTTACATCGGGTAAATTGAAAGCAATGATCACGCCTATTAACAGGATATTGGATAATTTTGTTCGTAATTTGGATAAACACGGTGAAAGTGGTGAAATGTTCGATGTGAAAATCTATACAAGTGCGTTGACCATGGATGTTATTGCTTCATGTGCATATGGAATTGAAGTCGATTCGATTAGCGAATCAGATCATCCATTGGTCAAACATGCTCAACGAATTTTGAGCTTGGACGTCTCAATTACTCAGGCTATTTGTTTTGTAATGCCATTTTTTGGAAAATTACTCAATCTAGATCCATTTGATCGAAAATCGGCTAAATATTTTGATGATTTAACTTTTAAAATAATCGATGAACGATTAAAAATGAGAAATCAACGTAAGAATTTTCATGAAATGTTGATGCTTATTTAACAATATTTTTTCTTCAAATAGAAAGCAAAGATCTTATCGGACTAATGGTTGAACAAACTTTGAATGATCAATCTGAATCTAATGAAGTTGATAAAAATGAACGAAAATTAAAAGGAATCAGCCGTGAAGAGATTGCCGGGCAAGGTATCATATTTTTTCTTGCTGGTTACGATACAACGAATGTTACATTATGTCATACAATCTACTATTTAATTAAACATCCTGAATGGCAAGATAAATTGTATGATGAATTGTGTGCACAAGATTCACCTTTAGATTATGAATCATTACGAAGTTTGCCTGTTTTGAACGGTGTAATTTGTGAAACATTGAGACTTAAACCACCATTGATCACTATTCAACGAACAGCACATGAAGATACTACATTATTGAATACGGGTATCAAAATTCCGGCTGAAACATCAATAATATTTCATCCACATATCATACATCGAATGCCCGAATATTTTCCTGATCCAGAATCATTTAAACCTGAACGTTTTATTGGTGAAAATTCAATGGAATCATCTAATGCTTATATGCCATTCGGTATTGGTAATCGTCTATGTGTTGGCATGCGTTTTGCCCAAAATGAACTTCGTGCGGCTATTGCACAATTAATTCTTCATTATCGTCTGATACCGGATCCTAATCTTAAACTTGAATATTTTCGTGGCAATGTTATACTATCACCAAAACAGATGATGATACGAATAGCTAAACGATAAACAAAACAAAAAAAAATAATTTTACTCATCATCATATCACAGATTTCTTCCAATGTCAACGATCAACTTTAATTGTTTTATTATACATTTTTTCTTCGTTTTTGTCTTGATGAATGTATCATCATTATTGATGACATTCATTTTGAAATTGAGACAATGAATCTTTTTGTTTTGTTTTGTTTTGTTTGTTGAAACATTGAAAATGAAAAGATGACAGTTTCAAAAGACACACACACATCTACCCACTCTCATCAACATCATCATTATTCATCAAAAAACTTTCTTTGAAAAAGATGAACGGATGGACAAATGTTAATTTCTCATTGTATGTATATGTGTGTGTGTGTGTGATATTGTCATCAATGGTTTGATATTTGAATTAAGAATTAATTATTTCTACAAAATATCAATGTCATTGGTGTGTTTAATTGTTAACCTGGCCACACAATAATAAATACGAATGCACGTGTTTTGAATTCCAAAATAAATGTATGAATGAATAAAATATTCACGGAAAACAAAAAGCTTCAAAAAAAAAAAATTCATAATCATAATAATAATTTTAGACAAAAGAAAATTAATTTTTTTTATCATTTTGATAAAAATTTAAAAAATGATAATCAATTATCATCATCATCATCATGAATCCTTGTGTATGTCTGTGTAAATGGAATGAATTGAATTTAGATCGGACACAAACATACACACAGACACACACGAACTAATATCATCCAACTATATCTGTATTCATCTCTTAGGAATATTTAAAGCCTATGATATGATATCAATCACGATCATCATCAAATTTCTTTGTGTTTCAAAATGATTAGACAATTATTTTTATTTTTTTTTTTTTTTGCCTAAATGAATGAATACATAAAATGATTAGTCTTAATAGGTCAATATGTCGCCGTGTATGTATGCGTGCGACAGATATATCTAGTTGTGAACGAACAAAAAGAAGCAAAAAAAAAAAAAATCAAATTTATGAAACAAAATTAAAAAAAAAAATAAAATAATTTTCATCATCATCATCATTCATAATCACAATGTTGTGAATAAGATGAATGAATGAATGAATGAATGAATAAATGATGAGAAAAAATGATAAGGATACGGAAATAGTGATTATCATAATCATCATTTTTTTGGGGATACCTTGAAAATTAATATTTATTGTTCATTTAATGATAATGATAATTTGTCTTCTAGGATGCAATGAATTAATTTTTTTTGTATCCTAAAGAAACAAACAATTTGCTTCTAGGCAATAATTTTATCTGATCAGAAGGGATTAGTAATAAGGTCATTTTATTTTATCGATTAATGACACATGTGTGTGTGTATGTGTGACATTCATTCTATAATTAGAATATACAATAATATTCACACAAACACACTGCAAAACATTGTCAAATATTGTGTAATTAAAAAAAAAAAATTTGTCATCAATATTTTAAAAAACGACAACAACAACAACAAAAAAAGAGGAGAAAGGAAATTGTTCAAGAAATTTTCCATTCATAATTGATTTGAATGCAATGAATGCAATGATAAAAATTGCAAATAAACGATACATTACATTGTATCTATTATTGTGATGAAAAAAAATAAATCTGATACAGAATCATTCATTCGACAAATTGGAAAAATTTCTTTGCAAAAAGGCCATGATGTTATTTTAATCGATAAATTAGACAAGTCACTTCAATGATGAGCAATCATGATCAATAATAACGACAATGGTTTCATCATCATTATTTTTCCAACAAGAAAAAAAACAACAGGATTTGTGGTCCATTTGTGGTGATGTGCTGCAGTCTGTAATGATGAATTGTTTTTTGTTTATGTATCGTCTACGTTTACGTAAATTTTTTTAAAATTTTGTTTTTGTATTGTTTTATATGGCACACATATACACACACACAGCGTGACTACCTTGGTACCTAGGGAAAAAAATCATTTCGTTTCAATTTTTCTTCAGTTTGTTTCATATCCAACTCATTGAATGGATCTTTATTGTGGCCGATGCTGATTTATCAGTGGCACAAAAAAAAAATTCTCAATAAATGATCACGATTCTGATGTAATAATGGGACATCGAAAAAATCATCGTTCATGATTATATGTTTTAGTTTCATATATAAATAATAATAATTACTAATTTACAATTATTGTCTGATCCAGACAACAATAATCATCAAATCATCATCATTATCTTTAATCAGCAAACGAAAAAAAAACTGACGAAAACGGATCAAAAATTTTTTTTTTTTTTGGTAGTGAAAAAAAAGACTTGTCAATCCTAAATGATTTGACAATTTCAAATGTTTGTTTTATCTGTTTTTTTTCAATTATAACGATTTTATCATCATTATTTCAATGAGATTTGATGATTAATTTTTTTCTTGTGAAAAAAATAAAATAAACGATAATCTAAAAACTGCTGTCGTTACAAGATATGACATATATTCACATGATGATTCCACACACACAAATGGATCATTCAAATATTGATTTTTTTTTCATAGTATACAGAGACACATAAACTATTATGACATGGTTTGTGACAAATGAATCATTTTTGTTTTCAAAAAACATGAAAACAAAACATTGATATGCATTCAATACGATTTCACCAAACATAAATGCGCGCACACACACACACACACACATATCTCACCATTTGTAATTTGATGAACCATATCGATGATTGATAATCATATCATTCAATCAAAATGGATAGTAGCTATAAAAAAAAAATCTAGTGATGATTCAAAAAAATCATAAGCTCTTTGACCTCGAAATTATGAAAAAAAAAAATTTTTTTTTTTCATAATGATGATGATGATCATCATCATAATCTTCATCATTTAACATGAAAATTTTTTTTGAATGATTATTTATTTTATACATTGTGTGTGTGTGTGTGTGTGTGACATGATTACCATTATATATCAAAAATCAAACTAAAATAAATGTTCGTGTGTGTTTGTTTCATTTTGTTTCTATTTCTACTTTGAGATTATTATTATTATAATCATCATTATGAATGTTGTACGCACACACACACACACCTACAACCGCCTACACATTAAATGTTTATGATGGATTCATTCATACATTGTCCAGTATGTGTGTGTGTGATCCATTCATCATCCATCATCCGTTTGGTGCATCCATTTTTCGTTTATAATCCCATAGTTTTGGTTTAAATTTTTTTTTTGACTGTTTGAACATGAAAACGAAAAAAAATAAGGAAAACAAAACAGAAAATTATATTTTTTTTGAGAAATATGGTCATCACAAAATTTTATTTTGCATGTTTTTTTTCATCTTTTTTTTGGCCATTGAAAAATGAAAAACCAAATGGCAATGGATTTTGTTGTTAAATGTCGTTATTATAGATTATGAAAATGTTTTATGTGTGTGTGTGTGTGTTTTTTGTCCATTGTATCCGAATTGGATCCACGTGTGTTTTGCAGGAAATATTCTGGTTTTTTTATGACTGAAATATAGCGCCACCAAAAAAAAATGTTCGATTAGATTTTGATGTACTTTTTAATAATTCTACATGTTCTAAACTATCCAAATTCGATAATGATAATGATTGAAGATTTTTTGATTCGATACGTGGTGGATGTTGTTGTTGTTGTTGTTTTTGTTTTGTTTCATCGTCCTATGATCATGATGAATGAATTCATCATAATGATGATAATTATCATTAGATATGGTTGTTTTCTTTTTAGAATTCCGTGTATCTTTTGTATTGTAAATAATATGATGATGAATAAAAATGAAAGGAAAAAAAGAATATTAAAATAAACACAAAGAACAATTTATGTGTAATAAATTCTATCGATTCATTATTGAATTTGGATAATTTTTAATCAAAATTTTTTCGGGAAAAAATTATCTCATTTTTCGAGATCATCATCATTCTCATGTGAAGATTTTTTATTGTAAAAACGCCACTATTACCGTGAAAAGCAAAACATTATAACGCGAATAGTTTTTTTTTTGAAAAAAAAGAAGATTGATTGACAAAATAAACATTTAGTTTTTGTTGATGAATGATGAATAAAATGGATGAAAGAAAAATTGAAAAGATTTGAAAATAGGCCGGCAATAAATATGAAGAAGTTCAAATGACAATGTGTGATAATGAATTTTAAATGTCATCTCAATCTGTATGTGTGTGTATGTGTGTGTGTGTACGACGTTTTGTTGATTGGAAAACAAATTGGATACTTTTTATCTCACACACATGAAATGAATGAATTTGAACTTGGTTCAAACAAACAAACAAATAAATAAAAACAGAAGTATACAAAGTTTTTATTTGTTTGAATGCAATGAATGAATGATTATGAGAATGATGATGATGATGATTGAACGAATGAACAAAATGTGATATACACACAAACAATGGCCAAATTGTTGTTGTTGTTGTTGTTGTTGTTGTGAATTATACAATAGACAAATTGAGTGATCACACACACATATGCACATCCCAATTATATTCATATTTCATTCGTTGTTCTATATTTTCGGATTAACTTTCATTTTTTTTTTTTTTACTTAACACGTTCTTATAATCCACACAGAGATTAAAATTGTCGATTAAAGATTAAAATGATTTGAGACTTGGCAATTTGATCATCATTTCATTTTATTTTATTCATTGATAATTATCAAATTATCGTCAGAGATTGAATAGCATAGGGCTGCTGTTTTGTTTATTTATTCATTTTTTTGTTTTGTCTCATGATGAACACCTTTTAAGTAATTTTCTTTTTTTTGCCAATGTTATATTATTATTAACATCTTTTTAACATCATCATCATCCATAACATTTTGATGACAGAAAAAAAATGTCGTAATCAAAGTGTCGATGTTGTTGTTAACGTAAACATCATTTGTAATGAATGGTGATGAATAGTGTTAAAAAATATAATTATTTTCAATGGAAATAAATACAATTTTTGGATTTTTTTCCATCCATGATATACTGCTGCTGCTGTTGCTGTTACTACCACCATATAGGAATGAATAAATTTTTGTATTTATAAAAATGTAATTACTTTTTTTTTGCTCTTGTATTGAGGAGGGGGGAATGAGAGAAGGGAGAAAGTGTATCTGTGAATTATTCTTTTATTATCAAAAACGAAAGCAAAAATATTTATTAAAAATTCGAGGCCAAAAGGATATTGTTGTTGTGTAAAACTTGCCACACTATTGAACATAATCCCACAATAACAACAACAACAACAACATAAAATTCACAAATCGATTGATCTATTACCACACACTACTAATATAACGAGAGCATATATTTGTAATTATCGGATAAAAAACGAATACTCAAAGAGAGAGAACAAAAAAAAACTAGATCAAATCGATTGATCATCAATTGATACATACACGATCGGATATAATCTTCTTTAATCTTTTTGTTGCTATTGAATTCGATTCTCTCATCATCATCATCATCGTCATCTTTTTAGTTTTTTTTTAAATAACAGGAGAAACAAAAATTGCTACACATTCAATCACACACACACACACATAGACATACTATATTACAAAAAAAAATGCATTCAAACATCATGTGCAATAATTTCATGTGAATATCATCATCATCATACAGAACAAATGATGATGATTCAAATAAGGATGAAAAAAAAAATTATTCAAACTCATCAAGTACAAACACAATGGATCATTTAGATGCAAAATACCATTCACACATGGCTATAACCGATTTGAATTTTTTAGACCAACACACACACACACACACACATACGCAGGACATTCACAAACAAGATTGTGTGTGAATATAATCATTATTTCAAGGATAATCATAAAAAATATGAGATACAAATGTGTGTGTGTTTGATTCGATGTGTCAAGATCAAAAAAACGGAACAAATAATAATTATACTGATGACACATGTCATTTCTTTGTATGTGTGTGTGTGTTCAATTTATTCTTTGTTATTTCAATTTTTTTCTTTTCTTTTTTTTTTTTTTTTTGTTTGCTGAAATTTCTGAGTTCGATATTTTTTTTCTACAATCACATATATTATTGTGTTGTTGTTGTTGTTGTTACGAATAATCAATTGGAATGATGGAAAAAAAGATAACTGGATCAAAAAGAAAAAAAAAAATTTTTGTGTCCATTCATTCATTGACAGAAAAAAAAATTGGATACGTGTGGTCAGGATTTCCTATGTGTGTGTGTGTGTGTGTGTGTGCACAAATTAGACACATGACGAAATTCAGGTTAAAATAATCGTTAAATTCAAAAAGTTTTGTGTGTCATTTGTTCATTGAAATGAAAATTTCATTTCATTTTTTTTTTTTTTTTGCAAAAAGAAACAAAAAAAAATGGAATTGAATGTCAAATAAAAAATATTTCAAAGTCAAAGTCAAATGAATTAAATGTAATAATAATAATAATAATGTACTAGGAATTATTATCATTCATTTTTCTGTGTTTGTTTTCGTTTCGATGACAATTGTTTTGACATGAAACGAAACAAAAAAAATTTTTTTTTTTTTTAATGAAAATGTGTCATCCTCATGTCATTGAAAATAATTATCGTATAACGTGAGAGATGTAATAAGAATAAGAATAAATCGGATCTTTAAATATTTCAGTTATTTCAACAACAACAACAACAACAAAATCCTATTTTGTTTCAAAATAAGAACAAAATTTATCGAAATTTTTTTTTCAAAACTTACTTGTTATCAAACAAAATATAATGAATATCATTAAGATGAATATGAAGAATGCAAACATGCTGCTAAACAACAAAATCAATGTTGATGATCGTTTCATGAATAATTCGTCCAATTTTGATGTTGTCAATCGAATGATGTGCTGATGGATTGTTTTATTTTTTATCGATAATAATGATCCATTTGGCCATATCAATAAATGTATTATTCTTTGCAAATCATTGACATTTTGATGATTTGAATTATTCATCTTGTGTGTGAGATATGTGGTTATAAATCAAAGAAAAAAAAATGCAACAAGAACAAAAAAAATATCAACAATTTAAAATCAATCAATTCGAATTTTTTTTCTTTTGCTACAATTCGAAATTTAATTTATTTTTCCCATTTATCTGCAGCCATCTGTCGACATTGTTTTGAATTATTTGGAATGAATTTCACAATTTCGATCAAATAAAAAATACAAATTCAAATGAAAATGGAAATTTATTTTCAAGAAAAATTGAAATGAATTCAAGATTAAAATAAATGGAAAAAAAATTTTGGTTTAAGATGGCTATGATGATGATGATGATGAATGATTGGACATTTTTTGTTTTCTATTCAGCAATTTCATTAGTTGCCGGTGGTTTCACCTGTAGTTTTGATGATTCAACACGATTCAATTTTTTCAATCGTATCTGATAGAATCGTGCACGTTGTTTTGAAAAGAATAGAAAATAAATGATTAGAATAAGAATGATGATTGATGTTAGAACCGAAATGATAATCTTATAGATTAGCATTTCATTATTATCTTTATTGATTTCGAATACTTCACCCTAAGATTAAAATAAATTTTAAATTTGAAATTAAAATGAAAATCTTTTTTTTCCGAAAAATTTAACAACTTACATTTGTACATTGTGAATGTGTATCGTTGATCGGTATACAGAAATCGATATCCTGTCGAACACAAACATTTTCATTACAATGTTTTTTCTGTTCCGATTCTTTTCTCATCAATGGATCATATAACATGAATGGTGATCTGGAATTATCGGCTGTAATCAATATACACGATGTTTGATGAACATTATCAATCATAATTGATGATGATGATGATGATGATGATGGTGATGAATCATTCATTACATTCGTATGATTCTGTGATGATATTGAGCAACGATAAATCTTTCCAAAATTTCCCGATTGTTTTACGAAAAAATAGAGTGAATCTGCTCGAATTCGAACATTTTTTGTTGCCCAATTTTGTCGTGAGAAATTTATTTCAAAATTCATTGATTTTAAAATTTTTTTATCATCATAATCCAATATGATCATTCCGGATATTTTTGTCGCTTGTGTTTGTGGCATTATAAGCAGATATTGATCACCATAATGATCATAATAAAGATCAGTATAAGTTGTTCTACTGATATTAAATAATGCTGATGATTGTTTACCATTCTGAATTTAAAATGAATCAAAAATTAATTTTATTAATCCAAGACAAAGAGAGAGAAACGATTTCAAACCTGATCCGATTCCATCATAATTGTATCGGTACCATATGTTTCAAGCCACATTAATTTTGACAGATCAGGTCTTACGATTAAACCATTCACGGTATTGGAACCAGCAGCACGATATATTGGAAATGTAGCCAATTCATTCTTTTTTAAATCAATAACATTGATACCATCCATTAAAGTTGAATAATACAACAGACCATGAAGCCAATCAAAAGCAAAGTGTTCCAATTTTTTCACTTGAAATTGTAAAACATTCAATTGAGTTATTTGGCTGTTGTATCAAGAAACAAACAAAATTCGAGCCAAATTAATCAATTAAAATATAAAACTTTTTGAATTCATCACCTACCCATAATCAATTGGTTCAACATCGATTAAATTATTCTGACAAACAGCAACATATGCATTCCATGTTTGGCTATAATCAAGAAAAATGATTGAACCATCATCATTACAAAGTGAATCATTATAACGACCATCGATAAGATTTTTTGGATAAATTAATTTCAATTCTAATATCGAATCATATTGATGATGTTGTTGATGTTGATGACGATGTTGACGATTACGTTTATTATGAGCAATTATCCAATCATATTGAATAATTATCAATAATAATAATAAAAAGGTATAATTTGAATTCATCTTGATAATGTAAAATTCGAAATGCTTTTTTTTCTATCTATTTTCTTCTTCACATTCACAGCCACAATGACAATGAAGATGATGATCAATTGAAAAATGATGATCATCATAACGAATTCAATGTAATGATGAGCAATCTTTTTCGGATTAAATATTATTATTATTGTTACCTCGACATTCAATAACAACAAACGAAAATCGATGATAACAACCGGAAAAAAAGAGAATAGATTTCTATAATTGGCAATAACGAATTTTCAACATTTTACCAACAAAATTTTTGGTTATGGCAAAAGGAAGTTTTTGTGTGTGTGTGTGTGTGTGTACGAATTTGTTAATGTTTGTGGTTACCACCGATTTGATGATTGTCGTTTTGTATATTTCGATTCATGATAGATGAAAAAATGGAAAAATTTCGAAAACAAAGTTTTCATCATCATCATCATCATTGAATGTTTACTAAAAAAAAATGATGATGATTGCAATGATGATAATCGTTAACGTGTAGAAATGTGTCCTAGATATGAATCATTGGAATTGGAATTTTTTTTTCTTCATTATAATCAACAAAATGATGATGATGATGATGATGATCACATATTGTTATTATTATTCAACATGAATTTATTATTATAAATTATAAACGAAAAAAAATTGTTTCAACAAATAAACAATGATGATGATTATATTCATTCGTCCATCCATCAATCAATAGAATGTTTTGAAACAACAAAATTTTTTGATTTTTTTTTTTTTTTTGGTTGATTGTTTGTATTAAGCTTTTTCCGGTAACCGATGAATCCTTCCCCATGTTTGTTCTTCAGCCGTACACATAAATGTATAGATTAATGTGGTTAAAACATTTATTGCCGCAGCTAAATACCAAACATATGACCATGTTTTTATCGTACTCTAGTTGATGATGATGATGATGATGATAATGGTGATTATTTTCTTGAAAAAAAAATGAAATGAAAATAATTACCTGATTTTTAGTGAATGCTTCAATCACTTTTGGTACAATAAATCCCGGTATATTACCAATACTGTTTGTTAAACCCATTAATGTTCCGGCAAAATCTGGTGCCATATCTACATGTGTAGAATTAAATCCACTGAAACAAGCACCGCTTAATGTTACGGCCAATATTAATAATGTTGAGCTAGCAATTTGATCACAACCAACTACTGGTATGATTGCCATAAAAATGGCTGGTGGTATATAGGCTATTGGATAACGAATGATTGATTAATTGATTGATGACAGTATTAATTTCAGACTTACTAATAAAAGCATTAATTTTTCTAATTGTCGTAATGGATAAAGTACCATGCTGTCTCATACGATCAGTATAATAGGAACATATCCAACCAAAAACAGCTTGACCAAGTGATGGAAGACCAGATATGATTGTTGTCTAATTTATAAATATCAGATATAATTGTTCAGAATTCATTCAATGACAAGAATAAAACATATATTTTTACCATTTTATTGTCTGTATGTAATACATCTTTCATGTAGGTTGGTAAATAGGTAAGAATAGTGAGAAAAGCCCAATTCTGACCGATAGCAGTCAAAATAATACCATAAACACGTGATGAAGTGAATATTTCACGATATGGTATGATCACTTTCATTTCCATTTGTTTACCGCCACCATTTTCAATAATATAGTTATATTCTTGTCGTGAGATGAATGGATGTGATTCCGGTGATTCATATACCAGAAACGAATATAAAATAAACCAAATGATTCCAACAATACCCAATAAATAATATGAAGCGGCCCAACCCCATGAACTTTCATTGAATTGAGCTGCCATTGGCATCGTTATTACTGTTCCAATCATAGCACCTGTGAATGTAATGGTTGTTCCACGTGTTCGTTCCATTTTGGGCATCCATTGAGCAATCATTGTATTCATACAGGGAAATACAACACCTTCGGCTAGACCTTGAATAACTCGTAAAATTATAAACCACATATAATTTATTCGTGCAGCAAACGGACACATCAATGATGCTATCGAAGCAATCAAAATGCTTGAACCAAAAATCCATTTTCCACCGAATTTATTTGCCAAAATACCGGCCGGTATCTGTGTAAGTACATATCCATAGAAAAATGATGCTAATACATAGTTTTTAACATCTTCAGGCCAATCGAATTCTCCTTCTTGTTGATTAGAAGTTGATTGTCCACCAGGACATGTGTCAGCAGATACTGGTGATATTGTGGAAAAATTCGTTAAGAGATCATCATTGTGTTTATTTTTAATCATTGCCACAATTGACATATTCACAACCACTTTGAATGCGTATACTAGAAAGAAACCGAAAAATCCCAAAATAACAAATATAACACGAGCGGCAATAAAACGTTGTATAAAACGTCCATTATAGACTTTTTTCTGTGGATCCATCTGGTTATACGAGATATTGTATTGAACGATTCTTTCAAAAATATTGAGTAAAATTACTAATGAAATGGATTTAATATATAGAAAATTATGTTTGGATTTCAATGATGATGATGATGATGATGCTAGATGATTGAATACATTTTCTTGATTCAAAAATTAATTGATGAACATAATAGATCCCTGAAAATGAAAATGCTGGTTTCCACTAATAAATGTAAAGTTATTATGGTGATAGTGACAGGCAAATTCATGCAACCAAAAAAAAACTAATCTCAAACAAATAATTTGTAACCCGTAAACGATTCATTGCCTTTTTATATTTTAAAAACAGGTGATACTTGTCATAATTATCATATATTATCATTATGCACCGGGCTCTTCATTATTATAATCCAAATTATCAAATATCATCATATCAACAGATGATTGTTTTTTTTTTTTTTTCCAGAACATATGGTAAATTTCACATCATATTAAACCCATGGTGGTGGTAATGAGATTATAATCATATTATTATTATTCAATCAAAAAAAAGTGCAATAATTAAAATTTGATAAAAAAAAATTAATCAATAGAAAAAAATGAAGGAATTCCCATTCACATCAAATTCAATTTTATCATTTCCGCATCCGGCCCCATATTTGTTCTTTGGCTGTACACATAAATGTATAGATTAATGTTGACAATATGTTTACAACAATGGCAACATAGAATACATATGACCAGCTTTTTATCGTACTCTATTTATTTATATACAAAAAAATATATATAAATCAATAAAATTGTTGTGAATGAAACAAAACAAAAAAAAAAATGACTAACCTCTTTATTTGTGAATAAATTGACCACTTTTGGTACAACAAAACCGGGTACATTACCGAAACTATTAGTAAATCCCATTAAAACTCCGGCAAAATCTGGTGCCATATCAACATGTGTTGAATTAAAACCACTGAATGATGCACCATTAAATGTAACAGCCAATATGAGTAGTATACAGCTGACAATCTGATTACATCCAACGGTCGGAATTAAAGCAATACATATTGCCGGTGGTATGAATGCTATATGATGAGAGAAAAAAAAACCTGATTGAAAAATATTTGTCCCAGAAAAACAAAAATTGGTAGTTATCTTTTACCGATAAAATTGTTTATTTTTCGAATAGTTGTTATCTGTAATCGTCCACTTGAACGTAATTTATCCGAAATAAATGAACAAATCCAACCAAATAGTGCTTGACCTAGATATGGAAGGCCAGAGATTATTGTATTCTATAAAATGAAAAATTATTAATTATTTTTGAAAAATAAATTGAAAAAAATTTAAATTCAACACACCTGAGTATTGTTTGTATGTAGAACATTTTTCATATACGTTGGCATATAAGTCAATATGGTGAGAAAAGCCCAATTCTGGCCAAAATGTGTCAATATAAGACCATAAACAGGTATTGATGTGAATATTTCACGATATGGTATAATTAATTTTCTTTCAATTTGTTTACCACCACCATTATGTACAATATGATCAAATTCTTTTTGTGAAATGAATGGATGTAGTTCCGGTGATTCAAACACTAATGTTGCAAACAGAATGAACCAAACAATACCGATTATACCAAGTAAATAGAATGAAGCAGTCCATCCTAAACTACTACCATTCAGTTGTGCTGCAATTGGTAATGTGAATACAGTACCAAATTGTGCACCAGTATAAATCAATGTTGTACCACGACTAAGTTCCATTTTCGGTATCCATTGTGCGATCATTTTATTCATACATGGATAAACAACACCTTCAGCTAATCCTTGAATAAATCGTAATGTAAAGAACCAAATATAACTTTGTCTTGCAGCAATAGGACTTAATAATGAACAAATGGCAGCAATCAATAGGCTGATACTGAAAATCCATTTACTACCGAATTTATTTGAAAAAATTCCGGCCGGAATCTGAGTACAAACATAACCATAGAAAAATGCTGCCAGAACATTATTTTTAATCGATTCAGACCAATCAAATTCACCGACAATATTATCGACCTCTGTGGATCCGGGACATTTTTCATCAGAAATAAATGAAAATTCTTCCACCATAATTGTTTCATTTTTCGTCGTTGATGTTTTGACCATTGAAACAATGGCCATACTAAGTACAACTTTATATGCATAAACTAGAAAAAAACCAAATGAACTTAAAAAAATGAATATAAAACGTGCCGGTATGAAACGTTGAATAAAACGTCCATTTGGTGATTTTTTCACATTTATTAACATTTTTCAATTTTTTAAATCTTTATTATGATGACAGTTGTGATTTTTCAAATTTTTTTTTACAAAATTTTACAGCATCATATATCCAATAAAATAAAAAAAAATCGGCATGATGATAAGAGATGGCAATGATCGACCGACCGACCGACCAACCACACATATTGATTGAAATCGAAAATGATGGTGGGAATTTGTATGAAATGAAAGAAAAAAAAAAATCTGGCCCATCACAGTCTTTTTTTTGCGATAATAAATTATTCTCTCTAACGCCTAAATGATTTAATAATATCTGATCAATCACGAGTCTATCTATTTATTTATCTATCAATCGATAATCAATGAGATGATTTTTTTTTGTCAAACAAAAATCCTGTTGATAGGTTCAAAGTATAAGTATAAGTATAGGAACGAAGAAATAACCCAAAAAACCATTAATTAATCAAAAATGAAAAGCAGGTTATCATTATTTTAGCTAATCTTCAAAGAAATCAAGAAAGAAGAAAGCGATAAATTTTTTTTTTTTTTTTTTTGACTCATGTGAATACAAGAAATTCAAATTCAAATTCAAATTGATTTCACATCGGCCTAGATGCTGTATTTAGTAACAAGATGATGATGATGATGATAAATGTAAATGTCAACGATGGAGATTTGAATTGAGTATTTTTTTTCTCACAATCATTCTCCATATAGCAAAAATCTACATGAACAAAAAGTAAACGAAAAAAATTCAGTAAAGAGACCTTTTGACGGATCCAAAAAAAAAAATATTGTTATATAATGATGAAGATGATGATGAAATGTTTTTGTTGTTGTTGTTGTTGTTATGATTTGCCATTGATTTGTATTATCATTTATTGAATAAATAAACGTAGGTGGTGATCACTACTATATTAACACCACAAATATTTTGGGTGTGTGTGTGTATCCATTACCATAAAGTAATGATCTTTAGTTCCAACAACAACAACAACAAAAGTTTTTGAACTCCAAAACAAGACAAGCTTGCTATATCTTGCCATTTTTTTTTCATTCATTTGAAAGGTTCGCACAGAGAACACACACACACACACATTTACCTTGACTCTAATTTAAGACATGAGAGAGACTGATTTATATATTTATTTATTTTGTACAACTAGTTGATTAAGACAAGACAAAAAAAATTGTGGTTTACTCAAAATCATCTAAAGGTTGGGAGATTCATACCGAAAAAAAATTATTCAACTTTGTTGTTGATTATAGCTAAATATATCCATCATCATCATCATCCGCATCATATGGAGAGAAATTTATCTAGTTTTTTTTTATTTTCATTTCGTAGATAACAACAACAACAAGTGGTTTGGCCCTTTTTGTGGTCCATTATTACTACATTCAAACAACAACAACAACAACTTTGCTTTGCTTGCTGTAGGAATTAAGTTATAACGGTTTTTTTTAATTTCAATGCTCTCTGGAAAAAAAATCTTTCTCTCTGTCTAAAATAGTCGTGATTATCATCAAGATAAATTTGACAAAATTCATTTATTCAACTTTACCCATGTGTTTGTTCATATGATTATAAAAAAAATCATTTCATTTGATTTGATTTCCAAACATTTCATTCCATTTCCAAAACACACACACATCAAACAAGTCTATAAAATAATAGACAAGTTTATATGATGATAATTATAACCAATTTATACTGAAAAAGTTTATCATTGTGAAACAATTTTACATTTCATCATCATGTGTGTTTGTGTTTACAATTTGTTGATCATGGATGTTTTGTGATTTGTTTTCATCGTCGACGATCGTGGCCACCACCACCACCACCACCACCATCAACAACAACAACATTAGCATAAACACACACCCAATTCTGTGTGCATTTTGATTTTTTTTTTTTAATTTTGATGCAAATGAATTTTGAATACATGAAACAACTATCTTTATTTGTGTGTGTGTGTATTTTGAATTTATCTTCAACACACACACACAAACAAACACCATTTGCCAATTTTATCATCATCAACATAATGATGATAATTGAATAATGTATCTATAGATAGTTGAACATTTTTTTGTTTCGTATAAACAACATATGAAAAATGAGCCAAACAATCAAATAGATTTTTGCCATTGATTTATGTTCACATATTCATATACAAAATAGACTTGCGTGAACATATGGCCAATTGTTTATTGATTAATTATTATTATTATTTTATTTTGTACCTATGATGATTTATCTTCATTGATGTTGCAGTGCATTATTTTGAAAGAAAATGTTTATATTGAAGTGAAATCATTAGATTCTACATATTAAAATTGAAATTCATTCATTGTGTTTACTTTTTTTCATCATTGGAACATTCCAATAATAAAGTTAATCATGTCTAAATCATCATTACGTCGTTTATTATTACCACATAAAATACAATTACCACCACTAACAGATGGTTGGTATGGCCGTGCATCATTGGCTAAAGGTGAACAACCACCACCAGATGATCCAACGATTAATCGATTTAATGTCAATATTTCTGCTGAAGAATTGGATGATTTGAAAAAAAAATTAAAATCAGCTCGATATTTTGAAGCGATTGAAGGAACAAATTTTCGTTATGGTTTCAGTGCTGAAACATTAACACAAATTGTTGATTATTGGCTCAATAAATATGATTGGCGTCGTTGGGAAAATGAACTGAATAAATATGATCAATTTAAAACACAGATCGAAGGATTGGATATCCACTACGTACATATAAGACCAAAAAATCCTAATGGTGTTGTCATTCCATTATTAGCTATACATGGATGGCCAGGTTCATTTTTTGAATATTATAAAACAATACCAATACTTACTGATTCATCATTGGAAGGATTATCATTCGAAGTTGTTATACCATCTATACCTGGTTATGGATTTTCTGAAGCACCACATAAAGAAGGATTTAGTTTCATTTCGGCAGCTCGTGTATTCGTAAAACTAATGAAACGTTTAGGATTGAATCGTTTCCTTGTTCATGGTGGTGATTGGGGATCAATGATCAGTAAAACAATAGCATTAATGTATCCGGAAAATGTTCGTGGTATACATACAACATTCTATACTAGTTCACAGCCACAAGGTGCTGATAATTTTAAATATCTAATGGCAAAATATCTACCATTCATAATGTTTAATAATCGTGAATCACAACGAACAATGTTCAATGATTTGTTACATTATAAATCAAAATGGTTCTATGAATCTGGATATTTTCATTTACATTCAACAAAACCGGAAACAATTGGACCAGCATTAACTGATAGCCCGATAGGATTAGCTGCTTATATATTGGAGAAATTTTCTGCATGGACCGATCCGACCAATGTATTCAAACCGGATGGTGGCATAACAGAAAAATTCACAATGGATGAACTGTTGACCAATGTAATGATATATTGGTTCTCCAAAAACATCACATCAAGTATGCGTTTTTACAAAGAAAATGGCTGTCCAATTATTGGTGTTTATCATAAATATCGTATTGGTGCTGCAAAAGTTTCACCAACAGTTCCGGCTGGTTATGCTGTATTTCCAAAAGAAATGGTTCGTGTACCGGAATTTATTGTTCGAATGGCATTCGAAAATCTTGTTCATTATACAGAATTACCAAGTGGTGGACATTTTGGTGCCTTTGAAGAGCCAAAATTATTGGCTGAAGATTTACGAAAATTTGCATTCACTGTAGTAACAAAAGGCTAATTAATTTGATGATCAATTTTGGAAAAAAAACATGGAATCCATTTATATAAAAATGAATGAATTTTTTTTTCTATAAGTTTTTATTGTTTTGTTAATTTGAATTGTTAAATTTTTCATATGAATAAAATTGATTATAAATCTGTTATTGGATTAAATCTTTTATTTCTATTATTCTGTCTGGTTCGTATGATTGGTGGTGGTGGTGTTGGTGTTGACTGTTGTTTCGTTGTTGTTGGTGGTATTGTTAATTTTCCTCGTTCATGCCAAACATAACGGTAAATATAAATGGCCATTAAAATGATAATAACAATGGTACCGATGATCAGAAATATTGATAAAATAATCATCCACATAGAAATATGACAATGATGGCCATCGAATGGATAATCTTGACAATGAAATGATTCGTAATAAAAGATTACTTCTTCACGTTTCATTAGAAAAGTTCTGTTTGAAAATATAGACAAAACAAAACAAAAAAAAATGAGATTCAACAAATATCAACTCAAATCTCGGCCATTAGATGGCAGTATAGTCATTGTTTTTAAGAAAATAAAATTTTTTTTTCAAAAATATTTTGATTATCATCAAAATGTGAGCATTCGAAAAAAAACAATGAATGATGTCATATGATGATGTACAAATTGATAGAACATATTGATTGATTATCAATGAATAAGATGATATATTCAATATATATATAAAAAAAGAAAATCACAAATCAATCAGGTAATTATTTGATGATCATTAAAAAGAATTATTATTATTATTATTATATTGAATGGTAATAATAAAATAAAATTATTATTCATTATATTATCCTTCCTCCATAGTTTGACGAAAATGTTCACGAGCAATTATCATTCGTTGTATTTCAGCAGTACCTTCATATATTTGAAATATTTTTGCATCCCTCATTAATTTTTCCACTGGATATTCACTGTTATAACCAGCACCACCGAATATTTGTACAGCATCCGATGCACATTTATTTGCTACATCACCGGCTAAACATTTGGCAATAGAAGCCCAATATGTATTACGACGACCATGATCAAATTCATATGCAGCTCTCATATAAGCTAATCTTGCCGTATTAATGCCAATTACCATATCGGATAACTTGAATTGAATTGCCTGATGTCGAGCAATTGGCATACCAAATGTTATTCGTTGTAATGAATATTGTGTTGCTTCATCTAATGCACGTTGTGCCAAACCAACGGCACTACATGCAACCGGTGGTCTTGTTAAATCGAATGCACCCATAGCTACAATAAATCCTTTACCTTCACCACCAACGACATTCTTTTTGGGCACAACAACATTTTCAAATGTAATACCACGTGTATCGGAACATCGTTGACCCATATTCCATTCTTTACGACCAACTGTTAAACCGGGAGTATCAGCATCAACAATAAAACCTGTGAATGCTTCTGATGTTTTTGCTTTTGGATCTGGATTTGTACGAGTAAGTACGAAAAACCAATTTGCATGACCAGAATTTGTGATCCACATTTTTTGACCATCAATTATCCAATCACCATCAGCATTTTTAACTGCTTTTGTTTGAATACCAGCAACATCGGAACCGGCACCTGGTTCTGTAACAGCATATGAACAAACAATCGGTTCGGCAATACAACGGCCAAGATATTCTTTTTTCTGTTCATCATTACCAAACATTATGAGTGGTGCTTGTGGTAGAGCATTATTTCCAATAGCACTTGCTATACCAGTACATCCATATGCTAATTTTTCACCAACAATACAATGAGATAATAATGAATGACCTAAACCACCATATTCCATTGGTATTCCATTTGTCATCAAACCTAATTTATGAGCTTTTTTCACTATATCCCATGGAAATTCACCACTTTTATCATATTTAGCTGCATTTGGTATGATTTCTTCACGGGTAAATTTTTCCACCATTTCAATCATACTTATTTGCTCATCAGTTAATTCAAAACATATTTCGTTTGTTGAATGAATATCACTGAAAAATCGATTCACCGCTGTATTGATAATTGGTTTTGAGGATTTAATCAGATTTTTTGACCATATCTGTCGTACTAGATTAATAGCCATTATTATAATTATTTTTTTCTGGATCGATTCAATTTTATTCAATCAATTTTTGATCAATAATTTTTCGGTGAGTACAATTTTTTTCTCGTTCATAAAAAAACACAAATCAATTATAATGAGATGTGAGCATTATTCTAGGTACAACTGTGTATATGTGTGTGTGTGTTTATCATTTATACATCATTTGACAATAACAGACGATTATCCAATATCCATGTTGATGGCGTATCCATTGGAATCAATCATTACTTTTATATGTATAAAATGTATTAATTTTCCATCATCATCATCATCATCATCAAAATATATTGTATATTGAAAATTGAATTGAAAAACAAAATTGGCTAATCAAACCTATTCATCATCATCATCATCATCATCATGAACTGAAATCATAAAAATAATAATCCATTGAATTTATTCGAATAAGAAATGAAGCGTCAAAAACGATTTGTTTTCTTTTGAACATATAATTTTCGAACAAAAAAAAAAATAAAGTTAATGTAATTGAATGAATCTGGCTACGAAAAACACACACACACACACAAAGACGACAAAGATTTCACATCATCATAATCATTATTATAATAATTTTTTTTTGTCGAGAAAAAAAAACAAATGATGCTTACACTAATTAATAAACACATATAGACACACACACATTGGTTGTTAAATTATGTTGAACAATTATAATTAACACCAAGGACAATTTAGTTTTTGGATTATTGAAGATGGTAAACATTAATGCATAATTTTTAATCTAAATATAGAAAATTTTGAAGCCAAAACACTACTTTCACACACACATACATACATACACAAAGACATAATAACATTTACCTTGAATCAAATGTGTTGGCCATTGGGCAATATTTTTGTACCGAATCGGTTAAACAATCCAACAATGCCCATCGATAACAGCAAGGATTCTTACCATTTAATTGTTCCGGACCTTCGAATTTAGATTGATGTTGATGTTGTTGTTTGTTGTTGTTGATGATGATGATGATATTTTTTTTTTTTGTAATAATTCAAGTTGCCATGATCGAATCCATGTAAGATATGCATCATGTTGACATCGTCTTAATTCATCATTATTGTTCAAAAGAATTTGACATTCATGTCCAACATTTATTGGTAAAATAAAATCATCATTATTATCATCAACACCATCATTATGATGATGATTATTATTGTTGTTGTCCATGTTTTTGACCATTCAATTTTTTTTTTTTTTGACATACCACATTTTTCCATGGTTTATATAATAATCCATTGATTATTATGCTGGTTGCTAATTAGCTGACCAGCAAAATGGCAAAAAAAATTGGAACAAATTTTCAAAAAAAAAAAAAAATAAAAAATAAAAAAATATTTTCCATGTGGGGATATGTGACGGAAATTCCGTTTTTTGAATTTAAAATTTTAATCAAAACAAATAATAATTGTCGATCATTGTCAGGGCATATGTTGTTATGTGAATTGGAAAAATGATTTTCCAAACAATACAATTGGCCATGATTAGTGATGATGATGATGATGAGGATGATGATGATAGTGGATTTAAACAACAAAACAAAACATATAATGAACTTGTGGAATTGCAATAAGCGAAAAAAAAAACATTTACAGATGAAAATGCAATCGAAATGTGAGAAAGAAGGGAAATGGACAATCATCAATATTGACAAATTGATTAATTGATTACATATTATTAGATATTTTGTATATATATATACAAATCCATTTTTGATTTTAAATTGAATTTTGAATTTGAATTTTTTTTTTTTTGTCGGAAAATTTTTGAAAAAAAACACATTATTATGTTGTAAGATGTTGTGGATGTGATTGGATTTTATTTTTTCCTTAACATTTTTTTTTGTTCATTGTCATTTTCTTTTCTTTTTCCTTAACATTCGTTGTTTTGTTGATAATTGAAAATCATTCAGTTATTGACCAGAATATAATCATCATCATTTATTTATTTTTATATATTGACCTTTATGTGATGAAACGGAATGGTAGAAAATTGTTACAGCATCGATTGCATAGATTTTTTTTTCTCGTCGCTTAGATGAGGCTGGGATTCAACTAATCCAATAATGAATAAGAAAATCAATTCATCAATCAATAATTGATCATATATGAATAATTTTTTTCCAACCCTCGAATATATAAAAATAAGACAGCGTTTCAAGTAATATAATCGAATTAATTTGAAAAGATTGCAATTGAATGTAATGCAAAAAAACAAGAAAAAATCATGGATCGAAATCAATGATGATGATGATGATGATAATAATGATCAATCAATTGAAAAATCTGAATCCTGGATAGAATCTTCAACACACATTTCGGCTGTGTGTGTGTGTGTGTGTGTGTGTATGTCTATATAATTCATGTGACTGACCTTGATGTTTATGATTTGTATGCAAAAACATTCATTTATTCATTCATTTATTTTGTTGTTGTTGTTGTTGTTGTTGTTGTATGTGGTTTTTTTCAAATGAATGTTGCAATTGAATTTTAGAAAAATAGAAAAAAAATATTCGTGCTTTTCTGTTTTGTTGTTTTCAAAAAAAAAAAAAAAAAAAATTCTTCTTGCTAATGTTGCTGTTGTTGTTGTTGTTTTTGGTTTGGTTCTTCATCATCATTTTCATCATAATCATTAGCAGAAACAGCAGAGATATCAATTTTTTTTTTTTTGATGAATTTGTTTGTCAATTTAATAAACAAGTGTGACGACAAACAAAATTTTTTTTTGATCGATTGACAGAACAGATCTGGTTGGGTTGGTTAAATGGACGAAAATTTTTAATAAAAGAAAAACGATGACGATGATAATCGATTAAATTGATCTTGATCTTGAAAATCTTCGTGTTTGTGTTGTTGTTGTTGTTTGATGTTAACTAATCGAGTTTTTTTTTTTTTTTTTGATTTCGTCGTTGGCCAGATCATCCAAAGTTTATTGTCCAGTTTTGATGAATTTTTTTTGGTTTATTTCGAATACGAATGAAATTTGGTATTTCGAATACGAATGAAACTGTTATACACACAACTAACAACTAAACGCACTCTTTCTCATTGTCAATGTTTTGTTTGTTGTAAACTTTCAATGCTAATGATAATGATGATGAAAACATGAATTAAAATGGGAAAAAAATGATGATAATGATGATGATCGATTGATTGAAATTTTTTATTCATTACATCACGATTGAATGAATGAAATTTTACAATAACAAAATGAATGAAGACTGAAAAACAAAAAAAAATAAATAAATCTGAATTTTGAATGAATTTAAATATCCGAACATTATTTGAAACATCGATCATCATATTGGTCATCATTATTATTATGATGATGATGATGATGATGTTAACAATTAAAGAATTGTTCCAAAATAGAGGTTTTTTTCTTGGTCACCACCTTGACCACAAGTTTTTTTGTTTTGTTTTGTATGTACATGTATTTACATTTTCATTTCATCATCATCAACTTAATATTTTCTTTTTTTTTTTGATTAAATTATGAATTTAACAAAAAAAAAAAAAATCCAATTGCCCTGTTGGTCCGTACGAAGTAAAAAAAAAAAAAAGTTCTAAAATAGATTTCTTTTACACATCTTTTTTTTTTTATTTTCATTGAATTTTCAAAATGTTCCAAAAGACAATAGTATGAGAAAAAAAATAGTTAGAGATATCGCAAGATGATGATGATGATGATGTTACATCTGTCTCTACAACTGTCATCTGTCTCTGTCTCTGCATGCATAAATGTGAATAATAATTTTTCAGTTTTTTTCTTTCTTCATTAATTCCAATTAAATACCATTGATGATTGAATGGCTGAAGAATTTGTTGTTCGTTGTTGTTGTTGTTTGTTGTTGTTGCCACGAGAAAAAAAAATAAAAAAGATTTATATGAACATACCACGTGTTGAATGACAATGATGATGAAAATGAAAAAACGAGAGAGAATCATCATCAAAATTATTATTTCTTTATTTAGTTGCATATTATCATCATCATCATTTGATGTAATGTCTATAAAATTTTTAATGATTAATAATTCTGTGATTATTTGATTTTTGTTTGTCAAAAAAAAATCAATTGATTGGTTTATTATTATATAATTGTCATCATCATGAGTGTGAAATCAGGATTGCCTTGAATAGAAACGGATGTGCTTTATAATATATGTGTCACATCAGATTAATAAACGTCAACGTCATTGCTGATCGATCGATCGTAATATGTACTAGGATATTATTATTATTATTGGGTGAAACAACATCATGGTTATGGTTTTTCCCAATCAATCAATTGATCATTGTTATTCAATAACAAGGTGATTGTGGCAATAATAAATTATCATCGATCATTGATTGATCAACGAATAAGTGGCATATTGGTACGATGGGTATGAGTGTTTTATCGTTCTTTTTTTTCATCAAAATCCAAAAAATTCTATCCAAATTCCCATTTCATTTTGATTCCATCTACCATTCAGATTTATATATCATCTGTAAAATTTTATGAATTTGTACAAAAAAAAAAGAAAAACATTTTGTTGCCTGTTGTTTGTTTGATTGCCTTTGTATGTGTAAGTGATACATACACACACACATACACACGTATGAATGAATAGTGACGGTCAACAATAAAATTCCGAATGTAAAAATGAAAAATAAACGAGAATATTATCTGTTTTGTTTGTGTTATTTTCGTTTGAATTTTGACGATTGCATCGTCGTCGTCGCCGTCGTGGTCGTCGTCGTGGTCGTCGTCGTAGTAGTAGTAGTCGTCATTTTTATAGTTGATAATAATTTTGAAATTGAATATCGACAAAAATACTATAATGATCATCATCATCATCATCATAATATACCTCCGACAAATGTAAAATAACAACAACAACAACAGCAGCACTACTACTACGATGACGGCGAAGAGGTTGATGAATGAATTATGATCACCATAAATTGATGAGGATGATGATGATGATCATCATCATCATCATGAACACACTACATTAGATACCATTTGATTCTTGCCGCGCCAAGATTTATAATTTTTCTCCGGCTTTTTGATTTGAAATGAATTTTTTTTCTTTAATTTTTGTGATCATCGAAATGAATAAGATGATGATGATAATGATAAGATTTACATTTGTATCATTAGCATGATCGATCTTTAAAAAAAAAGTTTTTGTTGATAAAACAACATTTAAATGTTGAACTAAAATTAGTTCAATTCCACTAAGGTCTATTGGAAATTCATTCCTTATTCTTAATGCTACTACCATTTTCACCAAAAAAAAAAAACAACAACAACAACAACAATCATAATCAACATTGGAATTTTCTGTCTGTTCCTGTTTTCATTCATTTTCAAGGTGAAATCAAAAAAGTAAATCTTTTTTCATTGACCATTTGACCTGACAACAAAAAAACAATAAATAAATAATACTCAACAACTTGATCTACACACACACACATTTGATCTACCCATCGATGACCTTAATAATCACAATCTCTAAAAATCTTTTAAACTTGAATTTTAAAAAAAATTTTTCATCTTTCCCACTTCTCTTCCATAGAAGCAATTTAGTTGAAAGTGAAATTATTATTCATATTTGAATCGTATCATCTAATCGTATTGATTTACCAATTTTCAATTTGACCAACATCTATTACATCATAGTTCAGGAACGACATATCATCATTGTTTTTTATACCTAAGTAAGTTTTTTTTATTGTTAATTTTTTTTTCTCGAAAAAAATTGTCTTTTTTTTATTTCTTTTCGTTTTTGAAATTTTTCAATTAAAATTTTAAATTGTATCTAATGACCAAAATGATGGTATTGGTCACGATTGATAAATTTTTATTTTTATTTTTATTTTGTCAATACATTGTTTTTGAATAATACAAAATGACCACATTGTTTCATAATAATTTATAATTTTTTGTCAATAATCATCAAATCATCATCATTCGATATGAATGAATGGCCACCACCATCACCACCACTGCCAGCAACATCATCATGGTCAACTGTGTTTTTACTTGTCTTGTCTATAAATTTTCAATTTCATCCAAAACGAACAAATTTAAATTTTCATCTTTTTGTTGTTGTTGTTGTTGTTGTTTCAATTTAATCCATCTTGGAATACAAAAAAAAATTGATATATCCATTCACATCCATCAAGATTGATGGCTAAATGGTGATTATTTTTTTTTGCAGATTGATTATGATGAAAGACCAGTGTTTAGTTAACCATTACCTAACCTAAGGATTTATTGATTTTTTTCAAAAATTTTTTTTTACATTTTGTACCAAAATGATTGGTGTTTAATTTTAAAGAGATAGAGAAAGAGAGAGCGATTGAATACATTAATTTCAAACAAATTGCCGGAAATATTTCCAAATAATTTATTATTATCTGTGTTGACGTGATAACGTCAATTATTTTTTTTTTTTTAATGGAAAAATATGGAAAATAAATCGGATGAATAGAAAAAAAACAAATCTTTTACACGATTACATTTTTCAATATTAATACCTTCATATCTGTTTGTATGTTTTGTTTTTTTTTTTTTTTGACAGCTTAAGACATCAGACTCTTTCATTCATTCGTTTATTGTACATTTGCAATTTATTTGTTGCACCTGAAAAAAAAGAGAAAAAATCCTTGACCATCAAAATATCCAACAAAATTTTTTATCGTTTTTTTTGCTCATGTTTATTTCGCTACCTAATTCTATATTCTAAATGGCAACAAACAAAAAAAAAAAAAAACAGAGGCAATAAACACATGACACACACACACACACACAGTGGTTGAATCCTTGAATTATAAATTCTATGAATGAATTTTGTTGTTGTTGTTGTTGTTGTTGCTGTAATCGTCATAAACAACAACAACAACAAAAAAAACAGTTGAAAAAAATATTGAAATTTCAGAATGCCTTAGACAACAAAAAAAATGAAATAATAATCAATCAATCAATAATTGATCGATTGATTAGTTGTGATAGTCTATTGTTGTTGTTGTTGTTGTTGTTTTTGTTACTGTTGTTGTGGTTTCTTCCTAGTTTTTCTTCCCCCTTTTTTTGTCTATATTTCACTCTTTCCACCGGATATGATATAATCATCGATTATATGTTTGTTTGTGCGTTTTTTTTTTGTTGTTGTTGTTGTTGTTGTGACAATTTGTAGATTTTGTTCCATTGAATTTTCATTTATTTCTTTCTAAATCCGGCAAACAATCATTTGCTTGTTGTTTTCCTTTTATTTCTATTGACGTACATTATCAATATATATACTAACTAAATATATGTGTATCAAGTAACAGCAAATGAAAGGGAAGGAAAAAGGATTACAATGTCTCTGGAAAAGGTGGCCATTATCATCACCATCACCCTGTGTGTGTGTGTGTGTGTGTGTTTTTCATGATGATTTCAAATAAATAAATTCTTTGAGAAAAAAAAAGTGAATAAAAAAATAAATTTCAAATAAAATGAGTAATGTTTTTTCCACTGATAATAATCATCATCATCATTTTTTTTTTTACAATAAAGACTCAATCATATTCATCATATTGATGATAGTTCAATTGACAAGGTTATTATCCTTCAAACAACAAACAAGGGTGAAATATGCTTCACTAGCATATAGATTATTATAATGATAATGATGATGATGAATAAACCATTGCAAACCATAATGATCGATTTCAGATATTTTTTTTTTTTATTTTATTTTATTTTTCAAAATTCAAATGGTTATTTGAATGGATCTAATATTTTGTTGAACAATGAGAGAGAAAAACAACAACAACAACAACAACAAAAAAACACTAATAATGATTATCCAAGCTAGTAGTAATGAAAACCCATTTGAAAATTAGATGACATTATTATCGATGACGGTGATGATGATGATGATGATGATGATGATAATGGTTAAAAGGACATTAATCCATTTGAGAAAAAAAAGAAAGAAATGAAATTTCATGAACAAATGAAATCATTTTATATATCGATCATCTTGATGATGATGATGATGTGACCTAGCCCGGCGAATTCAACGATATCAGATTCATCAATAAGATTTTAATTTTTTTTTTTTTTGGTTAAACATTTTAAATTTTTGTTTAATAAAAACCAAGAAAAAAACAGCAGTTTGTTGAACTTTAAATTTTTCCTTTTAATCTGTTTTTTTTCGGATAGAATTCGCAATTGATCAGTTTGTTCAAGCGGATTGAAATTTTTCCCAAATGAGATAATCAAATTTAAACATGGATTTTAAACATCAAACAATCAAAATGAGAAGGATGAGAAAAATGAAATTGTAAAATTTAGAAATCAATTTTCATTTCATTTTCATTTTGTTTGTTTGTTCAATTTAAATATGAACCAAAACGGAAAATTGTTTTTCCTTCGTTTTTGTTGTTGTTGTTCACTGTGATCACGCGTTATCTGTTTTCTGGACATTTGACCATCAAATAAATTTTTGTTTTGTTTTGTTTTGTTTTTCAATATTTTTCTGTTTCTTTCTGGGCTGTCAAGGAATTATAGCTAATTTCGTCATCAAAAATGGAAATTGTCCCAGACAATTTGATCATAATCATCATCATCATCATCATCACTGATGATGACAATGGACATTGGACATCAGTAATGTGTGATCATCATCATTATTATCATCATAGCAATTGACACGGCAATCGACATTTTGTGGACAAAACAAAATAAAACAAAACAAAAAAAATTTCTTGGCCTCATCTAATCATTATTATCATAATGATGATGCAAATGTATAGTGCAGCATTAACGGCAAAAAAAAATAGGAAGGAACAAAGGTTGTTGGAAAAAAAACAAAAATAATTTTTTTTTTTTTTTTCAATTTTTCCAAAACACACACGGCAGCAATCTTTTAAAAGATCAATTTCCATTTGATTGATATCAGTGAGAAAAAACTATCTAAAATGAGTGGTGGTGGGGATGATGGTATTGGACAATAATCATTAATTCTTTGGTCCCAAAACTAGTCAATTGACAATCAATCGATCGAACTAATGATAATATCCAAAATTTGAATATTGAAAAAAAACCAAATAATCTAGTCGAATCCATTTTGAATTAATATGATGATTTTGGATAAAGAGAGAGAGAGAGAGAGAGAAATTTTTTTTTTTTGTTTGCCACCACTATGGTCGACGGGGGTGGTGACCGTAGATAGATGGTGGTGTGAAAAACATATATACCATCCATCCGTCCATACATCCATCCATTCAATGAGACAATGATGATAGTTTTGATGATGATCAGGATAAAATATCCATGAATGAAATTGAATTTGATTTCTCTTTCACTCGCTCTCTCTCTCTCACACACACACACAAACTATTCATGCTTAGACTATGCAACAACAACCACAACGAAATGACAAACAATCAAGACATCATCACATCAAACAAATTGTCGTTCAAAAAAAAAAAAAAAAAAAGAAAAATCATTGATTATCATCCAAATGTGTATGTCTAATATGTATAAAATAATCAATGATGATGATAAAAATAAAGACGAAAGAAATACTGGCTGATTTTTTTTCATCATTTTTCTATCGGTCTTTTGATTGATTGATTATTCGATATCTGAATGAATGAATGAATGAATTCAAATAATCCATATAATTGGGCTTATGTTTCAAACCAAAAAATTTTTTTTTTTCTTTTCTATTTCTGTGATTTCTGATGACAATTTTTTCCAATTTTTTTTCGTATCGGTTTCAATTTGTCCGATATAAATTTGATTTTATTGTGTCACACCCACCCACCACTACACATTCACAGTTGTTAATTGAATATTTGCTTCTTCATCATCATCATCACCATGATCATCATTATCACACTTGTTGATTCATTGATTAATTTTATAATATAATTTAATTAAGATGATGATAATAATCATGATGCGTTAATTTTTTTTTTTTGTTTCATTTTTTATTTTATCAAATATTTGTGTGTGTTTGCGTGTTTATTTGCGCCATACTAGTGTGATATAAACCAAATATATTTATATTCAAGTGTCGATTTTTCTTCTTCTTCTTCTTTTCTTCTGTATCAAACAAAATGATGGTGTAAAGAAACAAATAAACGAAAAAAAATTCGTAAAATTTGCTTTTATTGATGTGATAATAAATGATGCCTACCAACACATATTATGCAGTATAGTTTGTATGTGTGTGTGTGTGTGTGTGTTTTGCGATAATTCGACGAGTACATCATTGAAAAATTAAAATTTATCGAATGATACTGTGGAGGATACCGGGGAGGATTGAATTCTTTGAATTGAATACGACATTTGATACGGTCATTGTGTGTGTGTATGCATGAAAATTTTTTTGTTTCAAACCGTTTGAAAATTTCATTTTTTTTCTCGTTTTAAATTCTTTATTTAGCCTGTATCAAGAAATCAATACGCTCACATCATCATCATCTTCATCAGAATTTTGATGTAATTTTTTGTTTTGTTTTTCTAAATTCATCCGATTCTTTTAAAGAATATTCTTTATTCGGAAAACGAAAATGAATCTCAAAAAAATTCTATGTCCAATTTCATCATCGTCATCATCATTATCATTAAATAAGCATTTCCTGTTGGCCATTTTTATTCTTTTATCATCATCATCATTATTGTTGCTAAGTCATTGTCAATCAATCAATAATTATGCAAGACATTATAGAAGATTTAAACATGATACAGAACCACCACCACCACCACCATCATCATCATCACCATTAACAATTGATTCAACAGATTCTGGATTTCCAAAAATTGATCCCAAAGAATTGCTACAAGTAAAAGTGATTAATAAATCTGTGAATTATTATAAAACACAATTATTACGTGTACGTACTAGTCTACAAGATCAATTGAAAGAATTCATAAATGGATTGAAAGCAATACGTGATCAAGCTCAATTTGGACCAGAACTTCAAGAAAAAATGAATGAAACATTTTTGCAATTCATTCAAGATCTAGAAATTTCACCATATTGTCTGGCATCATTTAATCATCTATTATTAGAGATGAAAGAACGACGATTATGGCCATTAAAATGTATGTAGAATATATATGGGATTGATATTATGATATGAAAAATAAATTGTTCATTTTTATTCAATAGTTATCGATGCTATGGAATTTTTACCATCTGGTTTATTGGAAGGTGTCATGTCAATGTTTGGTGTCTATGAAGAATGTATTAATATTGAATCACCAATGGTTAAATGGAATGATATACGTGGTAAATATTGTCTAGCCAAAGTTCATTTACCATTTTTGAATCCATTATTTCCCGAATTCGATGTTCATGATGATAATGATTTGAGCCGGAATCATGAATTAAAAAGCATTAAAGACCTTTATACATATCATGGTCGAAAATCATTATATAATCGTATAAATCGTGATTTTGATCATTCCAATAATAAATTTAAAATATTACAAATGCTCAATATGTTCAACGGTTCATATTTACGAATCGGACTTTGTTTTCCATCCACATGTAGTTCATTTGAATTGGAACGTGCCATCAATAAATGTAAGTAAATGATGTGTATACGAACTTTGAACTTTTAAATCAAACACACACAGACATTTAAGATCTTTAGATGATCAAATGATGATCATAATTATCATTATTATCATTGAATGTATCATTAAATCAAGGGAGGAGAGAATAAAAAAGCAAAATAGAATAGAATAGTTCAATTTGTTTTCAATTCGAATATTGCACAAGGGCAACAATAACATTGTATTTGAATAGATTTTTCATTTAGAATTTACAGACTGGAATTTTGATAAAATGAAAACTGAAAAAAAATGATGATGATGATTTTTATTTATTGCAAACGATGAAAATTATCTTGACAACAAAGGTCATCATCATCAACAATTATCGTTCGGTATTTGGAGGTAGATTCAACATTGATAGTCAAACAATGTAATAATAGAATGTGTGTGTGTGTTTTTGAAAGACAACAGGCAAATAATTTCTACTTTGGTTCAATCTTCAATTTTTTTTTGTTTTGATCGTAAATTATTCTGGCCATAAGATGAGAAAAAGAAAAAAAAATTCACACAACTGATTCCATGGCCATTTGAATCGAACATTCATAAGCTATATTCGATCATCATTATCATCACTCGATACCGTTTGTTTGATCAAAATCAAATTAAATTCTAAACGGTATATACATGGATGTGTGTGTGTATGGTCCATTGTCATATTTCTATGTATATACAGATGGATAGAAAATAAAATGGCCAATCATCTTCATCATCATCATCATCGAATATCATTGAATGCTAGAATGTGTTTGTGTGTGTGTGTGATTTTTTTCATGCTTTTTTTTCTCTAGAAAAATTTGTTGTTTAAAATTTAAATACAAACAACAATCATAACCATCATTTGGATGATGATGATGATGATGATGATCATGGCCATTACGATTATTGGTTATTAGAGAGAAAGGAAACATTATTATTCCTTTCCCAAGTGGAAAGGTTCCACACACCATTAACATTGCAATCATATATGATAGAAATCCCGGCATTTTTTTTTTTTCCTTTTTCAATTCTCATAAACAAACTTTCTGAAACATCGAATGAATCGAATAAAATTACTTATCATCATCATATCTATCATAAAAAAAAAATAGTTTTACAACCAATAAGCAATCCGATACGTATCGAAATTGAAGAAGAATGTTCATATAAAGGCCAAGAAATTGAATTGGATAATCACCAACGTATGGCAATGTAAGTAATATTTTTATTTTTGACTTGATCTTGACCATCTTGATATTTTTTGTATTTTTTTTTTTTTGAATGAATGGATGATGATCATAATTTTTTTTGACCATGATGATAATCAAAAATGTGAACACAATATAATTTGATGTGCATTTTTGTTCTATCTATGGATAATTGAATAGTGAAAACTGTCAGTACTTTTTTTTCGCAAATAAAATCAATAATGGCAATTATGTGTAGTGAAAAAATGTGAAAAAATTTTGTTTGTCTATCAAAGAATTATTTTCATCAATTCTTGAATTTCTTTTTTATTTGTACAGATTCATTTTAGTTGGCCTTTGTCTATTGGTTGGTGCTTGTACTGGATTTGAATATTATTTACGTAATTTTCGTGATCCAAATGAAATAAATAAAAATCAATACAATTCATATCTGTTAACATTTTCGGCATTATCAAATACACGATATTTACTTGGACATGCGGATATGGCCACAGAAGATGAAAAACGTTTATGTTCAATTGATTCAATTACATTGTTTTTTGTCATTATGGAATTCGTTGGACGTTCATATGTATTGCCAATATTCTATGGAATGATCAATATTAAACGTGCATTGAATGGATTGACTGATCAATATTTTACGGCTAAAAAATTTTTCTTCATACGTGGTAGTTCATTTGCTGTCTGTACATATGTATTGGCTAGGTTTGTCATTTCATACGAGAAAAAAAAATATCGATTAAATTGATTAAATTGTTTGTTTTTTTTTCTCATCAAAATTATTATCTAGTTCAATCATATTGGCATACAATATCTGTGGACGAAAATCACAAATCAAACCATCCATATTGAATTATGTAAAATTCATATTGAATCGATATCTAAGCATAATACGTAGATTAATTGGACCAATATTATTAATATATTTAATGCCATTGTTTGGTGATGGACCAACATGGCATTATTTTTCACCACTTTATGTTGAACCATGTAAACATAACCTTTGGAAGACATTATTATTGATTAATAATTTTGAAAGTTCATTCGATAAAGTGGTATGTAATCATCATCATCATCATCATCATCATGATTATAATTCGAATAGATATTTTAAGATTTTGTTTAATTGCTTTATGATGATGATGATTATGATGATGATAATGATAATGATTGATAATTACTTGAACTACTATTTAATTCATATTCTCTTAATTTTTTTTTCATTTTAGTGTCTAATTCCAAGCACTGTATTCAGTGCTCTTTTCTATATGAGCCTTGCAGCTCCATTCATATTATATACGTTAAATCATAAATATTTTGGCTACATCGTTTTCATTATGTTGATCATCCTGGGAACAATAATTAGTGTGATACCAAAAATTGTTTACAATTTACCCGTTACTCCATATGAAATATCATCAATCTCATCAGTGGCTGAAGCAAAACTTTCATTCATCCATTACTATTCGTCAACTGATCAATTGATTGTTGTATTTGCCATCGGTTTATTTGTTGGCTATCTAATTCGATGTAAACCGAAAATTAATCTGGGAAAACGAGCAGCCAATATTGCCCTATGGATAGGCATGTTAGCATTACCAATAATCTCTTCACAATGGAATGATACATTTAAACCGTTGAAAGGAAATTTCTCACAATTTAATTTCATATCATGGTTTTTATTAAGTAAAATTATGTGGTGTTTTGGATTCGGTTGGATCATTTATACTTGTAATACCGGAAGAGCAAGTATGTTTTTTGGATTTTATTTTTAATGTTTTTTTTTTGAAAATTTACTTGATAATTTTTTTGTTGAAATCCATTCAATATATAGATACATTTAATCAGGCAATAACAATGTCATTGATACGACCATTGGGAAAATTGGCATTCGGTGCCTATCTAAATCATATAACAATATTAAGCTTTAGACAGTTGACCAAAAAACAAACATCACCATTAACTAACGTTGAAATTGTAAGTGAAAAATGGATTTTTGTTTGTTTTCATCTTAACAATATATTTATTTCCATCCATTTCTAGTTGACCAATGATATATCCGACATTGTTATCGCATTCACCGTTGCCTATATATTCTACATATTGTTTGAACGTCCATTTTATTATTGGATCAAAATGATTCTCAATATTGAAAATGATACCAATAATGATGAACAACAGACGGCTGTTAAAAGATTTTCAATGTCTGATCTCGAAAATGGTAAATTACATGGTGATCATGGTGAATTCGATCTAAAACCATTGAATGATAGTAATTATTCAAGTCGATTATAATAATTTATTCATCAACTATTTTTTTTTTTAAATTCGTCAAATTCATTTTCTCACCTATGGATAATATGTATGTGTGTGTGTGTATGTGTGACATTATTTCTCACTCTCAATTTTTTTTCTATGGCCAAGTACAACAATCTCAATAATTTTAATCAACAAGTCAATAACAAAAAAACAATCAACGAACGAAAGACAATTGTGCATTTAATCATCAATCAATCAATCAATTATTATTATTTTGCTAAATTATAATTGGATTTTCATTTTACCCCCATACACGCACAATTTTTTTTCGAAGAAAAAAATTTTATTTATGTAATTTTATTAAAATTTTTTCCGATTTAAATTCTTTGATGAATTCAAAAAACTTTTCATGCTAATGTGTATGTGTGTGTGTGCGTGTACATAGTTGACAATTTTAATTTTAAAACTGGAAATGAATCATTCCAGCGATGAGAATTCATTTAAATCATTGCCATCATCGAATGATTCACAACAACAACAACAACAACAACAACAAGAACAACAAACAACAACAACAACAATCAACAACAGGTTTCGATGGTGTCGTTCGACAAGATCGTCAACGTCGTAAACAAAATTTTGGACCAAATACTAAACAAATTCGAAAACCAAATAATATTCTAATCGATATATATGGTGTAATTGCACCATGGACATTTGTAAATCAATTAAAAACACATGCAAAAGAAAATATCGATGATTATGTAAGAGAAAATTGGAATAGTAAATTAATGCGAACAATTGCCAGTAGAATGTGGGAACAATTCAAGATTGATCGTAAAGCTGGTATAAAAGTACCAGATATTCAGGAACCAAATGATGGTAATAAACAAGATGATAGAAATGTAATTGATTCGGCTATTTGTTGTATACGATGGATGTTAGAAACAAAATATCCAACATTGAAAACACAAATGGAAAAACTTTGTACTGATCTATGGTCACATTCGTTTGAAACGGGTAAATTAAAAGCGGATGTTTATCCAGACATAATGGATGCATTCCATTATTGGCGTTTCGAAGAATTTATCAAGATTTATTCATATGCTTCTGGACCGGTAGAAGGACAGCGACAATTTTTACGTTCAACATCGGTCGGTGATTTAAATCGTTACATTGCAAATGGATTGAATTCAAGTGGTGGTTATAAATTTGATCCAAATAAATACCGTAGTCTATGTGCAGCATTACGAGAACCGAAACCGGATAATCTATTATACATTACTGATGATCCACGTAAAGCACGTGCAGCTGAAACAGTAGGAATTAGAACAATTGTGGTGAATAGAACCGGTTCAGATACAGGTAAATATGATCCAAAAGAAACACAAGCTTTAACCGTCGTAAATACATTGGCTGATATTGAATTTATCAACGATCCAAATGCATCCATACAATGTTGTTGATATTGATAAACAGAAATCCAAACAAGCAGCTTTTTTTTGCTATATGACAACAATAATTATTAATGAAATTTCAAAAAAAACTATGATGCAAAAAAATATTTAAAAATTAAAATGATTAAAATTGTTTATATGTTTTGTTGGTTTTGATTTCTGATAATTCGATACAGCTGTATCTATCCCATGTGGTGTACTATAAATATTTTCCGATAATAAATTAGTTGCAGTTGTAAAATCAATGACTTCAGGAATTTGTTGTGAATTACCAAAAATTGGAACCAAATGATGATCATGATTATGATCCCAATGATGATGATGTGGAGAATGAATTGTATGTGTAGGATTGAATTCAATCGGTGCATAAACAGGTAATTTTGTCAAATGGCTCATTTCCATATGAGGTGTTGATGATGATGCGGCTGCTAAAAATGGATTATAATCCATAGGTAGTTGATTAAAATGATTATATGAATGATAATATGGACGTTTATGTGGCAGATAAGAATGATGATACTGACGTGGACGATGTTGGTGGTTATAATGATGATGTTGATTAATGAAATGTTGGAATGGATTCGGATTTTCATTTGTAGTAACCGATGATGGTGATGATAATGATAATGATGAACTATATGGATTCATCGGCGATGATGTGGACATTTTCGTTGCTTTAGGATTTGTTGTTGAAGCTATTGTATGACGAAATTCACTAACAGGTTGTATTTCCTGTACGTAAACACGATATGGTACAATAATCTCTTTAAAATCCTGAAAAATGGGTTTATGTACAATATGTTCACGATAATGTGGTGGTTCATGTGTCTCAAAATATTGTACACTAGATGATTGTGGAGATGATTTATGTGTAGTTTTCGTTATAACAGGTGATAATTTTGTTTTGAAATTGAATACGATTGGCAATACAGGTTGACTACTTGGCAATTCAATAACACTTGGTTTATATGGTTCATTTTTATTATAATCTAATTTGCTTACAATACTGGATGATTGTGGTTGATTAGAATCACGAACAACATGTACACGTGCACCAACCGGTACAATTAATGATTTTTCTGGTGAATGATATTCATCGGTGAATTCATTTTTTAGACCATTAAAATCCATTTGATTATCTGTTTCTTGTTGTTTTTTAGGAAACGATGATAGTGATGGCGAATCTTGTTGAATATTGGGCATATAAACATCAGGTATTTTACTTGGACTAACTAATTTCGGTGTCAAATATCTTGTTGGATGTTGAATACTTTTTAACATTTTGACATTTGATTCATTTTGTAAGGAATTGTTATTATAATCATCATCCAAGTATTGTAATGGATCAATATTACTACTACTACTGGATTGTTGTTGTTGTTGTTGTTGATAATGACTATTATGATTACGATTAAAATCGATTGAATTGAATTCGTTGAGAAAATCTTCATTGAGATTTTTGAAAAAATTGGCAAACGGATTCTCTTGTGATTGTTCCTTATGCTGCTGCTGCTGAAGCTGTGGTTGACTTTTTTGATCCAGATTATTATTTTTTTTCACATCAATATTAAAGCCATCATTATTATCATTCGTAGTTTTCATTGTATCCTGTCTAAAATGTTGATAGCTTTCATCTTGTGAAAGTTTTTTATAATAATCATTATCAACAACAACATCATCATCATGATTATTATGATCACTATGATGATGATTATTATTACTGGTCAATCGGATTTCATTATTATCTTCTATTATAACCTGTACAGATGGCCAATGATGATTGGAATAATAATCAGATGATTGTTGATTGTTATCATTATGTTGTTGTTGTTGTTGTTGTTGATGATGATAATAATGATGGAATGGTTTAGAATATGGTGATGATAATGATGGTTGTGATGACAGTTCCGACATTAATTTATGATCACTACTAATCAATTGTGGTGACCATTTTCCACTGGAATTATTATTATGAATACTAATTATAGTTTTATCCAATTGTTGATTATTTGAAACATTATTATTATTATCTGGATTATAATTTTTTGATTCTTCAATATCAAGATCTTTATTCACAGGATTTTTCATTGTTGTTGTTGTTGTTGTTGTTGTCATCGTTGTAGGAGTAGTAGTAGATGTCGATGTTTCCGACATTGGATAAATAGATGTCGATAAGGGCGTAGTAAAATTTTCATTATTATCGATTATATAATAATTACTATTGTCTTCATAACGATGATGATTATTATGATTAGATTCAGTTGTTGTATTAATCAATGATGATGATGATGATGATGATGATGATAATATTGATGTAGATGTTGTTTGCAAAATAATGGCTGCAAATAGCAGCAACATAAATTTGTATGAAATTTTCATTTTTAATGACTAGAATGGATAATAAAAAAGAAAGAATTAATAAAAAAAAAATCAATTGAATATATCCAAAGTTGTAGAAGAAATTTCAATCAATGTATCAAGAGAGAATTTGAAACTTTTCATCGTAAACCAATGTACACACACACACACACACCACCATTTGGAACGGCAATGAAGCAATATTTGCAAACTCAATTCGCACATAATATACAAATATTGTTGATTGTTGATTTTATTGCGTTCACTATATAGACAAAAAACATTTTTAAACCTAAGTGTTAAAATAAATGTTCCGATACCAGCGTGTGTGTGTGTGTGTGTGTGTGTAACATAAATGAAATTGAATTAATTTTAACTACTTGTTATTGTTAATATGACTATTTTGAAAACAAACATCTAAAAACAAACAAACAAACAAACAGTCAAATTAAACTTGCCGCTTTTCTAATACGTGTTTGTGTGTGTGTGTGTGTGGTATCTGTTTTCGGATAATTAATTTATCTGGAAAAAAATTTTTGTTTTGTTTTTTTCGGTAATTTTTTTTTTTTTTGGGTTGGGAAACAAAATGAAAGAATGGAAAAAAAAGTTCATTACTAATTGATCATCATTAGATACACATAGCTACACACACACACACACACATTTTGTAGAAATGCAGGTGTCTAAATGTTGTCAAGTTATTATTATTATTATTATTATTATCACATTACATTTGCACCTAAACATTCAATTCAATTGAATAATAATGGAAAAAAAACACATAAATCATTCATCCATTTATATAATGGACAATGGTAATAATGATCCAGATTTTTTTTGTTTTGTTTTTTCTTTTAATCTATTCCAAGTATGTAATATTACATAATCACGAAAAATTTTTGTTTTTTTTTCACATTTACAACTACAGTCAATAGACTCGACCTTCAAATTATTATTATTATTATTATTGGAATGAAATCATGTTTCAGATCAAAATCAGATCAAGTCAAGTGTCATTTAGAAATTATTACAAATGATTGATTTTGAATTGATGAATGCAACAGAATTTTATGAATAATCTTAGTGTGATGTACTGTTTCTATTTCCATTGTTTGTATGGATGATTAAAGGGATTTTTTTTCTTCAATTTTTGAAAAAAAAGAGTAGAAAGAAACAGAAAAAAAACAATTACGACTGAATTTTGTGTCCATTTTCATTTGGTATATGATAATAATAATAATAATGTTAGTTTTTTTGGACCAAAGATTCAAAGTTTCCGTACATGACACAGGTACAGAACTGAAAAAAAAATTTGAATAAAAATTTCCAGTAAATAACTAATGAGGAATAATAAAAATTAGAAACAAAAAAAAAACATAAAATTGATTTTGGTGAACATTATTTCTCTAACATAAATGCAAGTTATAAGTTAATTTTTTATTTTCATATATAAAACTCATTAGTTATGGCCAATAATCATTTTTTTCATTTCATCAGTCAAGCAGAGGCAGACACACACACACACACACACACACACACACACAGTAACAGTCGGTCACATACAGGCACTTGACCAACAAAATGAAAAACAAAAACAATAACGGAAAACAACTGAAAAAAAAATTGTCCAGAAAAAAATAAATAAAGAAGAAATTTTCAACTATAATTATTGACGAGATTCGAAAATAATAATAATAATAATAAAGTCATTTTTTCTCTCTAATTTTTGTTTTTGTTTTTGTTTTTTTACTGACAACAAAAAAAATAATAATAATTTGAATTTGATCCCGGAACTTTGAATGAATTTTTTTCGTTGTTGTTGTTGTTGTTGTTGTGTGCGAGCGCGAAAATGAATCCAAAAACAGAAACAGAAATCATTTTAATTTACCTTTTTTTTCCACTTTCACTTTCACGTTCAATTTATTTTATCGGGATTTTTTTTTCTAAATGATGATGATGATGATGATAATGAACGAATGGATAAATTGAATGGGAAACATATACGACAAGTAAATGGAAATATAAATGCCAAACACGTGCAACAATAGAGATTTGAGTTAGTATTTCATTATTCACACACACACACACAAAACACAGACTTGGGGCTGGTTTGATAATGATGATGATGATGAACATAAAAAACGATGTTATTCATAAAATGAAAAATTATTACGAATTATGGTAATATGGAAAAAATTAACATTTTATTTATCCATGATGATGACGATCTTGATCATCATCATCATCATCATCATCAATCCTTGAATCATTGAATAATATGGATGTATCATTATAGGTTAACATTATGATCATCATCATCCAAATATTCAGTGTTAAGGTCATAAATTAGAATTATGATGAGGATGATGATTATGTGATGTTTTCATTTTGTTCAATGATGAAAATTAACGGATAATAACAACAAAAAATAATAAAGACATTATATGGATGTGTTTCATGTGTGTTCGTTTGATGTAGAAATATGGATCGTTGAATGAAATGAAATGTGAAAGTGGCATTCGCCTACAAAATGATTTACAATTTGTATTTTTTTAGTGCGAAAAAAAAAACAAATTTTCTACTATATACAACAGGTTCATCACAAAAGTTCATCGACAATGAACAGAATAATACAACATGATGATATCAAAAATAAACAAACAGAAAAAAATGAATCGATTGATATATAATCAATCAATGATGAAGATGATGATGTTTGATTGATCAATATTGAAGATTTGTTTGATAATGAAGATTTTTTTTTCTGCAAAAATGTGAAAAAACAACAACAACAACAAAAAAAACTAGATGATCGAACAAGAAGAAAATCTCAAATGAATGAATTGAATATAAAAATCCAATCAATTGTCAACGATCGATTTAGACAGACAGACAGACAAATCAAATGATTGTATAGTTGTTAAGTAATGATGATTATTTTATTATTATTATTTGACAATGCAAACATATTATAATGATGATGATGATGATGATTAAAATAATCATAACTTGTTTCAAACAAAACTATCAATCTAAAAGAAGAAATATCACATAAGTTGAAAACAATAACAATAACAATAACAACAACAAAATGGATCGAAATTTGAAAAACTTGAAAAAAAAATACTACAACAACCGCCAACAACGAAATCAAAGAGAATGGAATGCCAAATGAATTGTGAATTTTTTGTCGTTGTTGTTGTTGTTGTTGTTGTTCACCAAGAAATAAATAGAGAGAGAGAGAGAGAGTGATGAATGATGAATGAGAGAGAAACCGAATCAATGTTTGGTGTGACATATAGAAAAACCAAAAACCGACTATCGAATAATAAACAAAACAAAACAAAACAAAAAAAAAAGTCAACAAGTTTGGCCTCCGATAAATGATGTGTGTGTGTGTGAGTGCTAGTATTTTTACGGAAAAAGAGAGAAAAATGTTTCTCCTTTTGTATTAATAAACGAAAAAAAAATTAATATCTGAATAAATATGGGAAGAAAATGGATTTTTTTATTTGAAAAAAAACGACAATGAATTTGTTGAATTTTGTTAAAATGTATAAAACTGTGTGTGTGTGTGTGACATTTTTTTCTGGAAAATTTTTTTTTCATATCAAAAAAAAATGACTGACTGAATGAAGACAATCCATTTAGCAATGGTTAAATGCATTGAATTGAATTGAAATATGAATATTATGAGAAATATGTGATCTTTGCATGCGTCAATTGGAAAGCTTTGTTTTCTAATAGAAAAAAAAAGTTTTTTTATCAATTTTTTTTCCATTTAACATAACGGATATTATTATTTGTCCGGAATTTTATTTTATTTTATTTTTTTTTCGGTCGTGGTCACCATAATGATCAAGATGAATGAACTCAGGATTTATATATATTCAAATGGATCAAACAATCTATATGTTAATATACTGTGTTGAAAAAAAATGCCTTGACCACGACAAAATTTTGTAATAATTTGTATTTGTAAAATTGGATCAAAAGTTTTGTCATAAACGTACCAAGAGTGAATATAAATGTTCTGTATTGCTACACACACACACACAAACACACAAGCAACACGTAATCAACGCTTATTATTAATTTGTTTTTGTTTTGTTTTAATTTTCATTTTCATTTTTTTTATTCAGTTGAACGTAACGAAAGAAAGAAGAAAAAAAAATATAATGATAAATGGCAGATTAGCCAAAATCGTTTAGCAATTTGAACAAAAAATGAAACAATAAATTCAAATGAAACAAAACAAAACAAAAAAAAATCCTATTGGCTAACACAATATATAATATATTGGCATTTTTGTCCATTTTTTTCATCATTATTCTCAGGTACATACATTCATTGTTGCATGTTCCATTTGATAAATTTTGAAATTGTCACCTATGTGAATAGACCCTGAATAAAAATGAAAAATGGTAATGTATTGCCATTTATAATATCAAAAAAGGTGTTTAATTGGCTAAATTGGATATGTATGAAGAATAAAACAAAGCATCACACACACACATAAACCATTTTGGTCTGAATCATCATCAAAACCATTATCATCATGGTGAAAGCCATCATTTCATTTGATAATTCAATTCAATAAGAAAAAAATTCAATTTATGGCCACTATTGTTCAATCGTTTATGTGCATAATATGATAATAATAATGATTTTATATATGGATCCATAAACAATAACCGCAATGAATGAATGTGAAATGAGCTTGAAAAAAAAATTTCTATTCACAATACCACAAAGAAGTGTGAAGAGACAAAAAAAAATTTCCAATTCGATCGATTGATTATCGATCAATAGATATTCACCACACATATATTCAATAATAATGATAATAATTTTTTTCATTTTTTTTATGCATTAAATCATAACCAACAAAAAAAAACAATGTTCATCAAGCGACAGTTTGTTGAATATATAGTCAATGAGAAGAAAAAAAATGGTTATATAATTGTAGCACAATTCACTCCAATTTCCTTTGTTTATATTGGCCAAAATTATTATTATGATGATGACGTGATATGGAACCATTGGCCATATATCAATAAGAAACAAAAAGAACAAGGACAAAGGCAATATTAAAATGAATATAGAAAACAAGTGTTTTTTTTGTATTCAATGGGTTGATATAAAAAGATAGATAGATAGGTCGTCATGAATTTATGATTCAATTTGAATTTGAAATGAAACTGGTAACTGGTGATAAGGCCATTGAACACTGAGGCAAAAAAAAAAAAAAACAAAACAAAACATTACGGGACGTTTATGACTGCTATGAGTATGAAAGCGAAATCTCATATCGGTTATTATTACATATTTTTTTTTCTCATTTCATAAAATTATCGTTAATTTATTTTTTCTATTGTTTTTTTTTGTTGTTGTTTCAAACAACTGCCTTTTGCCATTATCATCATCATCATCATCATCATCATTGTGTTTGGACCTTTATGACAATTGAATCGGCAATATTTTTTTTTTTTTTTTGTATTTGCTTCGATCCATCATCATCATTATCATTCACTTAAATTATTATGAATCGATCAATTGACACATACACACACACAAAGGAATGAATTGTCTCGTATTGAATCGGTTTCGAATGATTGGTGATTGAGGTTGTGTTGATTTTTGGATCAAAAAAAAAATGTAACAAATTCAATCTTGAATCAATAGTTATTGTATTGAATTGAATTTTTTTTTTTATTTTCATCAGTTGGTTAATCGATTTATGCTCGAATGAATTTGTCAACGACAAACAACAACAATTGTTTGAATTGAAATGAACAAGATGATTCACATAATTCTTAATGAGATATGATTGTGAGGATCATTGATTATTACTTGATTATGATCGATACAGTACAGTTAACAGTTTTTCTGACAAAATTCAGTGATAGAATTGGAAAAATTTGAGTTGACTTGCCATGAGTGGATAGAAGGAAATAATTTGAAACAAAATTTTTTTTACCGGAATTTCTGAAGGTAAAATGAAATCTCTTTCCATAGATTGTTGTCATTTTTTTTTCTATCCACAATTAGTTAATTGATTTCCGAATCAAGTATCATATTCAACGTACAGAAACAAACAAAAATCATCATCATTAATAATAATTATTGAACAATTTATTTTGTATATAAAACATTTTAACAATAATTTGATAGAAATACATTCACACACAAACAGGATAAGCCCATAAGTCAAAATCTGTTTCAAAAAAAAAAAAATCAAATCAATCAATCAGTCAATCAATCAATCAATAGGGCAAACTAATAAGCTATTTTCAATGAATAATCTCACAAATATGAATACCACACATTATTATCATTTATTTTGCTAGTCAAAATCTTATAATTTTTTTTTTTTTTTGAAAATTTTCAATGTAAATATATGAACAATGTAAAAACAAGTCATTATATTGGATAACCGAAAGAAAAAATTGGATCAAATCCAAATTTGATTGTTTTTCATAACCAAAATGGAACAAAAAAATTCGATTTCAATATGAAAACAAACAAACCGATAACTAACTATTGGTCAAACGATTATTTTCCAATCAAATCAATCAATATTCAGTGAAAAAAAAATCGCCAACAATAATGAGAAGAAAAATGTCTTGGATCTTGGATAAATTTCATTTTGTTATTCTATACAGGAATCAAATACATTGATCTGATGATAATTGAGTAATTTTAAACAAATTAAATCATTCATATTCATATTTAGTTATATGAAATATTTTGCCACATGTAAATCCATTACGATTATTAGTCATTGTCTGTTTTGGATTTATTTTGATTTCAAAAATTGTTCTAAAAAAATTATCGATAATCACTATAATCAAACTAGATCAATTACTTGATCATTGTAAACATTTTCAAGTAATTCGTTCTTATTTTCATCCATATAATTTTACTATATAAATATATCCGATCCGATGTATGTATTACATCAACGACAATAACACATGATATAAATGGAACAAAAATAAAAATTGAAAAGAAATTTTCTTACCCATGATCATTGTCCGGATCGTATGAAAACAAAAATTCGGTTCGGATTGTTTGTTTCCATGAATAGATTGATGTCGTTAGTAGAGGCCAAAAATTAGTACTTTGAAAAATGCATTAAAAATTTAAAGAATCGTTATTGGGCGATGTTTCTAAATTGAGATCTCCAAATGAATGAATGATGCCCATGGCGGTTTTTTTGTTGTTCATTCCATTAGTCTGTTGTTGATTTCATCGTTTTTTTTTGTCATCAACCAAAGATATTGATTCGAGTTTGAATACATTAACCATGTTCATGTTGTCTCTATCGATATAATTTAACTCATTGACTGCCATATGGTATGAGTTTTTACGTCACTGGTCTATGGGTAGCGACTTTTTTTTTACTAATGGTGGTAGCCAATAAGTTAAATAACTATAATCAATTAGACCGTAAAGAATTGTGGCCATTTATAGCCTTTTCGAAGACGAAAAAAAAACATTCAAATTTTAATGCAACGGTAATGATGAGTTGTTGTTGTTGATGATGATGATGATGATGATGAATGGCGACATTTTCGCCGTCATTATCTTATCATATCATGGTTATGGTTTGTTCTTTTTGACATAACATGACATTTTATATGAAATTAACTGTCAGGATTTGTCAATTTTTTGATTCTATTTCCCATACATTTTGTCATTGTTACTACATAAAAATATGATAAAAAAATGAAATTGGTTCTAACTTACCAATCAAAGAAAAAAAAATGTTCACATGAATAATAAAATGATTACTAGTTTTGAACATTTGTGAATCGGAAATTCATTGCAAACTCCAACTGATCCCAATTTTTTATGAATTCGAATGAATCAATTTCCTGAACAAAAAAAAATATACGTAACGTCTTCTATGAACAATAATTTTTCTCTTTTTGTTTTTGTTTGTTGAGCTGTATTTTTTTTCTTTTGTTTCGAAAATTCATTCAAGTTATATTTTGATTTGTAGAATTTTTTTGAAATTTCATCACTTTATGACCGAAATTTATCATCATCATCATAATGGATGACGAAGATGTATTGAAAATGTTAATCGAAGATGGCTATGATGATGATGATGATATAAATTTTGAAATCGATTCCGAAGCCGAAAGAAGATTACTTGAAGGTGATACAATTAGTTCTGTTAATTCATCTCCAACCACTGAAATTGATAAAGATATAAAATGTGAAAAAAATTCTTCATCAAATCAAAGCATCGAAATTGCTTATCATTTAAAATCAAACCAATCGACTAATGATGGTGATACGAAAAATCAAACTGAATCTAATCAAAATCGACAGCTTTTGAAACGGCCATACAAGGATTTATCATCAAACGGAAATAATAGTAATGTAAATAATAATTCCCGTAATCAATCCCGATTTAAGAGGCCGAGATATCCCAATAAAAATTCATCGATCAACATACAGAATGAATTTTTCAATATTGGTAAAAATATGGCATTCAGATTTCCATCTCGTGTAAGTAAAATTATCCACTTAATCAAATCATAAATTTTATTCTAACATTTTAATCTATCATAGAGACCATCGAATTCTTCAACAGTTCAAAAATCAGGACCTATTTATCGATTTCCATCCACGACGCCATCACCATCATTACTTCCAAGGCCTCAACCTTTATCGAATATGCCAATAGATCCAATTCTTTCAGCAGATTTTTTCAATAATCAAAACAATGATAATTTTTTTCAGAGACCATTTAGCAGTTGTAATTCTGTTATGAGTCCAGGATACAATGGTTTTCCCTCGGCTATCATACCGAATCCATTCAATCCACCACCAATTAATATTATGCCCTTTTTAACAAATCGTTCGCCATTCATCAATGATCACCAAACACCAAATGAATCATATATTGGATTTCCAACTAGCAATGTTAATAATAATCATCTGAATAACTTTAAGGTATTTCTTGAATTTTTTACGAAAAAATTATTTATTTTTTTCAAAATTTTTCCATAAATTCATCACACAGCCACCTTTAATATCAAATAATAATATTCAAAATCCTCGTTTTAATTTTCCTGATCATTCGAATCGACATTTCAACCATAATATCAACAACTCAATTCATCCGATAACAACTAGTTCTAATCATCATGGTAATTCATTATTACCAGATCCTCCACTATTGAGACCTGTTCGAAATTTGACTGTATTGAATCAATCAAATTTTCAATCAAAACCGAATAATCAACAACAAAAAAGACCAAATTTTCTCCACACATCAAATAATGCATCGAACGTGAATAATAATCCAAAAATTATGATTAATAATCAGAAAACGAATGTCATCAAGACCTCTGTACAAAATCAAAATCTAAAATCATTGACATCCGATAACTCCTATAATGAAACGTTGACTAATCCTAGCACAAATTGTATGCCAAAATCGACAACCAGTAACCAGTACCACCTTTCTATAGCAGCAACAATAACCACTAAGGAAACATCAACTACCAAGGACCAGAGGTCAAAACCTATTCTAAGGAAAAAGAAAAAGAAGGAAGTTAATAAACAAACACAACCAAAACAGAATCAAACTTGTTATTGCTGAAAAGGTTGAAGAGATAAAAGGTTCATTCGGTATCGATGAAGAATATATGAGAAAAATGGAAGAACAAAAACGTTTACGAGAAAAAATTGCCCAAGAAAAGGCAGAGAAAAGAAAAATTTTTCAAACAGTTTGTAGCGGCCAAACCATCAGTAGTCAACATTCATCTGGTAATATCAATAGTAAAAATCTAGAGCAATCAACAATTAATCCACAAATCATGCAAATTAAAAATGTATCACCAATAAAAACGCCTACGCCAATAGCTAAAACATCATCTTTAGATAAAACAGCTACGTCGAAGACAACAGCACAGAAAATAAAACCATCAACATCGATACAAATATCCGGTCTAGCCATTGATGTTCGTGAAAGTTTACTAAGAAAAATAACACGACCATTTGGAATGGTTGAATCGATCGTATTCATTGAACAACAACAACAACAAAATCATCATGAATCAAAATGTGCTATTGTAAAATTTAAACAATCAAATGATGCGAAAAAATTTATGGATAACTGTCATACGGATCCTACCATATTGACACAGACATTAATGTCGGACAAATTACCAACATTATCATTCATTAATAATAATTGGTTTGTTTTTAATTTCTTCTTTCTCTTTTAAAAATTATAATATCCTGACAACACTATATATATATATACTCTATAATTTCAAACCAGAACAAATTCCTATAATGAAACGAAAATTGAACCTTAATGACAATCAAAAGTATGTGTGTGTGTGTAGATTCAATTCTACAAATCATCATCAACACATTAGTTATATCATATACATTACAATCTCGTGATGAATAATGTGATCAGTAAAATTTTTTTGTTTTCAATTTCCTAAAGGCTATATAATAGAGCTCAATATATATTTTGTATAATTATAAATTCAAATTAATTATTTTGACCACCGGCAAGCAAAAGTATAGGACTTGCTAAAAATAACTTTAAAAAAAAATTCATCTTCCGTTATTTTTTTTCAACAAAGTTTCTTATATATTTGAATCATAGGCAAATTTTGTTTTTTTTGTTAACTCGATCCATAATGATGATCACTTATTCCTAGTTTTCATGTTTGATCCGTTTTTTTTTTTGTTACATTCAAGTATGTGTGAGTGTGTGTGTGTGTGTGTGTACCTGGTGATGTTTTAGTGATCACCAAAATCAAACATTGATTTAGTGTGCCTGTGATGTTGTTTTTTGCTCATATGGATTTTCTTCTCTTTTTTTTTTTGCATACATTTTCAATTAGAAAAAAATGAAAATTTCATTTCCAATGACCATTGAATGAATTAAGAACATCAACAACAACAACAACAACAGTAACAACAAGAAAAAAAAATCCAATTTCCAAGATTAAACAAAATGATTACATTGATGAATGATCAAGAGATTTACCGTTTTCTTCTTTTTCACTTTTCATATGTTGACCATTTACATTATATTATATAGGATTAATGTTTTTTCAATTTTTTTTATGTGTTTGTGTGACATCATAAATCTTTGAATTTCCTACAGCAAAAAAAAACATACAAACAGATGTTTATATTTTTGTTGTTGATCTATTTAATTTTTTGAGCCCGAGAAAAAACATGGAAATTTCATGCATTTTTGTTTGCATTTTCAAAAAAACGTTGAAATTTTCGAATCTCCAAATGATGATCACATTTTGATTGATTGATTGATTAATTAATTGATCAGATCATTGATTTTGTGCCATGATTTTTTTTTTTACTTTGATTGAAAGTCCATGTTTTTTTTTTTCTTCTTCTTGTTATATTGTCATATGGGCTCATCGTTTGATGATAATTAATTTATTTGTCAATTTATCTCATATGATCTCATTCATTCATTAATCAGCTTTTATTTTGTTTGTTTTGTTTGAAATGATTTACAAATTTCAAACCAAATAAAAAATAATAACCATAGAACATGATGATAGATTCCTATGAATTAACTGACTTTTTTTTCACTTTGTTGTTGTTTTTTATCATTTATTACGAAAAATTAATACATCATACACACACATACACACCCACCCACCCACCTACAATTATTAATCAACGAAACAAACAAACAATTTATTAATTTCGAAACCATTGATCGAGATATATATTTTTTTTCATCATTGTTTCAATCACAAATATATACACACACACACACATGCATACAAACATCTTGAATATCGATATATCTTATAATTATTATAAAATTTACATTTTTTCAGAAACATTTCATCATCATCATCATCATCAACATGATCCATTCATTTGTGATGAAACATGCATACACAAAACCTAACCTATTTTTCATCATTTTAATTGAAATTTTTTTTTTGAAAATTTGGATCAGATTTTTTTCCCCCGTTTGATTACAATTTTTTTTTGTTTTCGATATATTTATTTATTGATGATCCATTACTCTAACTTTCTCTTTCTATTCACAATTGATTAATTAATGTATTGTTTTGTTGTTTTTTCAACAAATTTTTTTTTCTTTTAACTTTGTTTCAGATTTATCTATAACTATACAAATGATGTGTGTGTGAGTGTGTGTGTGTGTGTTTGTATGTGTTTCCTCCTTTGTTTTTGATCCACTTTTTTTTTGTTTTGGTGGTGTGATTTTTTTTTTGCTGTTGCTGTAACCTCTCTGCACATCAAATTTCGGGCTAAATATATTCATCATTATCGTAATCAACGCCTCCGGTTTTTTTTTTGTTGTCTTCGTTTCATACCAAACTCATTTTTCTCTCAATTTAATATTCAAAATCATCATCATCTATCATCGTCAATCTATTTGAAATGTTAATATTTTTTGTCACATTATTTTTACAATTTTCATTTTCTCACTATTTGTCTCTTGATAATTGTCAATTTTTTGATTTTTGGTCAAAAATCTTGTAAAATTGAAAATGTTATGTTTCACTGTCTTTCATTATCATCTTTATCTCTGCCGAATGTCTTTACACACATATTTTACCTTTTAATAAATGAAAAATTCTTTATAAATTAAATGATGGAAAAAAAATTTTGAATTAAATGACTGCTGTCTCTCTCACCAGGGTATATCCAGGAAGTTTGTTTGTTTGCGTGTTTGGTCACTCGTCGTTCAATCAAATTGAATGTGAATGGATGGATGGATGGATAGATGGATGGATAAAAAATCAATCGAATTCTAAGAAAATGAAATGGCCGAAAAACATGACGATTACTAGATGATCAGTGATTTGAACAAAAAAAAATATATAACGTTAATTTGAAAATTTTCATTTGATTAAATGAACTATACTTACTTACTTATTACGTAATTATATAATTATATTATGTATAATACTGCAGATGTTCTCATCGTCATCATGATCATCAGACATCTCCGCCTTTTTCATCGTCAATATAATTGATCCATTAATCGATAATGGATTATGTTTGTTTTAATTTTCGTTACTAATCCATTGATTTTCGGTCGATCTGCCTCTGTGTTGTGTGTGTGTGTGTGTGTGTTTCTGAATCTAATTTGTCATTTGAAAATCATCAACATCAGATTCTGATGATGATGATTTGATCATCAATCGATCAATCTTTGCGAAAGATGAATCTATTGTTTATTATCATTTAATTAATCTTTTCGATCAATTATAATTTGTTTTTTTTCAACTATAGTTTTGAATGGAGATGTTTGTGGATGAGGTGGAGGATAAATGTGTCATTTTATTTTTTCATTTCATGATTTGTTGTTGTTGTTGTTGTTGGTTTCTTCATCAAATAAAAATCGAATGATCGATATGATGTAATCGCGTTCGTTCGTTCGTTCGTTCTTTAGTTCGTTCAAGCGGCAAAAATTGGTCAAATCAACCTTCAATTTTGTTTGTAAAAGAAATGTTTATTTGAAATATATAACAATTTTATAATCGAAAAAAAAAGTTTATTTTAACGTTTTCTTATTCGTTTTCTTTCCAAAATTAAATTGATTGAAAAAAATTTTGTTTCTTTTTCATTGAATTAAATTATATTTTATATTTTGTATTTTGGATCATCATTATCATTCGAATACATTCAAATTCAATTGATTTTTTTGGTGTTTGTTGTTGTTTTGTATTTTCGATTTTTGCATTTATTTATTTTTGATTTTTTTCATATTCCCTTTGTCGTTTATTATGTTACGAAAAAAAATTCGAAATGTCGAAAAAAAACTATAGTTTCAACAACAACAATTAGTATGAAGGAAATTCAAATACGAAAAATATTTCAATCCAACAAGGTTGTCCGCCATTCATTCGTTCAATTGTGATCGATTTATCGATCTTTCTTTCTCTCCCTATCTCTCTCTCACTCTCTCATTTTCTATTTTCGGTGTAACGGAAAAAAAATTTAGATTTAAAATCAAATTTACAACAACAACAACAACAAAAAAACGTGGGTGTTGGTGGTGTGGTGGTCATTTCAAACATTTCCAATTTACATTACAACATTACAATTTTCGTAATCCAAGTCCACAGGTTATCAACAACAAACAACGACTATTATAGCCATTATTCATTTTGGATCGTTTTTCAAATCATCAATCCTTTTAAGTACAAATGATGATGATGATGTTGTTGTTTGTATTATCAGATAAATCATCATCATCATCACATAATATCAATCATTTTTACATACATTCAATATCGCAATTAACATCATCATACAAATGGCCAATGTCCATCATAATAATGATAATTACATTTTTTTTCATTATATTATTATTACTATTTATAATCATAACATGTACATGGCGGTCACGTGCTAAAGATTGTGTTGGTGGTGGTGGTGGTGGTGTTAATAATTATAATAATAGAAAATTGAAGAAGAAAAATGTAAAGAAAAAATCATCAGTAAAATCGATTAAAAAGAAAAGTATACGGAAATCATTACCGTCGTCGTCATCATCATCATCATCATCACCACCACCACCACCACCACCACAATCATCACCATCATCATCATCATCATCATCAACAATTGACAATGATGCAATGGACATTACATCAAAAATGACAATGACAATTAAAAATGAAAATAGTGAAAAAATAAAATCAACGAAAATATCATCTACAACAAAACCATCGTCAAGAACAAAACTATTACGTTCATCACAAACAGAACCATCAACATCAACATCAACATCATCATCATCATCATCGAAAACAACAAAATCATTAACATTATCAAAATCTTATAAACGAAAACAAGAAAAATTGAAATTAAAAAAATCAACAATAATCAATAAACAGCAAACAACAATACCATTTATGAATTCCGATGTTGATCAAATCGATATTGAATTGGCAATGAAAACAAATGAACCGAAACCAAAACAATCAAAATATTCTATTGGCCAACAACAATCAAAAACCACCATTGCTTTATTAGATATTGATATGGATGTAATAGATCCACCATCACCACCACCACCATCAACCATATTGAATACACAACATAGTGATGGTAGTAATTTTTATCATCAATTAATTGCTAAACATAAATTCATTAAATCCATTTCGGATTATCATCAAATACAAAGAAAATTACGTCACACTAAAATGATGAAAAAAATGATGAAAATCGATAATAATAATCATAATATCGATAATGATATAAAAAATCAAAATCAAAATAACAATCATCATCATCATAATAATGATAATGATGATGATGATGATTTGAATTTGAATGTTAAAAATGATAAAAATAATGGTATTATGCAATAAATCTTTCGGTGTATACACACATTTACATAAAAGAGAAAAATGAAAAATTTGAAACAAAACAAAAACAAAAAAAAAAATGACAATCTCTTCTCATCTTTGATAAATGAACTGATCATCATCATCATCATCATATTATTATTATAACTGTGTGGAGAAATTGAAAAAAAAAAAAAAAAATTTTCAAAATTCACACACACCCCCTATTTTTAATCCAGATCTCTTTTTTTTAGTTTGTTTGAAAAATTAAAATCCTCTTTTTATTATTATTATTATTACACATAATGTTCACATGTTCTATAACTATAAATAATCGTTTGTTTCATTTTGTTTCAGAAACAATGGTTACATCATCATCATCATTGTGTCGGTATCATCAGTTTGATTATCATCATCATCATCATTGTTGAAAGAGATGCCGCAATTTATTATCCATTTTTTTTGTATCAAATCTTTTCATTCTATGGACAACAACAATGACATTGACAAATGAAAGATATTCCACACATACACACACACACACACACACAGTTTGATATCATCGATCCATCATCATATAGTTTATTTTCAGTAATGTGTAGTATATTGTGTATTAAAATATTTGGATTTAGATTGAAAATACACATTTGAAACATTGAAAATAATTTGTATTATTATTACAACCGATAATAGCAACAAGATTACATATCCACATTCATCATCCATCAATCTGAAAAAGGACCTAATGCTTTTTCTTTGTGTGTATGTGTGTGTGTGTGTGAATGTAAAAACAATGAAAATCTGTGTAAATGTTTTTCTCGTATACATTAAATGGATTAATGTGCACCTGTGTGTGTGTGTGTGTGTGTGTGTGTGTGTGTTTTTTAGCTGGATAATTGGATTTACCTTGAAACGAATAAACAAAAACAAAGCAAAAAAAAAAGACAGAAAAAAATGTAATTTTTCATTACACAAAAAAATCTTTTAATTTGGTCGATACGTTAAAACAAATTGTGTACACATAACATTGAAAAATCTAATCAATGGAAAAAGAAGCAAAACTATATTCATTCGATGAATAACGAAATTATTGAAAAAACAAAAATATATATCCAAGAGCAAGGTCATCATTTGATCGAGAATCACACCACCATTCTCACTGCGATAATCATAAAAAAACACACACACATGCACACACCCATTGTTATTCTGGATCATCATCATCTTGTAATGATGCGGCATTGATGTGGTTTAATGACAAATTAAATTTTAATTGTAAATTTTTTTTTCCAACTAAATTTCAAATGTCATTGTTTTGTGTTACCTCTATGCCGTTATTGTTGTTGTTTTTGTTGTTGTTGTTGTTGTTATACGTATGTGTATGTATAGTTTGATATTACATAATGGGCAAAACAACAAACGAATCAGGACAATGGCAAGGTGATAACATGTATTAAATGAAGAAAAAAAAATCAATTCAAATGACAATGATGATGATGACACTGAAACAAAAAGATGACATTCTCTTTTTTTTCTGTCCGAGAATATCATCATCATCATCATAATTTCATAATCATTATTCGTATAAGTAATGATGACAATGTTCATTTCACTAAGTTCAAGAAGAAAAAAAAATATGAGGACGAAAAAATGGCGAGAATTTTTTTTCTTTTTATTTTTCTGAATTTGAATTATCATTATGAAGAAGAAAAAAAATGAAGAGAAAGTAAAAAAAAAAATGATAATAATTTTGAAATGATTCGGCCTGACCAGACCGATTATACATACATTTGAATTATGTTTGTTTGTATGTTGATGGTGACCATCGATGTTCATCACCACCATCATCATCATCATCATTATAATCATCATAAAGGAGGAGATAAATTTCAAAGAAAAAAAAACCTATGAGAATAATTTCAACAATTTTCATAGCTATATGGTTCATACAATGTTGATTCAATTGGAATTAAAATTGAATCGTTGAATTGTTCTTTTTTTTCTGCCATTTTGTTTAGCTCATTTTTTTCGTTTTGTTTTTTTGATGAAAATTAAAATAATGAAAAATGAATTACAATTTAATTCGTTGACAATTAAACTTGTCCACCTCTCTTGTTTTTGTTCTTTTTCTGTTTTGTTATTTTTCAATTTTGTTATGAATTTATGAGAATGATGATGATGATGATGATCAAATGCAAAAGTTTCATATTCGATGGAAAATGAAATGTCACTAAAGTATAAAAAGCCCACTGTCTATGACCAAAGTTTCATCAGATTCTTTTGAAAAGTTCTAGTGTTTAGTTCAAATTTTTTTTCATTTTTGTTTCGTTTTAACATTTGAATTATTTTCGTTTTGTTTTGGTTTTTTTTCCATCAACAACAACAACAAAAACAAGAAGCAAATCAAAAAAAAAAATCAACGAGCTTTATGTGAATAATTTTGAAAATTTCGATGGTTTCATATTACATGTTCAATATGTTTAGCAAAGTCTGTCGATTGAGTTTTTTTTGCGAATGATGAATTTTTAAATTTTTAGTTTTATTTTTTTCAGATCATCATACTTTGTGCCACATTGTTCGTCAGTCAGGTTACTGCTTATGGTGGTGGTGGTGGTGGTGGTGGTGGATATAGCAGTAGCAGCGGATATTCAAGTTCAAGTCGTTCGGGTGGCTATGGTGGATCTACATTAGGACTGGGTGGTAGTGTTGGTGCAGCGTTTGGTTTTGGAAGTACAAGTGGTGGTGTTTTAGCTAGTACGGCTGCCGCTTCTGGACCAGTACAAGCTGCTGTTAGGTCCAGACATGTAATTGAATATGTAGATATTGATCTACCACAAGATGAAGTTGTGCCACAAGTTATTGATGTTGATGCCGGTCATCTGCCATTAATTTTGAATTTTAAATCGGCATCATCACGAATTCAAGTACATCAAACACATGAAGGTTCTGAAGCAGGTGAAATACAGGAAACACAATCCGAGGATGAACCACAATTATTACGTCACAATGTTGTGAAACCGATAATCCAGGTAAGAAAATGAATCAATAGATTAAATTCATTTATACCAATAACAATCCTATTTTTATTTAAAAAACAGGAAGTAAGAGAAGTAATTACACCATATAGGCGTGTGGTTCAAGAAATACGCCCTGTGGAAGAAGAAGTAAAAACAATTGTTGCACGTGGACGTGGACGTACAGCTGGTACTGGAACCACTGGTACAACCGGAAATGCTGTTGGAACTACGGGCCGTGTTGGAACTGGTCGTGGATCATATGGCGGTGGAACTGGTGCATATGGTAGTAGTTCATTTGGATCATCAGCCAGCAAATCTGGATATTAATGATCTAAATTTGGAATTTAAAAAATTAGAAAAAAATAGATTTTGCAAAAATCTGATACAAACACCTGTACCTGTGTTGATGTTGTTCATATTTATTTATTTATTATTTGATTAATTTCTATATTTGATGCATTTGAGTTCGTAATTCATTAATCAACGAAATATTCATTTTTATCATGTTATCACTTATAAATATTGTGGATAAAAAGTGTTAAACTTGTTAAATAACGTTGTTTTTGATCAAATATTGGTGAGAAAATTAATAAATATAAAGATAACATACGACACAAACAGGGTGCAATATACAAATACGATAATTTACGATTTCAATATGAAACCAATATGATTACAGGAGCGTTTTTTTTCATCAACAAGTTTTCAAATAAATGTGGATAATGATGGTGAAATAGGAACCAATTGAAATTATAACTCTTCCGTATTTCATTTGAAGATGGCAAACAAATTTGTTAACAAAGAACAAAAAAAAATATTGGTGCAAATCATCATCATCATCATTTTTCATTAATGTTTTCCTAATCAGCTGATGATAGTGAAATTTTATCTTCAAATTGAATATTGATTTTTTTTCGTGGAAAAAAAAGACCTTCAAAGATCTCGTTAGATGAATAGATTCTCTTCATAGACATCTCACTCATAAGAATAAAAAGAAAGATTGGGGAAAAAAATTTCTTGAATCTTACTGAAAAGTATATACACGTGTTATATGAAAAATTCATTTCACATATGATGATGTTTATCTCATCGACCAAAAGTTGACATAGACACACACACACACACACACTTTGGAAGAGGAAAAATTTTGATTCAATTTTTTTTGACAAACCTAATATCGATGTTTATTTTACTCATCATCATCATTGGGGTCGGGTCTTTCATGTTCCATTTCTCATGGAACGAAACGAAAATAAAATCAGATGAAATTAGTTCAACAAAAACAAACAACAAACAACAATATGTCTCAGTTTAACATTGATTCGACCGGTGATTATCGATATAATAATGTATTATTATTATTATTTGGTCCAAGTCAATCAAGTTAAAAATGAATGCAAAAGAAAAACGTTCAAACCTGATGAAAATACGTATGGAACATTCGTATGTATTTCGATGACTATATAAACCTGCCGCATGACAATGTATTCAATCATCAAACAACCGAAAAAACATTTTCAAATCATAAAATTCAAAATCAACTTTAAATTTTTTCAACAAAAATGTTCCAAACAATTAAGGTTTGTGAAATTTCGGTTTTTTTTCTCTCATGAATTTGTTATAATTGAAAACTATTTTTTTTCTTTTCCATTTAACCTCCATAAGACCTCAACAATTTTGGTTCTTATGATGGCCACAATTCTAGTCTCGGCTCAATCATATTCATCGCCAACGAAAAATATTATTCAACAACAATATGAACCAAGCGGTGGTTCATCCGGATCCGATGAATTCGGTCATGAACGTATGGTCGGTAGAGTCATACCATTGGCCGTAAAAACACGACAGACATTTGATTTTATTCCCGTCGACATTCCTATGGAACGAACTGAACCTTATATCATTGAAGTTGGTGCCAATTCCTTACCATTGGTGATGCAATTCAAATCGGCTTCAAGTCGATTACAAATTGAACAAAATCATGCAGGAAGTGGACTGGATCGAATGGTAGAAACCACATCGGAAGATCAGCCAAAACATTTACGACACAAAGTTGTGAAACCGATTATCCAGGTGAGAAAATGGATCAATTAATTCAATTCATTCATACTAATAATCTATTTTTGTCCCAAAAAAAAACAGGAAGTACGAGAAATAATCAAACCATATCGACGAATCATTCAAGAGATTCAGCCAGTTACTGAAGATATAAAAACAATAATAGCACAGAAACAGGATTCAAGAGCACCAACTACTAAACATGATGAACAAGGTGGCTTTACCGGTAGCAGTTCATTTGATGGAACAAAACATGAATCACCATCAATTTATCCACCAACAAAATCATCATTGCCAAGTTATCCTAGCAAAACGGCCAGATCAATTTATTGGAGTACGAAAAATTATTAGATTCATCTTAGATCATTAGATCTTTTAATGATGATAACGATGACAATCTAAACAGCAATATTTCATTATCATCATCATCATTCATTCATTCTATTGAAATTGAAACAAAACAAATAATACGGGCTACATTTACATAATCAACATAAAATTTTGAAGAAAAAAAAATTGTAAACAGTTACTTTTGACTGATAAATGTGTTTAATTTTATTTTTTCTTTATCGTTCATTGCAAAAATTTATTCAAAATTTTCAGTCATCATTTATTTATTTATATTTATCATTATTGTCAAGAAAAAATGCAAATAAAAATGATTGTTTCACACATTAATCATTATATAAACCAATGAATAATTAACCATTGAATTGAAATGAAATAATCTTTCTCATTATTAGATCTCTTTAATGTGACAGTATGCCGAATAACAAAAGCAATGAATCGATTGATTAATTGATTGATTGATTTTTATTTAGATTGATTGATAAATAAATTTAAAAGTTGATTGATCAAATGGCAAATTTTTTATAGTTTAAAAATTCAATCAATTTTTTGAATGAAACAAGAAACAAAAAAAAAATTTTTTTTTCCTTTGTGAAACAATTATATCAATGATCACAAATTGACACGTAACCGTAAATGTTTGTGATTTTATCATCATCATCATCATCATTCATGATCACAATCATCAAATTGAATGTGAAATGAAATGTGAATTTTGGCATTGCTTAAAGTTGGATTTTTTCTTGTTGTGAATTTCCGATTATAATGTTTTTTTTTCCCCGATGTGTGATTGGAATAAAACATTTTATTTTATTTTGTATTTAACCCGATCTTGATCTTTATGGTTAATTGTGTGTGTGTGTGTGTGTGTGTATGTGTATGTTATCCAACTGGTGTATCAGAGTGTGTGAATGAAGAGATTACAATTTAAAGATATAATGATATGAACATTCATTCATTCATTTTGTGTGTGTGTGTGCGTATATATCACATGCAGTGATCAACCACCACCACCACCAAAACATAATCATGATGATGTCACATTCTTTTTTCTGTTGTTGTTTCGACAATTGATTATCTGTATTTCCGTCATCATCATCATCATCATCAACAAATGACCATCCATTTCAATCTATTTAACGCATTACAGAGATAGTTAACATTCCAAGAATTTTGACAACATATGATGATGATGATGTGCTATACTAATTGCAATGAGAGAAATGTGTTGATTTAAATGTGATGAATTTTTTTTTTCCAAAAACAAAATTTAACTTTAATCATCGTCGTAAATAAACACATTTATATCTTACCACATGCCATGATAATGATAATTATCATTGTGGATGCTAATTTATATGAATGAAGATAAAATATAAAAAACACATGTATCGAACTTTTGTCAGTGAGTGATGAGTGTTTGTCAAATTATATTGATATTGATGATATTTGATATTTGATTTTTGTGAATTTAAAAACGATACCATCGTATGGTACGTAATCTATTTTTAATCATTGTAATTATAATTTATTATTCAATAATTCAATTCCAGAAATAAAGTTTATAAATTGTGAATGTTACAATTTCTTTTATTTTTTTGTTTTCCACATTTCAAATGTGAAAGACAAATATGATGTTGATGGCCTCGAGAGAATTAAATCTCAAATTGAAGAATTTCGAAATGCCGTGTCAAACTTGGGTCCTCGTTATATCGATAATACGTCCCAAATGGTTTGGAAAATTGCTGATAAGTTTTGGAAGAAAGAATCGGAAATAATTTCTGCTGAATGTCGATCGTTGGACGATCTTGTGGAACGAGTCAAAAAAGCTCATCGTCATGCCATAACGTGGGCACAACGCAGTGCTGAGCATAAATTGTCAGATTAAAATCTGTGAAAATGTTGATCCGAGATCCAAAACATCGTCGATTCGAACTGTATTGACAAAACCAATGAAAAATGTTTTTGGTGATAAACCTGGACACATGGCAACTGCATGTAAAAGTGAATTGTCAATTACATCATCATCGTAAATAAACACATTTATATCTTACCACATGCCATGATAATGATAATTATCATTGTGGATGCTACCGATTTCAATTCGGTCAGTGATTGAATGTCAAAATGTAGTTAACATTTTCTATTTCCTGTTTCATATGAAATTCATCAAACAGAACTCATTTCATTCCATTTTCATTCCGTTTTCATTCATCATCATCATCATCATTAAGTGATAATTAGTCGATTATATGGACTGTTGAATATTTCAATTTTGTTCATTCTTTATGATGACAATTGGGAATATTACGTGCATGATTAGAAATGAATTGAAAAAAAATGACAAATTCATGGGCGTTAACAGCAACAGCAGCAGCGACAAAATTTTTCATTAAAAAAAATAAATTTAAATTTTTTTTCGACGAAATTAACAAACAGACAAAAAAAATTACAAAAAGTACGTGTTTTTATTCAATCATAAAGAAAGCATTGTTGATTTCCACCAATGCAAGTTTGAAACTAAATTAAAAAAAAAATGAATGGCTGAATGACACGTGTTGACACCGCGTGCATTGAATATTAAAATTTATGTAAATTTTTTTTCTACGGAAAAAAAACTGATAAAACTCATCATTGTTATATAATAAAATCGAATTATATTCAATTTATCGAATCGAATTATACTAATTTCAATCATTGTGGTGAACAACAAGAACCAGTTTGTTTGTGCATCGAATTATTTAGAAAGAAAAAAAATAATCGATAATCCCTGATTTGTGTCCCGTAAAACGAAAATCATCAGATCAGATCAGTTATTTATTCTTTTGTAAGATTTACCTAGAATTATGAATGCCATCATTCATGGATTTATCAAGTGAGGAAAACAATAAAAACAACAACAACAACAACAACAACAACAACAACAACAATGGTAAAATTTTTTAAAGCATCAATTCTAGTAGCAAAAACACAGTAATTCTGTTGATTACTATAATAAATATCCTGTCTCCACAATCTCATTATATATATAAAACATTTAATTCATTCATTCATTCATTCATTTTATGATCTTCTTCTTCTTCTTCTTCGTTAATCGCAATGATTATCATCATCAACAACATCTTGCCAGTTCATCATCATCATCATCACTATCATCACGCAGACAATGTTTGTGAACATTTATTTATTTTTTTTTTCGCGGTCATCCGAGACCAATTTTTTTTCTTTATTATCCAACAGCAACAACAACGACAAAAAATAACAAAATTCGTTTCATCCAATTCAAAATGGCTGATTGACATGTGTCGCATGAATAGTAAGTGAAGAAAAAACGGCCAATCCAATCATTTTTATTTGTCCATGTCTTGGTCATCATATTGTTGTTGTTGTTGTTGTTGTTCCAGATTGTCAATAATAATAATAATAAATAATACGAAAAATTCAAATACACTGGATTCATCGTAACACGTGTTAATTTGTATTTTGTTGATAATCATCATCATCATAACGACGGATCTATCAGACGGACAATCTTTTTGCTGTTGTTGTTATTGTAAATCTAATTATCTTCCATCATATGTATATAGTGTGAAATGGATAATTGGCGAAAAAAACAAAAATTTCAGGCTTTGTTACCGTGATTTATTGTGACCAATTGAATCGTTCATTTTTTCGTTGTTGTTGTTGTTTTGTCACCTTTGACACTTTAAACACACACATACACACACACACCTACAATATTATTTATCCATATAGTTCGAATATAAATACTAACAAGCTAAAGAAAAAAAATGCAACATTACCATATGGATAAGTAAAAGGAAACGAAAGCTTGTTGAAACAACAACAACAACAACAAGCACACCTGATCTATAATTGATCCGCACGTTTCGTTTATTATAATATATGCGGACATTGTAACTGTCTATGATCATGGCCAATTATCATCATCATGGCAATCAACAGTAATCAACATCTATTGCCACTTCCTTTTTTTGCTTGTTTTATCATTTTATCAGTGAATTCACAATAAATAAACAAACAAACAAACACACAGAAAAACAACACAACGAAAAACACACATTTCAACATTTTTGATAATTCCAAAAAAAAGGTATTATCATTGTCATTAGTAATATAACAATGATCATCAGAAAAAAAAATCATTGACTAATCCAAAATTGTTAATCTTCAACATCGAAAGATTGACTGAATTGAACAACAACGGAAATCAACCCAAGAACAAGACTGAGACAGACAAATCAACAACAACAACGATGATGATGATGATGATGATGATGATGACAATGGTATTTCTTTTTCCTATTGATCATTGAACATAATAGACACACACACACACACACACACACATAACCACCACATTATCATCATCATCATCATAACGATAAATTTTTTTTCTGTTGAAAAAAAATGTGTTTGGATGAATTTGGATTGATAACAACAAGAACAACAACAACAACGAACGAACAAACAAATAAATAATAACACCCAACAAATGAAACAACGTTACAAGGGCGCTAAATCTCACTTTCATCATCATCATCATCATTTATCAACAACAACGACGAAATAATCATCAAATACAATTGTCAATTATTACGTAACTTTGAAGTTTTTATTTCTTATTTGAATCAAGTATCAGAGAAAAAAAAAAATTCGTGCATTGTGGATTATTGTTGGCATTATTAGTTTGTTTTTGTTTTGTTTTTTTTTTATCGAATGGAAAATTATACTCAATTACAACTACTGGCAAATACTACTTTGTTTTAAGAATTCAATTTTGATATTGAAAAAAAAATTTCAAGTTTTAACTAATTTTAACAAACACCCAATATTGTTTGAAATGAAAATGAACCTAATATGGCAATGGCTATGCCATTTGGTCAAGACAAAGACAGTCCGGATTTTTCATTGTTTTTATTCATCATTCAAAAATTGGTAATGGTGAGGAAAAAAAAGGTGAGGAAAAAAAACTTATGAAATATGTATCAATGTCATCGTCGTCATCACCACTAACAATAACGATCGATATATTTGCATAATTTATTTATTTTTGCATATTAAAAAAACGCGTGTATACAATATAAATTCACTGAGAGAATGAAAAAAAACAAGATTTTTGGATCAATCATCATCCGGTGTTCAAGTAAAATATGAAAAATAAAATC